AAATTGAAATTCCTATTCCATTGATAAGGAATATACGATGGTCAGGCTTACCTCTCATTATGCAAACTATCTACCTAGCTGAGTTGTTTTAACTTTTCCGTGCGCATTTTCAATCAAATTTTAAATTGCATGTTTGCTGAAAATTTTCTTTCGTTGAAATTCTTCGTAAAGAGTAGCAGGAATGATTTGTGAATGTAGAAAGATAGATTACAGAAAGGAACTTTTAATCGTGAAGACAGTTTAAGAGGGCGCACTGATGTTTATTCATTAAGATGCGGCTACACGCAATATTAAACAGCGAGAATTACTTAAATGTAGTTAGATCTTGCAGTAAGTTGTTTACTAGCGATTGGGAAGTAAAGTAATGGTTAATGTAGTTATTGAATTGTGTTAAACATTTCAAAGGAGACATCTAGATATAACATTAAAAAACATCACAATGCAACAGTCATTGTACCCCGAATTATATGAGCACGTTTAACTATCACGCTAAAGGCAAGGGCAAGGGCAATATTTTTTCTCCAAATTCAATAAACAAATTAAAATAACCAAATGAATCTAAATTTGAACGTATTGCATCAAAAACGTGCGCGCTAAATCTTGCCATGTTCTTACCTTCACTAATGATCCATCAAAACTGTTTGAGAGCAACTCAGATTACCCTCGACATTGAAATTGGTAATGAAAGGATCGGACCACTTGACAGAACTAGTTAAATCCCTGGTCAGCTTTCTGGAGGCTGGATGAATGAAATTGCTTTGCTCCGGCCTTTGTGGATAGCGTGTACAAGATCTAAGCTTTGCACGGAAAAGCACTCAGCGCTTTCCCTTTAAAAAGGCGCGTTACCATGGTTTTTTGCGATTATGATAAGCTTGCGGTATCTACCTTCAACCCATCTGCTCTCCTTACAATAGAGGTAACGGTTATGGTAAAAGCATAAAAACTTATAATGTCTAAAATTAGTTTATTCACACTGTGTGGCTTACAATGAATTGGGAGTTTATTATCGTTTGAAATCCATTTGAACTGAAATGATTTCCTTCATCAAATTTTTGTTACCTGTTTAAATTATCATTGCTTAGTATTGATTCTATCAACTTAATTAATACAGCGTATATTGCTTCCTTAGCGACAAACCACTTAAGTGGCAAAGGGTTTTGAAACGTGATATTTCCAACGAGCAGAGCAGGCGTTTTTAACTTCATCAACTTGATGGGTCAAAAGGATCGTAAAAGGAGTATTTTAAATTTGAATAACGATGCTTAACTGTGGGCAAATAAACAATTAGCTATATCCGCGTGTTAAGATAACAGAGCAGCAGTTCTTAAATAAACATCACAAGAAAATTGTGTTAATTTGGTTCGAGGGCCTTCATGGAGTTCATTAACTAGCAATAACGGTTAATCAGATCTCATAGTAGAGATATGTTTATCTGGTCTTTCTCCTTCCACTAAAAAACAACTTTTCAAATTCTTAGTTTGAACTTAAATCAGTTGGTTAATGGCCACCTTAAAAAGGAAGCGTTCTTTCGACTTTTGTCAAAAATTGAGGATCTCATTAATCAGATTGCCATCATGAAGATGATGTTTTTACTGATATGCGCATACGTAGTTTTATATTTGACGTCTGCGAATATGAAATCTATAACTTCCTTGCTGTGAACATACAAAATTTTAGCTTGAGAGTGACCAAAAACCTTCTCTTCTTTGAAAGGTCTTTGAACCAATGTTTCGTTTGGCTAAGCGAAATGTATTATTTTAAGAAAACAACAATTTTCATCGAGTGAGTTGATAATATAAATTGGCCACAGAAAAGAGTTTCTAGTGCAAACATTTCGAACGTTAGCCCTTTCGTCAGAGCAAATAGAGGAATTGTGGGTTGTGTAGAGGAAGATGGAGCTACGCTTTTAGTGGTAAACTCGAAAAACACAAGAATAAATTAGTTGAATAAGAGCCGTCTGTTCATATCGTGAGAATTGAGCGCACCGATTTCAAAGGTATATATTTGTTCTAGAATCGGCTTTTCCAACTGCCTAGATATTAAGAACGGCCTCAGACTGCCATGTATTGCTTCGAATGATTTGGGGATTAAAAATGTTTTAGCAGGTTCTTTGGCATGATATGAACTGTCCCTTGTAGGGAGGAAAATTTTCCTTTTCTTTCTCGTTGTTGTTACAGGAGGGATTGAGAACTGGGCAATGGATATTGTTGAAAGAATATTTGGGATTTCTCTAACCATCTAATACTCTTACTGAGATATGTCCTTTTTATTCTCTCTTGACTTCTTATACAACTTGAATGCTTGCAAAAAAAAGAGTTCAGCTTGATTGGGAAATGCTGTTCATCCGTTTATAAAGTTTACAGTGACTAATCTGACAATCCTTGTTCATCGTCCATAATATCACACTTAGGGGAGGGGTAGGTACGCAGTTATTCAGAAACTGCCATTGATCCTAACCAATGGATCGCTCTAAATTATGAAAACTGAATCATTTTAATATTTTTCCATCGAAATGCGGACTTTTTACCATTGATTTACTACGTAAAATTTTTATACACTCCCACTTAAGATCCGGCAAAGCAAAAACAAGATTAACTATGAAAAAAAATTGTTAAAACTTACTTACGTTGAAAAGGAGATTTACAGAGGAAATAGTATTTAGAGGCTGTAACATTGCAATGGCCTAAACAGAAAAGTTGAAGAAGAAAAGGCATCCGAGGTACCGTCCTTTTCCAAAAATTATCGAGCTACGTGCTCTTCGAACAAATTTCCTAATTATAAATTCAGAGCGGATGATGAAAAGTCGAAATTGTTTACACGCATGATCACCTTGAAAGAAAAGAAGTGTTAATCGCGATAGAATTTAAAATAATTTAGCTCTTTCCTAATCGTGAATTTGATATGGGGTAAATCCAAAACAAGAATTAGGAAGGATCAAAAATATAAAATATAGGAACGATCATTTTCCAGGGAATTCCTGTACAGAAATCAACTTTTACCAAAGCAATTACTTTTATTATTCCAATAAGTGTAATTGAATTTTAACTCATCCGAGTTCTCGTGTCCTGTTTTGGCACGCACGATTGATTCAAGTGATCAAAACTGTGAACGCTTGTTACAATCAATTAATTGTTTTTCCGAATATCACTTAGGGATGAACTCACAGGCATAAAAACGAACGGGTTATACGAATTCACTCTAATAATTATGTGCTTTGATCGAAATTGATAGCAGCCTATATAGGTATTTTCGAAATTAAGTCGACTGCTTGCTGCTTGAGAAAAACAGATGCTAACAACATGGAATTAACATATTGATTCCTCACAATGCTCGTTCCTATGTTTCGTATATCCATGGCTTAAAAAAAAAAAGAGATTAAGCTCAGTTTTCAATAGCGTCTTTTTTCTGCCATTGTTGATTATTTTCGTTGTTTTTGTGGCCTTTATTGTTAATTTTCATTGTTTTTTCAATAAACCGGTTGAATTTCAATTTTTCCTTTTTTTTTTTACTGTTGGTTTCATTTTGTCTGGGCTTTAAAAAAATCCTCCTTCGAAGCGAGCTTAGATTGACAGCTGCATGATTTCCGGAAATGCAGCTATAAGGAAATTAAAATCGCGCTAACAAGATCGTTCTCTGAATTAGTGGGATAATTAACTTTTATAATGTTACTTAAGACTTAACCTTGTGAAGCAGTCTTTTTCATTTCCTTTTAACCAAGGGATTGAAGCGAACCCTTAGCAGAGGTTATGCAGAAGTAAAAGTTGAAAAAGGAGAAAATAAATAAAACAGGAGGGGACTCCTGGAGTATAAATTACTCCCAGGTAGCTCACGGAACGATATACACTGCTACAATGACCAATAGGAACGAAGTTTACCAATTTCGCTGTATGAATTAATCGCCCTCTCCGGTCGGCCAAAGTCAGATTAAAATGCTTTTCCCTTCGCAGATTACTTTCACTCTATCACGTAGGGAAGGGAGCAGAAAAACATCTTTCATAAAAAAGGAATGGCATACATCCGGTAGTTTGAGTGCGAGAGCGGCGTGGTGTTTTATGTACAGTGACGTACGTATACAAAACAGAGTTCTGTATTCGCCCACAAACTCAAATCGAAAAATTTCTTCATAAACTGTCCTGTGGTGATGAATGGATGAACTATATCCATTGCCATTGGCATACACAAAAAAAGAGGTTTTTAATCTTTGTCGCATGAAGGCAGGTGCTTAGGTTAAGCCAGCAATTAACTTAAGCAGTAATTTCCTCAACGTTAGCCTACAAAGTAAACGAAAAACACTTAATAATTTGCATAAGCCAAAGTTTACGTTGGGTTCACTTGTCCTTCAATGAAGTTAATTCACTCATATTCCAAACCTCTTGCAAAAAAAATCCTAAATCATCAAAAGAGATGAATCATTTTATTTGAATGAGGATATTGAAATTTGAGGACTGATGGCTATTAACATTTTTAAAGAAAACAAAGACCATAATATACTCTCGGTCGGTTACTAAAAGTTCCTGTTGCCAAATCATTTTTAATTTCTATTCATTTTCGCTCTTCATTGCTCTATGTCCAGTCGAAATGGATCGCATTTGGGTGTAATTTTCCTCTTCATTCTTAGCTAAATTCAGAATTACTATCTAGTAAATTTTACGATAATCGTCTGCATTCAGCTGCCCATTATTAGATGTTTAAAACATTTAGATCTACTTTAAGATTCTGAAAACACGATAATGACTTACGAGAGTGTATCTTTTCTGGAGGATTCGTTTTTAAAAGAGTAGATTGATAACAACTATTTTATATGTGGATCAAAATCCACAGTTTCTGAAGATGGTGGCAAAGTTGGTAAATTAATGTTTACTTTGTTTAAACCCCTAGGAACGAAAATAAAACAGATCTCTGCTACTTTTAATCGTTTTTAGCATTTTCTTTGCTGAGCCATAAGATAAACAAGTTACCCCGTAAATACCCGAGAAGATTACAGTTTCGTTTTGATGCATTTAGTTAATTTTCTCGTTCGGTGTTGAGTAAGACTGCAATCTTGTTTCTTCGTTAAGATTCTTCAAACCCTCTGAGCAGCTCTCATGATTCAGTTCAGTGTTAAAATCAAGATTTCTAAATTTCACCCTCTTTCGGTTCGTATCGGCCGCAGTATTTTGGGTCACTGTGTTTATTGTTTGATCAATATGAACGCTTGATCTTGACGATTCTGTTAAATACGTGCAAATAGCTCGAGCGGCAATTCTCGCTCTCAAACTCTTATCGAAAGCACAGTAAATAACAGGGGTTATCGCCTCGTTGATAAATGTACCGAACATGGAAATTTCGTAAAGAACGTGTCCTCTATGGACACTTTCTGTGCCGGACACAATCCGAACAAAGCTCAGAACAAAAGTTGGCAACCAGCACACTGTGAAAGTTGCTGCAACCAGCCCAGATGTTCGCGTAACGCGCTTCTTAGTCTTGTGAATAATCGAACGTGATGTAGCGGGGAAACTGTCCGTTGCAACCATGGGACTTCTTCCCCACATAATTAGTGTCACTTGAAAATAGCACTTACACAAAACTATGAACGGGAGTAAAAGCACAACTAGGAACTCAACTGCCTCGTAAAATTTATCCAACCAACTTATTGGAATAGCTCTTGGACTGCAAATTGTCTTGGCCATTGAGGGAATCATTTGCACTTCAAACATGTACAAATAAGGGGCAGCCATAACAGCGGGAACAAGCCATGCCATTGCTATCATTTTCTTGACGCGTTTTCCATCCAACTTTGGTAGATAAGGTCTAGCCAAGCTGCGATATCGATCATAGGCGATTAGCGCGTGAGTATAAACTGCAGTCCCTGAGACAGCAATTTCAATGTACTCGACTATCTTGCACAATTCTCGTTCAAATACCCAATTGCCAAGAAGTTCGCGAGTAAACTCGAAAGGAATCGTTAGAAGGCCAACTACAAGATCGGAAAGAACTATGTTTAAGATAAATTGATACGTTGGACGATTTTTGAGGAGACGCGTGTAGTTCTTGATGAGAACATATGCGACCAAAGCATTTCCCAAAACAGTCACGATAAATATTACACCCAACGCGGATGCTTTGGAGATGTCTGAGACAGAGTACGCCATATTAACACTCGCAGGGCATCGCTCCTGGAAACCTGACTACGATAATTTTAACAGGAAGGCGTTTTTAATAAACGTATGTGGATAATTTAACAATACAAACGAACACCTGCTAAACTAAATTGAAAAAGTTTCAAAGGAGGCGTATCACGTAATTTGCAAATATTTCCGAAAATTTTCATAGATTAGCAGGATACAAAAAGATATATATCGAATAATTGTTTTCCCTGTAAAACAAGTAGATTGCTGATCACACAGGTGAAGTTATTAGTATTTTCTAAAATGCGCTGGGGGGTCCTTTTACAACAAGGAGTAAACACTAAAAAAATCAACATATCTATTTATATTCTTGACAACAGCTAAGTCAAAGTCTTTCGAAATTCGAAATTCGCATTCGCAAAGAATTATTGGGAAAATCTGCAGTGGTCTTATACTTCTTATATCGAAAAACTTCATCCATAGCTAAAAATCTTCAAATATGAGATGAGACTCTCTCTTTAAACATTACTGGTTTTTGTTTCTCTGTGGACTTATTGTAATTACATGTAATCGTCCGCTTCCAATACCAACTGTCACTGAGTTTATACGAACGGAGGCAATAACCAAGAGTAAAGTTATGAAAACCAGCAGGTAGCTTTCACTCACATATAAAATATCAACCATTTTCATAAGCATTTGTTCCAAAGCAAGTCGGATCTGCCAACTAACTGACCTCTACCCATTGTGGTTTTCGATTCTCACCCTAAAGAATTAGATATAAAGGATGAAACTCGATCCAAAAAGTGTAAATTCTAACTTTACACGTAGAGGCTGTGGGAACGCACGATAAATTTCAGAATTTCGTAAGTTTGTTATATCCGACTGTGAAAGAAGAATAATGAATATTTATATAAATTCAAATTTCTTTTCCAAAAGAATATTGAATTATAAAACAAGACAGTTGTGAAGTATTGAATACGTAGATACTATAACTTTTGACAGAAGCATAAGTTTCTGCCTCAGGAAATTTCAATATGTTTGAAAGAAGATGAATATTGAATAGCAAACAAGAGCGTTGATGATTTTTATTCAATTCTCCTGGTGTTGTCTTTTCTACCACCTCATTATAGTCAACAACAATCTGATTCTATTTTTCTCAACTTTGTTCCCAAGTTTTACCCTCGCTATCTCCTCAGTTTGATTAGAGGTTCTCTTTTTAGCCGGGCGCCAATCGATCAAATTGCTTTCAAAAAAGCTTCAATGCCATCTGTAAAGAATGGACAGCTCTATAAACTAGGCTTGAAGATCTTTTCTCGGAAGACATTGGCTCAGGAGACATTAGTGCGATTGTCAGCAGCTGTTCGGAAAGCGAGCCCGCGCTCCTCCCTCGAAGACCGCACTCGAGAAAATGGAGTTAATCGAGCCAATGAAAACACTGCTTGCAAACGAAATACGAGCACATGCACAGCGGGACTCCATTAACACAGCTCTTAACCTTTAAGCAGACAACCGCCACTGTTCCGACGATGAGAATTATTTAAGGCCTAAATGTTTGACGGGAGTAAATATCACTGTGATGAAATCACTTCCTTTCTACCGCCTTCACCGATAAAAATTTCTCAGTTAACTTCCTAAGGGCGGCTCCACACTTGCAAGTTAATCTTGTACACATAAAAATTTAAATCGCACACAATTTTTCTTTGCTTTTGAAGTGATTTTGTTGCTCTTTTCTTAAAAATATCCTTTCTTGTTTTTACTTATTACTTTATCTTTTTTTATTATGGATTTTTTTTTTCTCTTGTCGTATGTATGGTTATTTCTTTTTTTGTTTCTGCTGTATTCTCCAACTTCTGACTGAGACCAAGAACAGCGAAGGCTAAGTTCTATGGTAGCGTCAGTAGGGTGCCTTTCTAGAAAAATACATGAATGCATTGCATCTTATTATCAATAATGACGTAAAAACAGAAAAGCGATAATTTTTTGGAATCATAAACATGAACCTGAGACTATTACTAATTCAGAGTTATTCCCGTAGCCTGATGAACCGCATTATGAATGAAACCAGGCTGGATTCTACAGCATTTTTCGTTACAACTTTCATTTTTAGCTGCGACAAAGAATCCGTAAGAATTCATCTATAAAAAGTGTCAACGAATTGAGTCAAATTAACTGAGCGATGTGATGATTTTGAGACTTAAATAAACCAAAAGCAATTTCCATCATTTTAATTACTCGTTGGTTAAACAATAATACATGAAAACCGTCAGAAATTAACGCGGTTTCCAATCAGCGACACTAATTACTTCAGACTACGTTGATTAAGTTTCATTTCCGAAGGACATACGCGGTCTTTAGTTGTTATCCACATGTAACATGAATGGCCACATTAAATGCTACATTGGAAAATTACATTCCAGAATATACGGGGTTTTTCTTTTCTTCTGCTTAATAGAGGTTCCTTAAAAACAAATTACAGTACAAGGAAACTCAACGGACATGTTTACACTAAGCAGGTGCATCTGAAGATTCATTTCGGCCGAAGTTTATCAAATTGAATGTCAGGGTCAAGACAGAAACTGAGGTTGTCGTTCTGAAGGGGCATAAAAATGGCGTTTTCAGCTTCAGATATCTCTAAAGCTGCTTTCCTAGCTGTCATATATGTCGTGACTGTGCTAGGTAACGCTTTAGTAGCTTACGTTCTCGTGAAGAACAGGAGAGCTCTTCTTAAAAATCGTCCAACGTATCAGTTTATTCTAAATATAGTGCTTTCAGATCTCCTCGTTGGCCTTCTAACGATGCCTTTTGAATTCACCCGCGAGCTCCTAGATGAGTGGATCTTTGGAACAGCGCCTTGTAAACTCATCGAGTACATTGAAATTGCTGTTTCTTGTACCGCAGTTTTTACTCACGCCTTGATTGCTTATGATCGATATCGCAGCCTGGCCCGTCCTTATTCACCCCGAATGGAAAGCAAACTCGTCACAAAAATGATAGCGCTGTCATGGGTGGTCCCTGCAGTTGTAGAGACACCTTATCTGTACATGTTTGAGGTTCAAGTTATCAGTTCCAAGACAATTTGTACGCCAAAAGCTATTCCATTTAGCTGGTTAGATAAACTTTACGGAGCATTATCATTCCTCGTCGTTTTCTTCGTGCCATGTATGGTGTTGTGTTGGTGCTATTTTCGCGTGATACTTACCATCTGGGGAAGAAGCCCTACTGTAATGGCAGAGAATTTCTCCGCTTCGCAATATTCAGTTATTTCCAGCACTAAGAGGCGCGTCACGAGAACTTCTTGTTTAGTTGCTGCAGTATTTGTGCTATGCTGGTTTCCAACACTGGTTCTAAGCTGGTTTCGGATTGTGTCGGGCACGGATAGTATTCACCGGGGACACGTTCTTCACAAAGTCGCAATGTTTGGTGCATTTATTAACGAGGCGATAAACCCCGTTATTTACTGTGCGTTCGATAGGAGTTTAAAAGCGAGAATTAGCCCTCGCTTCCTTTGCAGAGATCCCTTGCTAGAGGCTACAGGATTTAGTCAGACCAATGAAAGTCTGGCTAAAACCACTCGAAATCAAGGGCTCAGTTTCAGAGACCCCGGGAATCCTCGTTCGAAAATGAATTAGAATACATACAAATATCGTTTAAGGGGAAACGTTTTCAGCTATCCTTTATAATTGCTCAGTATACTTTACTGTAACCGGTCCGTTACACTGTTAAACGACTTGACCGATTTATTGCAAGGATAATTTCATTAAAACCATAATTTTCATTTTCATTTTACAAATTTCTTTTTCAGCAATAGAAACTGAATATATAGACAGTACAGTTTGTAATTTGTCGACAGAGTGTGGTGTTTACATCAAGATAGTAATAGAAGACTAACAGGAAAATATCTTGTCACTGTTTTTAATTTGAGCCTAACCCCAGGCTAAGCTATTGTGAAACCCGAGAGCGATGAAAAACGAGAGTGGTATTTCCCAAGCGGTACATATTGGTCTCGATTAAGATGAGTGGATAAGAATTTTGTGAGAAGTTGTCCTTCCCTAAATTGCAGTGTTTTATATGTTTATCAGCGAGAAAAAAAGGAAATTGGCCTACCCCGTCATTTGCACGCATTTCATTGCATAGACAAACAATTTAGGGCTATAGTGCTCTTTGTATCGTTTTCACAGAATGATTTTGTCCTATTTTCGCACGTGTGTTTTTTCCCAAAAGACACAGTAGGCTTGTGTAGAGGCGCGCTTTTGTATGATTGACGATTAACGAAAACTCGTGTCGGGGCGTGGCTTTGGTATACCACCGTGGGAAACATTTTTAATGGCGCTCGGGGTCTATACTCTCTGTAAAACTAACTTGCACGTATCATTATTATTATTGTTTTTGAATAGACTAAGTTTGAACTTTAAACATCTTGACTTTTATTCATACTTCCGCTTAATGTTGCTTCCAGTTTGCCGCCGTTGAATAAAGACAAAGCTTAACCTGTAACACCATTACCGGCTTGTTTGTTATTGTAGGGAAAAATTCTCACGGTATTCTTACATTATGATGTTAAATTATTAATTATATTCAAGTAAAAATAGAATGAGGACAATATGATAGTTTTAAAAAGCAGTTACTGACATAAGTTACCGGAAATAATAAGAGGTAGGGGGATTTTTTCACCGACGTAATTTCTTGGAAACCATGAGAACCGCAAGTATTTTGTTCGATTGAACGAAAGAGAACTGTTATCTTACCCGAAAGGAAAGTGAATTCAGTGGATAGAATTTCGTAGTCGGCGAAACCATGGAAAATGCTCGAGGCCTAAAGCGTTGTTTCTGTTATGACTATGAGTTAAATATTCCATTTTTTTTTGACTGAGTAAATGAGATTGTCAAATCAAAGAAGCGATCATAAATTTTTTAAAGAGAAACATATACTGAATACATGTGTTAATCCTCCATTAACAATTAAGCCCCACAAAGCGAAATATTTTTATGTTAAAAGTGATTCTAGTAAACTCTCTTCAGTCTGAATTTTTAAATTTTTTATGGTTAATTCCCCTCGACGATTTTTTTTCCTGTAGCGTCCTTGACTCTTTACTTATAAAGCAAATCAACTCAGTTTAAGCCAAACAATAATAGTTGAAATTTACATTGTTTTCTTGCATTAATGAATAATTCTAAGTGGAGACTTAAAAGCCTTTTTTTCAGTTGGCTTCAAGCGAGCCTCAATTTGCTTTACGGAGTACAACCTCGAAATTTAGCTAATTTTTGCCCGAGGTAAAAAGGGAAGATTCCACTCGACATCATCAACCCGTGTAACAATATTTTTCATTTATTATACTTTTGAATTTTCTCTATATTCTGCTTTCGTATTTCTTCAAGAAGAATATGACCTCTTCTGACGCAACGAGCAAGGTTAAAGAGCTTATGGGCTCAAAGGAGCTCTTGTCACCATAAAATCCTCTCATTAACGCCTTTAAAAATGAAGGAAAACTAAAAGCATGCCGCCTGTTGTTCTTTTGAAAACATCAGGCTTTGCTGGATTACTCAGTCCAATAGATTGTTTATGATCGAATAAGATGTTAATGATACTCAAGTCATTTGGGAAACCAATTCAGTCACTCCCTACACCTGCATGCTGGTGGAACCAAATTTCCACTGCGCGTAGCTGTAAAAAAAACTTGCCAGTTTATTCATATGTATTTTTAATCACAGGCATGAGTTTCGTTTACTTCAACAACCACTGCTAAATTTATATAATCGTGATGGCAGCAAACACGGCTGCTAACATCACCATGGCTACAATTATAGGAGTGGGAATGGTTCTTTCCATTACAGGCAATGTTATCATTGCGTACGTTTTGATCAAACGTTGGAAAATATTGCTCAGAAATCGTCCAACATATCAGTTTATTCTAAACTTGGTTCTTTCGGATCTTGTTGTTGGTGTACTGTTCTGCCCTTTCGAGTTTACCCGCCAGCTGTTCGGCAAATGGATTTTTGGAAAAACCCTTTGTAAGATCATCGATTATGTCGAGATCTCGGCTGCTGCCACTACTGTGATCTCACATGCGCTGATCGCAGTTGATCGATATCGTTCTTTGGTTCTACCGTATCTACCCAAACTTAAACCCAGACTCGTCAAACAGCTAATAGCCTCCTCATGGATTGTACCTGCTATGGTGTCTTCTCCGTACTTGTACATGTACACAATTATCGATCATCCGTTTTTCCTCCAAGATCACTTTCCGCTATGCACACCAACTGCCATTCCAATACAATGGCTCGACAAACTTTATGAAGCTGTTGAGTTTGGCTTACTTTTCTTTGCCCCTTGCTGTGTTATTTGCTGGTGTTACTATCACGTGATCAGGGTTACATTTGGAAGTCGTCCTAATCGTACACCATCGGCAAGGTTACCTATAGCGGAAAAGGCTCTTCGACGGAGCAGGAAACGAGTGACGAAAACGGCCTGCTTAATCATAGTCGTTTTTCTTATCTGCTGGTCTCCGACGTTTCTCTTAGGCATTTGGAGGATTGCGTCTGGAACTGAAAGTGTACACCACGGGCACACACTGTACGAGGTTTCGTTTTTCGGAGCAATTTTCAACGAAGTCATCAATCCCGTCATTTACAGTGTTTATGACCAAAACTTGAATATCAGCGACCACATTTGTTGCCACCGAAGGGTTTTTAACGAGACAAGCCAAGTCCATCTCCCAAAAAATTGCCAGGGAATGAATCATCATATAAATGTTATTATAAATCAGGCGCGTGTTGCGGAAGTTTCTTCGCGGTAGATTATTTCATTGTTTGCACTACATTACTGAGACAGAAACTGAACACAAATGAAAAATTATGAACTTAAAACGCTAACTTGTTTTCTTTTCAAAAATTTTACCAAAATAAAACATCAGTGGTAACAGAGAACAGTCTTGCAGCTGTTAGTAGATTTTGAATTACTTTTGCTGTCACCACGAAACAAAATCAAAAGATCAATGAACAATCACACTCAAACGGCGAAGTAAATGCTTTCTTTAGCCTTGGGTGAATAGTTCTCGATAATCATCCTCGGATAACAACTGCACGTTCTCCTGTACAATTTTCCTTATCGATTCAAGAAATCTCTCAAGGGTATTTTGACATTTTGAGGTATTTTGAGTATAAGCACCTCTGTAATTTAAAATACTGTATTTTTAAAACCCTAATGTAGGTGATAATGAAGGGATACGAGGTTGCATTTGGCCGATCAGATCACCTTTTCCACAATTACTCACACTCACACTGGCTATGAAATCAGATCCACTGATTGTTATTGTATTTTCATGCAGATGAACATATGCTTCAATTTCCTGAAATGAATGAACTTCAGACTTATAAAAGAAATCTTTAAGACTGATGTAAATAATTATAAAAAAATCTTCCTTTTTTCACGGTCTATCTGATTCTTTTCATGGTCATCGAGAGCACCGTTGAATAACGTCATCGTCACATGCTCAAAGGTCACAAAAAAAATCGCTTATTATGACGATATTTCGATTTTAAAGTCATTAAACATAATCTATTTAGAGCACTAGAGGAGCTTGGCACTATACTGTATTGACTTAAAAAGGTCTTGGCGATAAAGTTTTCATCTTAAACGTACAGGAGCATTCAGCCGTGTAACTGTCCTCCAAACAGTTTTCAAGTTAAATGCATAAGGAATCATAACCAATTGTCAATTATTAGTGTTGATGTGATATAACCTTAATTAAAGAAGCATCCATTTATTGGTGTGACGACAGCAACATTAAGTTCAATAATTTTCAGACCATACAACTTGGCTGGGGAACCAGATGCTGGGACGCTTTTGATGCCATCGTTTCTCGTTCCATCTCTGACTGAAACGAAAGATAATGATCAAATAGCAAAGTGTGAGTGGAAAACATAAGCTAAAACAATAAAATTTTCTTCAATTCGGTCATACAAACAGCTGGTTGGTATTTTCAACACGGCTCTGGTGGTTGCTGTAAAACGAATTTCGCCTACTTTAAGAATATTAGGAAAGTCATATATTTGAACTGCGGATAAAGACGTGAATATGAAATATATGACTTCCATATATTCACATTCGTTTATTCACCCCTTCACGGGTTTATTTGGTACCAAAACCATGACCAGCTCCCGGTTGGCTTGCTAGCTCAGTTGGTAGAGCGCTGCACCGGTATCGCAGAGGTCATGGGTTCAAATCCCGTACAGGCCTAAATTTTTTTTCAGGCCTTATTTTCACTACTGCTCAAGTAGTGTTCATTACTGCGTAGATCACTTTCATATTCACGTCTTTATCCGCAGTTCAAATATATGACTTTCGTATATTCGCATTCGTTTATCTCAAGTTTGTTACAGAAATCAAAGGCCATTACTCACCTTTGCTATCAATTCTCGGAGTCGTTTAACCTCCTTTTGAAGTTCCGCACTATTCAAACTTTCACGAAAATTATTTAGGTTTTTGGTTTCGTATTTTATGCCATTTGTTGGGAATCTTTCAATTGCATCTTCACAATTTCCTTTCTTCATTATCCTTATCTGCAAACAAAGAGTGCCAAAAAATCGTACCAAATCATGAAATATCGCCGGTCTAAACTTATCATTTACTTTTATGGGGGTCTCACTGGGGTGTTACCTTTTACGGTTAACGGTTAAATTTTTCAATTTTTTTGGCTGTTTTGCGGCTAAAGGTTAGCCCCATTGAGAGCCTATTTTAAACACTCAGTTACTTTATTTACTTCATCAGTTGTTTCGGAGCTTAAATATAAAGATGGGAATGGTGCTTATCAGGAAGCTCTCATTAGTGCGACGGATAAAAAGAACCTAAAACACAATAACGTCTTTACTATCTATTCATTCTTTAGGGTATTAATATCATAATAGTGTGTTTGCATAGTTTGATTTCAATTGTCGCACCATTAAAGACCCTTGGGTCATACAAGCGAACCAAGTTAGAAGGCAACATTAACGATATTTAAAGATTCATTAAAAGTGTCTTATGTTACGACTCTTCAAATTTTATGATAGTATATAATGCAAATTTGGGAACAGTGTGTATATTTATATATTTATATTTTTTTGTCTCCTCAACCATGGCGCGTGGAGTAAATACGATCATAATGTTGGTAAATACTTCTAGTTATCCACACAATATGAATTAAGAGACCTTGAAAAGACAGAGGAAGCCAAAAAGATATTTGATACATACCTTTGGCACAAAGACGAGGCATAACGTCAAAGTGGTACAAAAGAAGATTGAAATTGTTATAACGTAAAAAGAGAATTCATAGGCCTGCTTATCGCTGTAAATTGCCAAAGGAACCCCTATCGTACAAACAATAAACACGTTGTACACAGCCATGCCTGTGAGAAATAAAAACAACAAATTTAACTTAATGCTATTACTTAAGTTGTGTTCATTATTGAGAAGATCATTCTCATTTTCATTTAATATTTCGCACTTCTGGTATACATGATATTCGTATATTCGTAGTCATTCATTTTTTTACTTAAGGAGTTTATTTCGAACAAACAATATGACTAGCTCTCAGTTAGCTCGTTAGCTCGTTAACTCAGTTGGTAAAACACTGCACTGATAACGCAAAGGTCAAGGGTTCGGCTCCCGTACAGGCCTGAATTTTTTTCAGGATTCATTTTCACTACCGGTTAAGAAGTGTTCATTACTTATTTAATCTTTACATATTCAGTTCACCTTTCTAAAATACGGCACGTACATTATTACACGGCTAAAGAACAATACTTTTTCATCGTTCTATTCAACACATCATTGTAGAAAAGAGTTCTACACTTTAACCTTTCAACGTCTAATTTCTGCCCACATTCTATCCCTGAATCACACATTAAGGTCACGAGAACAAAGGAAGTGATCACCAACTAGAGAAGCTCCTGATTGTAAAACTGACTTTCCTTGTCAACACGTTAGGAAGTGTAGAAAACAGTATGGAGAATATGTATACTGATGTTAAGATGCAAAAGGCGGAGCACAATGTCCCTAAAATACAAGTTGCAGTAAATGTTGGTACCAACTGACCTATATGATGCGAGTCATTCAGCGCGGCTATCTTGACTTTACGAGTCTCCCACGCTAAAAATGACCCGAAGATGAGTAGAATTCCTTTGAAACCATACACCAAGAGCAACCAAATAACAGTTCTGTTCATTGCACAGTAGTAAACCATAGGCCTGTCAATGACGTCTGCATTTTGCTCATGAACTGCCTATTTTGACGGAAAGTTGTGAGGAGAAAAATAATGGTGGCTCCTGAATTAATGCACTATTAAGGAAGTGGTTATGTACTTAATCATGAAAAGTGGAATTCGGCCAGGGAAAAATGCTCTGTTTGATTTCCAGATCGTTTTGTTCTGTGCTAGTCTTGACTAACACGCGGTCAAGAGACTGGATCAAGTTTTCCGGCATGCGACATTAAGTCTCTCAGTTTCATTATCTCCTACAGAAATCAAGAAATTCCTACCTTGTCTTCAAGATATTTCTTATCCTTTCGCAAAGGATCCACTGCCGACCAAATAATGATAATAACTATGTCGACAAACAGGAATACGAAGATCATTCCAAACAAGTGGATGTCTTTAATCACCTGCAGAATTACAGAAACAAAATATGGAAGTTTAATTCTTGGCTTCTTTAGGATTTTCTTTCGATCGAGCTTTTCCTTAATATACGTTTTTCTATAATTAATGGTAGCGCTCTCGGCCAAATCCAAATTAAATTATCAGGGCAAGGTATCTGACCGTGGCTATTTTGTGGAATTAAGGGAAAGACATTAATTGAAGGGTACAGAAAAGTCTCAAGAAAGCTTGCAAAATTCAATGATCCCATCCAGATATTTTCTCACACAATTCATGCAATGAAAAATCATGGAACGATTCTGTGGCCTTTTTTGTCTCGCATACAGACTAAGACAGACAAACTAGCTTAGTTTAGGGGTCAAGCGAACATTTCTGAGCAAACAAAGCAGCAATCTTCCGTTAAAACTAAGCAAGGCCATCTATGTCTAGAGAAGCTTTATTTAAACACAAAAGAGAGTTGATATCCACTAATCTGAAGAAAATCACGGTAATGCATTAATTACCCGTCTTTGCGCTCTTATCTTCCTTGTGATTCTGTGAACACGCCATGTCTTTGAGAACATTGAACCAAAAGCCACTGTGAAACCGATGTCCAAGGTTATTACTTTGGCCTGGAAATAGTACCAGACATAAAAAATAAGCTCAAAACTAGTAGTTGATGAAGTGTTGAAATAAAGACTGTTTCATCAGAATTCAGTGGATCATTTTAAAATGCTCTTTACGTTGCAAGTAAAGCTGGTAAGACGTTCTCCATCGATGGCGAATAAGACAACAGAAATGTAGGATAAGATACAACCAACAATAATTGCATTGTTGATGTTAGGACTGGACATCTTGATGAACCTATGAGGAGAGGGAAAAAAAGCAGAAAGGTTATCCATGTTAGAAGCCGAGATTCAGTCTTCATCCTAGACCGTTTGAGTATTTACATTGCCTTATGTTTGTCTCTCTTTTATTAAGGTAGAACCGTGATCGTGATATTCAGTTTATGAGCTACACGGGGTGTCTCGTTTGAAAGGGTTGGATTCATTCATCGTCCATTCTTTTACTTGGAGAATGGGGGGAATGAATTTACAGCTGATCTCACTGCATCTCATAAAGGTTGGTAACTCGATAGTTTATTAAGGATTATGACTTGGTTTGTACTATTATATTAAGAAAAAATGTGAAACCTTACCTTATGTGTCTATTGGCAACGTTAAAGTACAGAAATCCAAAGCAGACAAAAATCCCCACGCCAGCTACAACACACATAACGATAAAGTTCCCCTCCGATAAATGGATCAGTTTGTCCTTAAAGAGAACCTGGTCGCGAGGGGACTTGCCATCTGCTTAATCAAGAGTAAAATATGAAACGAAATGAAACTGCTACTTTGAGAAACATAAACATTATGTGGCGTTTCTCGTTAAAAGCATGCATTTTCACGTCCTCAAAGTACAGGTTGAAAAAATCTCTGGACGATCCCTTAAGAAATTACTTTGACTTAACAACAACATTCAAGGGAGAACAGTTATTTGATGGAATTTGTCACCGCTTTTAGCTTTGTCTTTGTCCATCCGATTAATTTTTTTTTCTAATTTTTCTGATTCAAAGGGGATAATTTTAACACCAAGATTATGTAATTAAAACTATAGATCCCGTGCCCTTATACCAAACGACAATCGCACCTGTTTACCTTGTCCTTTTATTGAAAAAAATACCATATTTTCAAAAATGTGCAAGCACTTTCTCGTCTAATACACGATGTCATGCACAGTATAGGATGTGCAGTGCAGCACTGAGAAATCATCTTAAATGGCATTCACAAACAAAATCTATTTGACTATTTGTTACAAAATTAAAGCTTTATGACATACTTCTCCATTTGAACTCCATTTCATTGTAAAAGGAGAGAAAGTCGGGTTTTGTGGCGTCGTGAAAGGCAATAGGATCAAGTGCACTTCCTATAAAAGTACCAAAGATCTTAATGTCAAAATTGAACAAATCTGTAGATTTATGGCTAGTGAACATGGTAACTTTTGACTATTTTGTAATGAATTTTAACTCGATTATAACTTGTAAAAATAATTTTTTTGTTAAAAATACGCAATCGTGTAAATCCATTTTATTGTTTTGAGACTGATGAATTTGACCTTTTAGCTTACTCAAGCGTCTTAACACCAAAAACCATCGAGTCATTTTTTTTTCTTGGATTGAAACACTTAAATGATATGATAATCCCGTGCAATGCATGTATTCAGTTACCTCTAAGTTGAAAAACTTCAAATTTCCCTGTCCTATCTCCATTGCTCTCAAGTTGTACCTCACCCTGTTAGGAAATCCAAGAAGGCGTCATGTAGTTGTATGCAATATCCTTGAACCATCAGAGTATTTAAAATTTAAAAAAGAACGTTCACTTTATACGAAAAGGGGTAAATAAAGATATGGCTATTCTTATTAGGTGCCATTGAAGTCGCACTCAGTCTGTAGGTGTATTTATAATATATACACCAATGAAATATCAAGTGATCTTTTGGGCGAAAACATGATATCTTCGCGCGTGAGAAGAACATGATAGTTTCACACGTGAAAAGATCACTGTTGCTATGGTTGCATAAAAATATCGCGTCTTTCGGTTTTTTCAAAGTTAAATGATTTAGTATTTCATAGGTGTTTATATAAGTAATAAATATCAAATTACATGGCCGCTCGGAGATACAAAATTTCTCTTTTCATAAAAAGAGTCGTGTGTATCACATTGGTCTCTTGATCTCCCACTTTCAGCCTGAAGTTTATTCACGATTAGGACATTTTCTAACGGTGAGAAGATTACAGCACCCTCTGTAATTGTTTTTAGTAACTTTTGATATCACTGAGTCTCGGTTTTTAATCACTAACCGTCACCCCTGTAAATCTCGTCGTTAGCAGACTCTCTTTAACAATTTCAGATGCATTATTTTCTGCAAAATCCTGGATGTTCAACAACTGGGATTCGGACAGTTTTTCGATGGATGTCTTTAAAGCAAGCGCCACCAGCCAGGCCGCGTCGAAGCCAAACGGTCCATATAGTGATGTTTTTACGTTTGTGTTATTTGCAAACTCTTCATACGCCTTGGAAAACTGTTGAGGAGTCTGTGGGAAAACAAAAGAACAATGATTAGAATCAACTTCTTAAGATGGAATTTGGCAAATTTCTTCGTTATGGAATTTTCCTTCTTCAGAATATAAGAGACACAAAACATTCGCTGTAATGTTTACTTATCATCCACATTGACGTTCATTACTCGACACTCTTACATGTAACTTACCAAACCAGATATCGAGGAAACATTATCTTTGCTTATGTAAAGATGGTCAACAGTTATGGAGTACTCCGCCGCTATGTTTACTTGTTGTGCAGAACAGTCAAGTTCTGGGAAGGTTCTTTTCCACCATTCTCGTGAATCTGGAGTATGTATTACCCATCCGTATTTATTACCATACAAGTTGTACTTATAGATCTACTGAGAGGCAAACTGTGTCAGTTGAGATGAATTACTCAAAGCACTTATACATAGAAGCAGTATGGACGTAATCAAGAAATGGCGAAAGTCATTTATTTTACCAAACACATAACATTCGTCGTCTTCTGTAGGAATGCAAAAATGATTCTCGCATCAAGATCCTGGAAAGATAAGAATCGCATAAGGTTAAGCTTCCCTAGAAGTACTGTGCTTAGAAGACGTAAGGCAACTTGAAAGCTCACAATCGCGAAAACTCTTAGCAATCAACAAAATTCGAAGAGGCCTTCTTAAACAGGTATAACATACGTAAATGTCATCGTTTGTTTTTAATTGATAAAATATGAGTAATCTTTTCTGCAAAAATGCAAACACATCCCTTCCATGACAATTTCTAACACGGAGAAATTAAAGAAAGTCAGGGTTGTGGTTCCATGAACAACTTTTTATTTACAGTGGCCTAGCGAAGAAGAGCTCTCCAGCCGGGCACAATCAATCTTTTTCCTTTCGTAGTTACACGAGGTGACTAAATAATTTATCCTATCGGACGTTGTGCGTATTTATAATTTCGCCAAAGAACTAAAAAAGGACGCATAAGAAAGAATTCTGTGGTAATTCATAGCCAGGTGCACTTGATTATCTACAATAGAGTGCACAATTTGTCAATGAAAAGTGAAACTTGTATAAGTAAATCTTTGTGGCCCCTGTACCTTGATGTGCCTCAATTGGTTCTCGGCATCATTGGTGTCCCCGAAGCTCCCGTACGATAAGACAGTAATGTTGTTTCTTTCGCATTCCTTTTTAAGATTGGTGGCAGCCTAGGAGATGACCAAAAAAAAATGATCTTATGAAGTTATGCTTTTAAGAAAGATGGCCTCCTAAATCACAGTAGCCAAGTTGGTACACTTACCCTCATTGAAGTCCTAAATAATGTAAAGCCGTTTGTTAGTTGAATGCCTCGGTTTAGCTGGTCACAATCGAGAGGAAATAAATGGTATTCTAAACTAGTATTACTAAGTATAAAATGTCATTCCTCAGTCTATCTCACCTTAATGTACATGTCTCTGCTGTAAAACAGGATCGATACTCGCTTCCAATTAAATGCCTTTGCAAGAGCCACAAAAGTGGATTTGGATGAGGATATAGAGGGAATTGTGCGGAAAAAGTAAGGATACGTCACAGGATCGGAAAGGTCTCCACTCTCAGCTGAAGCTGAAATCTAAATGAAACAGAACTCCAAAAGCTGAGTTATGAATACCTAAGCTATTTAGATCTTTTATTCTCTAGAATACCTTGAATTAAGGGACGGAAATTTCCTCTCTACGTTAATATCTCTTGAAATGAGTTATATACTCCTGTTTCATAGATATGTAACGTTAAGTCCGTACTCAAGCCAAGTGTCACATCCAATTCCATCCATCCAACCGTCCCTTATTATGGAGCGACTAGCAGTATCACCACTCCCCCCTTGGATGGGATGCCAATCCATTGTAAGGTTCCCCCCCCCCTCCCCCTAGTGTTTTATCAGGCTCCCTGACTATTCTCCAGTACCCATTTATACTCTTGGGTGGAAAGAGGCACGGTGATAGTAAAGTGTTTTGTTAAAAACATCGATCATAAGAAATACCTGAATCATTTTCCAATACTTTGCAGTGTCGGCCACGGACAGTGCCACGTTGGATCTGCCTGGTCCTAAGACAATTGACGGCCTGCCTGCTTTGATGTAACCATAAAGGATTTTGTTGCCCAAGCCGGTTTCTCCCTATATGCAACCAAAAAAAGACTGAGGTACTTAAGACATGTCATGAAATGAATCTATGAACGGTGAAAAACAATTATTCAGCTACCAGCGCTTTTTGTTCCCTTAAGCGTGGCTAATCTTTTTATGTAAAACAGCACTTTTGTTCCCTAAAGAGCCTTACAAAAAAAGTACACGGAAAGTGTTTACACGATGACGGCTGATACGAAGCTGTGAGATCAAACTGAGATTAAAATGATGGTCATTTGATCTCTGTAACAATTTCCTATCATATGCGCATTAAATATGGTTTAAGGGAAAGCTTATTTCTAGCTCCCAAAAAGTCATACTTTGATAATTGTAGCGAATGTCCTCGCTTTATCACTCACCCACGACAGCTTCAAAATCAGATTTTGAACAAACAAAAGGATTGATGATCAACCAGAAAACATAAAGCAACGACTTGTACTAATGGGATCAAAGTGTGTTATATAATCGAACCTTGGCCGATAATAAAGTGGAATTTCGAGTTAAAACATGATCTGAGTTAAGTAAAACGACACTGAGATAAAAATATTAATTGGTTGTGGTAATATGACTAAGTGGAGTCCAATTTGGTCTGTAATCATACGAGTGATAACAAAATCGGGCGACCGCGCAGCGGGAGTCCAATTTGTATATCACGAGAGTGTTTACATTGGACGACACGAAGTCCTATAACCAATTAATCATCAAAATTATAATTTCCGACAAAAGAAGAACAGCCAAGTTATGAGAGAAAGGGAAAATTTGCATTAAAAGACTGACAAAGGAGGTGTAATAGTTTAATGTCGCTCGGAAGTTGACTACCATCAAAATGTGATTGGTTGATTTAAACTTCAACCCTGAATGCGATTGGCTCATTGAACTATCCGATAACAAACAGTCCGATAACAACTTGACAAGTGAAAAAGTGGAAAATATCAGTTTTTGAAACCAATCAAAATCGAGTAAATGTTATGATTAAGAAATAGAACATTGTCTGGGATCTTAACTGATTTTTAAGCGTGGAAGGTTACAGACTCTGCTTTGTCAAATTATCCCTATGAATTTAAATTGAAAATTTACTTCTCGTAAATTGTTCACTGGAAACACAGAACACCCAAGGAACGATTTTCTATGACATAAGTTTGATTGTCACATTCTCTTGCTGGAATCTTTGAATACAAACCACGGCAAAACAATCCCTCGCTGGCCCACAGTTTTACCAAACGGTGAATGCCGCGAAATGTCTAGTTCAAGTTACGTTTTCCTTTTACGGAGAACGCACGGCATATTCACATTCACTATGAAAAAACACGAGAAAAAAATGGCGTCCGCTGCATGTATTTCGGGGCTTGGAAAACTCATTTGTATACTCTGTTTTCCTAACAGTTTTACATTGATTATCCAGCTTGGGTTGTCGCAGTGTTAGTTAAGTGTTTTCCTGAAGCGGCTAATGTGGTAAAAAAATGATTTTCGAGTTTTCCTAAATGTGTTCCACCGATTTTCTGGTGTGTTGTAACTCGGTGTTTTCTATGTGTTGTCACGAGTCGGCTAAAATGCGATATTCAACTTTGATTAACACGCCAATGAACTTCCTGTTTTCCTGCCCATTTTCCTCGATATCAAGAGTATGTGAACACGATGTCCGAAAGCATTTTCGTATTAGCGGATAACGCCGCGAGAACGTGATATTCAACCTCGGTTTTGTTGCGCTCGTATAACAGCGCTTAAAATCATGCTTTTGTATAAGTTTTCTGAAAATTTGTTAATTGTAAGGTGGAATACAAGGTGTGAATCATAAAAACTATATTGTGAAAGTGTTAACCTGAAGTTTCTAACGTGTAAATGATGGAGTGTTAGGGTAACGTTTTCTGATAAATAATTATAAACCTTACCATCGTGTCATTCGCCATCAATTTCAACTCATACCCAGGTAAAATACTGGAGTCGTTGTTAATGTACTCAAAAGCCATTTGCATTGAAGCTGTGATTCCAGCGCCCCACCAAGCGCGCCTGCCAGTCAAAGGAGCCATAGACCCAACATACAATGGTGACTTGACAGATTTTGTTTGTGCAGGAGTTAAGAACAAGAGGAAGATACGAAAAAGCACCCATAAAATCATGATGATACACCTAAAAGAAAAACAATTTTTAAAAAGTGTTAAGCCTATTCGGAACTAAGTCACATCAAAAATCAAGAATAGATGAAAAATCATCTCACTGAAGATTTTAGCTTTACAGAAATTGATTGCTAAAAAAGGTCATGCATTTTATTTCAAGTGGTGTTAGCAATGGAGTAAAAAAAAAGTATGTATATATATATATTGCGATAGGGGAAAAAACAGAGAGACTATACCTTCATCCCTACAAGCCTGTTTCGTGATTACTCACTCATCGTCCTGATGAGTGAGTAATCACGAAACAGGCTTGTAAAGATGAAAGTATAGTCTCTCTGTTTTTCTCCTCTATCGCAATATATATCACGCTCTACTCCTACGTATCGAGCACTGTAAAACGAAAAACTCAATACACAGACTTCCTATTTATATACATATATATATATATATATATATATATATATCATACCTCAAACGCATCATTATCCTGACACACCGTGTATTTAAAACACTTTTACAATTTTACAAACTCAGCCTTCGTGATGCCTTCTACACAAAATGAAACGTCTTTGAGGAGACGTGATGAGTGAGTAATCACGAAACAGGCTTGTAGGGATGAAGATATAGTCTCTCTGTTTTTCTTCTCTATCGCAGTATATATCGCGCTCTACTCCTACGTATCGAGCACTATAAAACAGAAAAATCAATACACAGACTTCCTATATATATATATATATATATATATATATCATACCTCAAATGCATCTTTATCATGACACACCGTGTATTTAAAACACATTTACAATTTTACAAACTCAGCCTTTGTGATGCCTTCTGCACAAAATGAAACGTCTTTGAGGAGGGCCCATATGCTTTGGTGATGTTTTCGACAACTTAGTAATTTTTCGATCTATTTGCATTTTCCCCGGACACATTCACAGCATTCACTGTTTATGACAAACGGCGTGTGTAACAATTAATAGTAGATCCAGAGCGTTCAAATTACACTTTAAATTGATACGAACATCGCCTGCAACGGACCTCCCTCCAGTGCCATTCAATTAAGTCTCCTTCATGTCTTCTGCTTGAGGGTAATTTCTTCTCCGTTATATAATAATCTGTATTCACTCTATCAAAGATGCAAAGGCAAGCACGCTTTCCTTCCACCAACCGAAAATTCATTTCAAATATCGATGTCAACATTTAATATTAATTCAAATGATTTTTTGTTACATCAATATATATTACTAAAATTGTTAATTTGGCGCATTGTCCATTCAGGAAACAGATGGGTTGGGATCGTATTGATTGGATGAGAGCCACGTTTCCATAGAATCGAAGAAAGATATCCCTATTTTAGTGCATTTTTAACAACTTCTACGATTTCTCTGTGTATTTTTATCATTGTGCGTTATCATTCTAATAAGCAGCCTTTATATTTATTTGATGTAGTTTCAATCACGTGCACAATAAAAAACGTGCTCATGCTAATAAAAGCAGGTTTATGTCCAAAGGGAGCATAAAAACGTAAGCTGTAAGGTCGAAGGATTTTGAAAAATGTATTAAATTTCTGCTACTCCTGGATGGCGCACACCATACTTTGCTTTAGATCGATTATCATAATTTTCTATACTTGGCAACGAGGACCAAATATTATATACATCGTGCAGCAGCCAGGGTTTCGCAAAAGTTCACCAGGAAATGCAATCAGGTTTTAGACTTGTGCATGATATTTCACGGAAACATTGCCTTGTCGGAGAGTAAAATCTGTTTATGGATTTGTTAATTCAAATCTGGACTCTTCCGAACAAGAGGTGTTTGGACTGTACAATTTTATTGATTTGTTAATCAGGTTTACGTGAATCGAACACCACGTGATTATGGTAAAACGTATTCTATATTACAGCTTTCATTTTAAATTTAAAGTAGGATGGTTGATTATGGTGTGAAATGTGTTTTTGTGCTAGGTGATGGTCATTTCTGTCAACCATCTGGAGACCAAGGTCATTTCGTTTATTTAGTGAGGTCACACAAGGAATACGCTTTAGTCCAGAATTACAGAAATAAAAACATACTTTCCTTGAATATTAAATTGCAAAGGAAGTTGTTTTGGAGACACATCATGAATAATTGTGATTTACCAAAAAGTACTGTGCGGCAAAGCATACTGTAGCAAAAATATCATTTCGGAATATATGCTATTTCACCGCGGTCGTCTGTGAAGGGTTTTTTTTTTTTTTTTTAACAAACATCTATCGTTCTTCCGGCAATTTGATCCTCATGAGCTTTTTTGGTTTTGCTACTTTATCACAATTGCCCTCGCTTTACGATTCCTAAACGACAAACCTCCTAAAGTAATGTTTTTGGTTCATTTACTGGTCGTACATCTATTGCGAGCTATTTTGCCCGTTGGAGAAATATATGCTCTGTTCACTAAGTGTCTTTCTTCAGTAAATTGAAATTACGGGCGGCAGTAGTGGCACGACAAAAAAAAATTGAAAACATAAGGTATGTTAAATTTTGATACCATCTCTGGATGTTTGTTACACGGTTCCTCGTAACATTCGTCAAAACTTTACCTTACTCATTTGACGCCACGTTGTAAAGCTTCTGTGAGGACTCAGTAACGGATCTTTCCCAAACTGTTACAAGGATAACCTGCACAGAATCAAAGTTTGATAGAATATGATAATTTTGAAAAGGGTGAACGACAAATCGATGCTTTATTTATATAGTGAAAATTATCTGTCACGTTTTTGTCAGTTTTGAACAGCATGAAATTTCAGGAAACTTCCCTGAGTGAAGATATTGCAAGCCGGCTACAAATATGACTAAAAAAAACTGCTTTCACCAAGGAGAATACAAAATTTGACCACTTTTTTTGTCAAAAGTAAAGCAGCGGAAAAAAAGCTCTCCAATTACGTATTTCTTTTTCGAGACGTGTCAATCCATATGCAAACTTCATAATGACTACATGAATGATGGCAGATCCGAACCTCGTCTTCTGTAAAATTTCGAGGACTTTGCCAAGTTCCCTTTTAATTTCCAATTACTATGAGAAAACTGGAACTAAATGGACACAAAATGGAACACAATTGCGTGACAAATGTGAAGCAGGAATATGACCTATTAGCAATCATACACAAGGATTAAAGAAACAACTTTTAACAGCGAAAATTTACCAAAATCCATCGTTGATTCAGCAAATGAAAAACTAAGAAATATCAGTGTCATAATCTAAAACGACTTAAAACTTCGTTTTTTTTCCTTTTCAGCCCAGTCCACTTCAATTATCACTCTTTGTAAAAAGCTTTCGTAATGGATCCCTCTTCAAGAGGGCAGATGAAAATGGAAAGTACTGCATACTAAACAAAACGGAAAATGTTTTCCAGCACCAAAATAACGATCAGTTTATGAATAATTGCCTTAAAATTTTTATGAAAAATATATCAACAATTGTGCGGCTCATGGTTTTTATGTACTATCTGGTATTAAACATCGTCTTTTCCCCGACGAAGATGACGCCATGAAATATATAGTTCCCTCTCTTTTTCAATTTTGGAGAACGATCTGCTTAAAATCTTAACAAATTAGTTTGAAATTTTCAATTCACTGTCTCGCCAGTCAATTTTTTCTGTTTGACCAACCTCATTTTAAATTTTTTTTCTTGGTGAGGACTCAATAGTATGTAAATGGTTTATACTTTGCAAATGATAAGATGTACAATTCCGAAAAGCTCTTAAATGAAAGTGTGTCAAATTCAACCGGCCTTCTTTGATACATGATCCATGACATTTTCCGCTTTGAGGCTTTTCCTTCACGATGATGTAACATGTGCATTTATGAATAACGCCTTCGCCGTCAACACAGAAGCTTTATCCTAAAATAATTGGGAGAAATATCAACAATAAGAATGAGGACGCATTTAAAAAAGCCGCAAGAATAACCTGGATATTCAGTATTGCAGAGGTCACGCTGACTTTGCACAAAAAAAAAAGACAACGAAAATTCTGGGGTTCCTACCGCTTCGTTTTCTTCTAAAGACTAAAGGATTCAAAATACCAGAAGGAAAAAACAGACTGGCTGACAGGCAGAGTCTTTTAAAAACCATGCCTTTCGGTCACTGGGATTCATGATTTATGGCCACTAAATGAGATAGAAATGTTGGTGGATTTTGTTGTTCCCTTTCATTCTCCCAAATATTTCAATTATAATTGGTATGTCCTTCTACGCTCTCAAAGAAAACTGTTGTGTTTATTTCATCTGCATTTATAAGCTTAGTCACTTCCTTGTTTTTGCCGGCAGTCATGACCTAAAATTTCAACTGAAAAACTAGAATAACTAACAACATGATTACAAATTAGTTTCTCTTCTAATATGGTCAAAATCCTTGGCGCGAAATGCGATCGTGTTCCTGTTATTTGGACTGTTCGAGCCATATTCATGAAGCATTGCAGCCATAAATAGAACATTGCAGCAATACACATGCTTGACGCAAAAAGCAAGAAAATCAAACGTCAGAGAAAGGAGATGTCTGTTTAATTTATTCAATTAAGCGCGGGTTACTCTTGCCTCAGGGAAAACAAAGACTAATTCCAATATTTATTGTGCGAATGATGTTGTGTTAAATCGCTTTAGGGTCAAATATTACACCGGCGCCTCTCACATCTATTCTTTGTACCTTATTTTACAGCCGCTGTAGCCACACTGTTAGTTTTTTTGACGGGCACTAGGTTATTACAGCTGACGGGAAAACCGTATTTTGACTTAACAGTGTGCGGCTCACAGAAAAACCGTCCTTCTAAGTTTAAATGAAACCGTCCTTACGGAGGTTATTACCTGAAGGCATCAATTTTTTAGCTAAGATCAAATAAAGCTAATTAAGAACTTCTGATCTTCAGAGAATTATGCAATGTAAAGTTTCACTTGTAAGCTAAGTGGAGGCCTTGATACTCGCTTGACAAGAACGTTTTAATAAGATGTCCGCCGAAAATTAATCTGGTTTTTGACCGCGAATTGCGTTCGCGGTTGTTCTTGCTTTCTTTAAAAAGAAAAAATGGCTGCAAGTCGTTATGTATTACATTTAGAATTCAATATGTTTAAGTATAGAACCGTAAGACCGAAAACGTTTTCTTAGTAACTGAGATTGTTGTAAATGTTGCTGAAGGCTAACCTTTGGTGCGTTAGCAGTTTGGAAATAATCGGTGGGCAGCTTGCGAAGGGAGAAAACAAAAATTTTAAAAAGTTGTCGACAGATAAACATGACTGTAAGGAAAGTAAAATTTTAAAATTCAGTCTACTGACTTTACTTACGATTAACAGCTGCCAGTGTTCCTCTACCTAATCTGCTGACATCTTTTAATCTCGCGGTTCATGTGTGCGGGTAGATCATCACTCTTTCAAACGTCTCCCAAACTCAGCTAATGAGACAAATTCTTTGACAATTAAGTGAAGCAAGCATGAAATGGGCGTCTTTATAACGAAAAGTACATGCAAATGAGTAGGTACCTATCGCTTGACAACATCCATCGTTTTAATATTAGTTTTAATTATTTACAAGTAACATTCTAAAAAGGAAGGCGCCTTTGTTTGCATTTCCGATATATGTTTTCCTTGTTAAATTCCAAATGTGTTTGACGTCTTCCCTCATATTACACCTTCATCCTGTGAAGATTTCAATTTCTATAACATTTTCAATAACATTTCCGGTTTGAAATTCAATTCAAAATTCTTCTTAATATCATTCTTCGATCGTAATTTTATAGATTTCAAGAATATTATCCAGTTGTAGGGGTTATTATAACCTGAACGATCTTTAGATACTCCGATTTAGTTTTTTTTTTTTGGAGTCACATCAGCTCTATGGATTGCACGAAATGCCGAAATTTACATTAAGTTTTGATTAGCAATGTCAGGTGCGGAAGAAAAGATGGGGACATGAAGACTGGTGAAAGAATGACACAAAACACTGATTAAACTTTGGCAGCCAATAAGTACACTAATCTACCATCAAATTATCAAGGAACGTATTCTGTGGCCAAATCTATGGTTTTATTTTTTTTATGCAATAAAAAATTCATCATTTGTTTTCACTTTATTAAATATTGATTTTAAACATTTAGGTAAACCACCCAAAGATTTTGACATTGAAGCAAGTTGAAATCTAGACCGAAAGGTGCCAATTATTTTGTCAGCTGTCGTCTTCTACGGGATCACAATCTTCGCAGTCTTACAAAATTAATTCACAGGGTTCATACCGAACTGATTCGCTCCTTTTCCTTGTCGTGGAAGAAAGCACAGACCTCTAAACTTAATTGCGCTTTCTCACAGTACTAGCAGTGGTAAAAAGTTAGAGGAGCTGAACATCGCAAACTGAAATTTAGGAAAAATTCTTCTCCATGGCTAAGGGAAACCACGCAATAATTAAAAGTCAAAGTATTATTAGCACTTCGCGTTATTTTCCCGGAAGCTTCGCCAAATGATGTTCATCAAATTTATTCGCACCGACTAACATCTTAAAAATAAAATGATTGTTGCTGGAAGACTGTGAAACAAGTGAGACGACAAGTAACTCTTGGCCTTTCCTCTTTCCTTTTCAATTATTTTTTTGTGAGTGCCCGTAGTCAGGTATTGAATTTTCTAATTTAATTTTTCTCGTCCTCCATCTATGCCCCTAATCATTCAGCGTTTCTAGTTTCACAGCTGGGCTTTCTCTCCTCGATGTCTCCACGCTGCACCTTGGCTTTATTCAAATAATTATCTCCTGTTACCCAGGATATGAAGGAAGACCGAAGCATGTCCTCAGGAACTTATCCAAATTTGAAGAACTTCCGGCAATTCTGTAAAAGCCAAGCAAGAGAAAAAAACTCAAGCCAGCTCTCAAGTTACTTTCAAATTATCGACTTTCGATGCAAATATCGCAGCCGAGGAACGCGTTTTCTTTTTATTTTCGTTTTTAAACAATCAAAATGATGATGGTAAATTTTGCATTCGAGTAGGTTTAGGAAGGGAACTGCTCGGCCGAACATAATTACTCTTTTTTGTGACACAAACAGTTACAAGTGCAGTTTACACGGGAAAACAGTTCGATATATTAAGCACCAATAACACTAATAATTCACCTGTATTTCAACATTTGAAGCAAGTGATTGCAATCCCACTTATTCAAGTGGACGGGTTCTGCGTTCATTCAACACTCGATTTTTAAAACAATGAACAGCTAACTGCTTTTGGATGGACAAATTTAGGGCATGGCTGCCGCTTTATTTCGCGGTTTTTTCCAATAACCGCCATTTTCTTTCACAGTTACAAAGGATGCGAGTATCTGCACCGAAACACCAAATAAGAATCAGTATTTAATGTATTTAAAAATACAGTTTAACTGCTTAAATAGCATCGAAAATAAAACTAACTCAAATAATCATACATCTTTAGGGGAAAAACAAGATGAATTTGTTATTTGATAAAAATGAGATTCCGATCGTAGGAACCTATAAACCGGACAGTTATAAGCAGTAGCAAATTTCGCTCTCTGACAAATTTTACGAGTCCGACTAGCCACTTCTGGCTAACACTGAGCGACCTCGCCAGGTTTCTTAAATGAAAAAAAAGCATTAAATCTTATGCCGACATTTGAGAGCAGGTATAATACTTCAAAATTAAATTACAAAACAAAACATCGTAATTCTTATGCTCATACGAGAAATATAGTATTGTTATCAATTTATGCAAAAAAAACAACAAAACAATAACCAACAAAATAGTAGAATACTAGAAAATCAGACTCTTTTCAAGAGACAATGTTAAATCATATATAGACGATAACTTCAAAATCTTTCATGTTCCAAAAAAATAACCTTCTCTCAGTTATAACTTCAAGTAAATAAGTTTGGTAATTTCCTTTTTCATTTCTTCAATTCTCAATCATAAATAATTGAATACTTATCATTTATATGACTACTGTGTCTAAGACATGAATATTATGGTCGGTACACACAGAGCAAAATATCACTAAGTCAAGGTTTTGCCACAAACCCCTCCGTGTGAGTTACTTCCCAAAAAAATCGAGGAAACGCACGCGAATTTCCCGGACAAATTTTGTCGCAAAACTTTTCACAAACATTCATTTCACACGAAGCGAACTGACGCTGCGGCTTACACATGTGGCTTGTCTTCTTGTCTGTACCGACCTACTGAACTCAATCATCTCATGTAATTCATTTTCATAATTCATCATTCATTTGTTCCTATCTTAAGTCTAAATGGTCGTCGTGTCATAAATTAGTCAGCATTGAAACTGCACGAATACAACCCATGTAATGATTACCTTTCGTGGTAATAGGACCGTGGAGTCTAATTCGGTCTGTAATCATACAAGTGATTAATTGTTAATCACGAGTATGATTACAGACCGAATCGGACGACACGAAGTACTGTTACCAATTAATCAAGACTATGGCAAAATTTGAGAAAGAAACTACACATCGTTTTCACGTTTTCATATGACGCTGTAAATACAACAATGACATAACTAGATTACTTCTGCATCAGATGACTAACCGACTCATTCTAGATAAAACTTTTTCATCGAATACAGTTCTCATGTTGGTTGGGTCAGAGTATGGAATTTTCTTGAACACGGTTGTTGCTCACGCAAACAGTGTCATCTGCAAGTCTAGCTACCACTCTTGACTTGAAATGGTTACGATTCAAATTTTCATCGAAAGTGACGAATGTTGCTGTCAATCTTGGTTTTAAGAGTCTGTATGAGTGGAAGGACAATTTCGGTTAAACAGCGCATGTCTCCAAAGGTAATAATAATAACGATAATAATAATGATAATAATAATAATAATAAACATAGTAACACTGGTAAGGATGATGATGACGTTGACGATGATAATAATGATAACAAAACAGGCAAAAATAAAAGACAAAGTAACGAGCCTAACTGTCCTCACAAACGTGACCTTCTCGTATGACGTATCATTCATTAAGAGGGTCTCAAAGGGGTTAAATGTCAGCCGTAAAACTGCCAAAAAAAAAAGCCGTCAGGTGTAAAAATTGACAAGTTTTAACCGCTAGTCGTAAAAAGGTAACCTTCTAATTTTGTTTCTTTCTAAATTGCGTCATTTTGTGTCATTCTTGGTTAACCGTTAGCTGTAAAATGGCCACAATTTCAACCGTTAGCCGTAGAAGCCATCAACCCATTGAGATCCTCCAATAAAAACAGAAACCTTTATTGCTGTTAAATTTTGAATGATGAATAGATATATACTATAACAATAGTTATCTGCCCTCAATATCTGTATATGAAAGTTATTTAGAGCTCGACTGACCTCTAGTTCCACCCTGTTTGAAGACACAATGTCGTGAGTAGGAAGTGAGGGAAGACTAGTTGAATGATCCTGCAGGTAAAGTTGAGACAAAAAATTACTGTCATAATAATGACTTTTTAACAACCACAGTAATATCAATTAACTAAAATGAACAAGACATCAAAACAAAATTAAAAACAAAATGTAACAACGCAAAAAGAAAGCAAAGCGAGAGCCTGAGCCAGACAGACACTAAAAATAAGTTAATATATCTGCAGAAACAAAACAAAAAATACAAACAGAAAGGCGTAATTTAATCAGTTCCTCTCAAATAAAGGAAGAGTCCACTGAAATAAAGTTATTCGGGCTGAAAGATCGTTATTTCTTTAATTTTCCCTTCAGGGTGCTATACTTTCCCTTGTAAACTAGATACGAAATGTGTAATAGTAAGAATAAAACCTGTCGCCGACAAGCTTGTTTGTTCCTCTAGCTACTAGCTTAACAATGTATTAAAATTGCGAGGAAATGCTGACTAAACGAATGTCAGTATATGAAAGTCATATATTTGAACTGCGGATAAAGACGTGAATATAAAAGCGAGCCTCGCATTTATGAACACTACTTGAGCAGTAGTGAAAATAACGCTTGAAAAAGGAAAGTTTAGGCCTGTAGGGGATTTGAACCCAGGACCTCTGCGGTACCCCGCAGCGCCCTGCTCATTGAGAATCTTCAAGACAATAGTTCTTTTCATGAAAACCTCATAACTCAAAATTCTCAAAATGATATATCGAAATCAATAAGGTGAAAGTAATCTTCAATGAATTCTTCAAGCTGAGCCGATCCGTGAGAGAAAGAAGCAAAAACAGTTTTAACTTCTAAGAAACTGTACCTTAGAAGACTTTTCTTTGATAACTAATGCGTTTTCAGTAAGCAAAGGGAAACCAACAACGTCCTCGTATAAACAACTCCATCTCACTTTCCAACTATGCCAAAACATACTTTGATGCAAATTCATTATCCTCCTAAAAATAACAAGAGCAAACATTTGATTTATTTACAGCTTAATAACAACAGTTCTGCAACCTCTCGCTTTTGAGTGAGTTTACTTTTAATATTTCACCAGGTTAAAACAAGTATTTCGAATTTCACGGCAGCGGATGAGGTACTTGGAACAACCATCTCTGTATGGCATCAAAGTTATGAGCACGCATGCACACAGGGGATCAGGTCTGAGTAAACAACTCACCTGTCTGTCAAGAGGACCACAACACTATCGTCCTCATCTGTAATGCTCATATGGTCTATATAAACATCGCCGTCAAATTGTTTTAAACCCTGGAGGGGAGAAACAAATGACTATCAAATTCACCATGGTTAAAACACCAAACTTTTGGGAACTCGGCGTTAAGTCTAGCTCGCAGGGCTCTACGACAAGCATCTTTTGTGTTCTGTTGCTGTCGAAACTGCGTACACTTCAAAGCGACTTTTCACCAAGGTCGTTTGATAATTATTCGATAATATTCACCAAGCTTGAAAAATAGAAATTGTCATGGCATAAACACAGGGGTCTTAAAAGGTATTCAGTTGTAGACGACACGACTAGGGCGAACTGATGTAAAGTGCTAGTTAAAACACTGTTAAAAGGTTAATCCCAGTTTGGATGTAATCATCGTTACCTGCAAGATTCCATTTCCTTTGGCATCGTGCTCTGAGAAAGGCTTTAAAGGCTTGTGGAAACGAATAATAAAAGTACAGGTTAAAAAAAGTTCGAGGTGAAAATTTATCTTCAGTGGGTTTGAAAGTGGGATAACGTGATCGATTCAATTGAAAATACACTGATTGCAAGGTTAGGTCAGTTTTTATTGTGATTTTGCCCTCCTTTTCTTTCAAGGTTTTGGTCAATTAAAAGCCTTTTTACGTGAAATCAACAGAGAGTTGAACTTTTTTCACTCATTCTTTCATGGATGTTTTCTTAAAGAATCAATTTGTCTTGTATAGTGTGTGTGTGGGGTGTTTTTTTTTTGTTGTTTCAATAAAAGCAACCTAATTAAATCTAACTTTGTGCAGAAAGAAGAATATTTCTATCTGACAAAATTACTTTATAGTTCACATTCTGTTGCTGTATTTACCATATTGGCGGCTGTGAAACGGGGAATTCTCATCCTGCAGGCGATATCTTCGCCGTTCTGTTCCGCTGATCTGCAGTATATCAGAAGATGAAATCCAATGATTGTGATTCTTGAGTAGCGTTTGCAATTTATGACCTAAAGCGAACTCGTATGTTATTGTCTAGAAACCTTGACGATGCTCGTTTGACGTATTGAAGTATAACGTTATCATGGACACGTAAAATTTGTAAGTTTGAGTAACAGAAAGTCTGGACAATTAACCATTCCGTGCAGCCTCAGCAGCTTGTGGTTTCTAGTAAAGTTGTTTTCAATTGGTACCGTTAGGTACTATAACTTCACAACACTCAACTCAGGTATTGTGTATGCGTTTAGGTTAAACCTGTAAAAATTGTGAATGAGCAACACGAGAATTTACAGCAGAAAAGAGGTAACCTTCTCACTCCATCAAGAGTAAAGCTGACCATGTCAATAACTCCTCCTGTTGGATGTGTAAGCAATCCAAGGAGGCCTTTCCCAATTCCCTTGAAAAATCCTTCCACACCCTCGGAACGGGCACCTAAACAAAATAAATTCATCAAAAGGAAAAATAGCTCTATTTTTCTTTGGGAAGGAAAAGTTTGTGCTTCGTGGGCGTTTGAATAACCAAATCCAAACATTTCACATAGAGATAATCAACACCAAATCTTCATAAAAAAAAAACATCAATCAATTATTAAAATTGAAGGTGGTTCTGAAGTCACTGTACATATTTTTTAAATTGTTGTAGAGAGAAGAGTGTTTTTATGCTAATTGCAGTCTAATGATAAGTCAAACAAGGGGGCGTCAACGAACTCGAAATAAATTTTTTTCATCTGACATCCCGGACGTTAAATACTAGGACGTATTCAATGAATACATTACTCAACGAATAATTTATTTCTGCGAGGAAGCCTCATTGTAACCAGCGAAACAGTCACAGTACCCCGCATTTAACAATTCACTTAAACATGGAAAAAATGGAGGAGAATCTTACCCTTTACGGGTTTTACAACTACACCGGACAGTCCAAAGAAAAGACCCTGAGGAGGAATCAAATTGAAAGAGTCAGTCCGTCTGACAAGTCATTGTGACCACCTTCTGGATTTTAATGTCCTTTTGTTTGTCTTTAAGTCTGCATTTGAGGTTGACTTGCATGTCTGTCAGATCTTATTCCTGTTGTTCTACTATAAGATGATAAAGAGAAGGTCCTCACTATTCTCCCCCAGCATCAGTTTCGTCAGAATTCCCTGGCAGCTTAGCAGTAACGAAAAAACCCTAGTAATAACGACCATAATTTGATTTTTCGATTCTCTCCTTTAACTCCCAAGATCTCATTAGTAATTCTCCTTACTGTCTGCCATACAGTTCTTGTGCTGTTAGTTTGGAGAATTTGGTACTAGATTAACTTGTAGTCCCCTAATTGAAATTTCTCCTTATTCTCATCACTTGCCTGCTTGAGATTGTATGGATATTGTAGGAAGAAATTCTTTCTTGGTCACTCATGGGAGTTAAATGGTTAAAAAATCCGCAAATTCAACTCACCATCAACAGACTTTTTCCTCCCATCAACAGTCCTTGACGAACACCTTGAGGTTGACTGTGCATGCGCAGACGTCGTCGCTAGAAGAAAAAAACACGTTCTTGAATGACAGCTTCGCAATTCGTTCTACGATGCGCGATAACCAATAGCGAAAAGCTCACTTATGTACATAACTCAACGCCAATAGAATTGTCTGCTTGCTTCCCTCTCTGCTCGAAGCAGATGTAAAACGTGGGCTGAGCTACTCACCATCTGGAAATTTGAGTCGAACGTGAGCGTGGCCACAGCCTGACCCAATGACCCCGTTATGCGCGAAAACGCCCCTGCGGTTCCACCTGCGTAAAAAAATATTTATATCGACGTGTTGATAACAACATAAAGCAACATTCATTTTTATCTTTGCTTTCATTGTTCCAAGAGGCCTGGCCTGCAGTTACCTTGTATTAATCTGAACGCAAGAGAGTTTGCACCAAAAACAAAACAAAACAAAAACAAAAACAAAAAAAGATACCGAGTGTGCCCTAGGGTTAAATACCGCCACAAAGTAAAAAGGTCCGTGTAGAAACTGAAGACGGCATGTCTGACGAGTTCTGTTCTGCATATAACCACATTTTGCCTAATATGTAATTAAAAAAAAAACTTATGCAATCCTTCGAGTCAACTAGGAAAGTACGTCACTCAACGAAAAATTTAAGAATGCCACTCTAACATAAAATTTAAAGAAACTGGGTATGTTACGTTATTGATTGTATCTTCGCTTAAGTTACCTATCACATGACCCAGCAAGCTCCTAACACCACGAGCTACACCTTCAGCAAACTCTCCTGGCCCTGCAATGATACCCTAACAAAATAGAAAAAATACCATGTCAGAATTTCGTCCACTATTTTTGTCCTTTCTTTGACGAACAAAAAATCCCAACTAACCTGATAGGGCTCATAAAACAAGTCCTTAACTCCTTTGCCAATCCCTGTAATCAGTGCGTACGGGTTGCCAAGCACATCAAGGCCCAGTACAAGAACATAAACTTGACGCACACCCTGCAAGATGAATAGAACAGGGTTTATTCTAGAGCGCGGCTTGACGGGATTTCCGCGATTTGAAAAAAAATTCCCCCTAAAGCTTACCACTAAGTGTCGAATGGGGCACAAAATATTGCACTCATAGATAAACATATTTTTTCTTTCCGAATTACATGCTCGAAAACGTGAGTGACAAGATTGATATCAGAACTACTATATAGCCTCTTAAAGCGTCAACTGCCCTCCTCTTCTTCGTTTCTCCACCGTCTTAAATCTACGAATACGTTCAAACACCTTTTGGGATTCCCCCTTTCTTGAGACCCCTTCTTGAAAAAAAGGACTGATAAAATTAAAACCTTTTCGAATGAGCAAACAAAAATGTAGATACAACGATACACACTAAGAAATACGTTGCGCTAAATATTTACCTGCATTGTGTAATGCCGCGTGATCTGAGCAACAAGATTCTCTTGAGTCAAAAATGCACTGACTCGCTCGAAATAAGCCATTCTGGGAAAAAATTGATCAAATGAATATGTGCAACGAAAGAATAAACAAAGCAAAATTTTATATATGACAACCTCCCACAATTCCAAATATAAGGGTCATCCACAAAAATGCTTTTTTATTTGTAAAAGCATAATACTTGGTTTGAATAAATGTCCACAATTAAGGCTCGAAAACTGGAAACACAGAATTCCAACAAAGACCCGTCTTCACTAAGGACAGATAATGCTAAATTAAATTCACAAAGTAAACAGCACCACACACCATTGCTATCATAAGCTGGTTTTTGAGAATTTTGACGTGAAGTGAAAGATTTTGGACATTAGTGTCCGATTTTAGACAATGGCGTCGTATTTTGGACACTAGTATGCTATTTCTATGCCTGTAGTGTCCGATTTTGCTTACAAGTCTGATTTTAGACAGTAGTGTCCAATTATTAGCGTCCGATTTAATACACTTCCGATTTTAGACACAAGTGTCTGATTTTAGTTAAGCATTAAAACGGTTGTCATACTTAAGTGTGGCATCATTAATATCTGTGAGCGTCGCCCCAATGGAGTCGACAAAGAAATCCAACAAGTCTTGAGCAAAAGCTTGATCCTCATCGTTCTCATCAAACGAAGACGCCAGTGAAAAACTGAGGTTGATCTAATAGAGAACAATTTTCGTCACTTCACTGACAATATTATTTAATACATAGATTCTTTTTTGCCGAAGTGATAGATCACAGTGGCATCCGGTCGAATCGTAGCCACGGTTGAGTCGGTTCGTAACCAAGTTTGAGTCGGTTTGTAGCCAAGTTTAAGTCGGTTCACAGATGAAGTCAAAATGTGGTAAGAACAAAAAAAACAAAGGTCGCATACAAGGAACAGCTGAGTGTTTCACTGATGTGCAGCACATTGCGAAGTTCAACAAACACAAGGAAAGTGGATAATCGAATCCAAAAAGAGAAAACAATATGACAAAAGGTGATTACTTCATTTTGTCATCTCTATCATTCTTAACTTGGTTTGAATGCTTATAATTAGCAACGTCTGGTTGGCTAGACGAGTCCTTTTAAAAACATGGTTCTATATTAATCACAATTGTCCGGTCTGGGCAAAACCGATCAACTAACTGTAAATACTAGTTCGTAATTATAACAAAAGGATACAAGCAAAAACTTCCGACAAACAAAACGTCAAACCAACAAACCTTGAGAGGGGACAAATGAAAGTACTCTAGGAAAACTTTTTGCGTCTCCAATGCGGCCTGCAGTCAGAATGTTGATATAAAGGTTACAAATTTTTTTCTTACATGGAAAAATAATTAGTACAAACTAATGTATTTTCAACTTATGGTCGCCATAATGTAGTGGAGATAATTTATATGTTGTCGAAAGTAACCTCAGGTTGAGTTGACCTGAAGTATTATGTTGTATTGGAGTTAAAAATTTACCCCGGCATTCCCTACCCCCCTCCCCCCCCCAACCAGTCTGGCGCAAGCTTAAACCAATCCCTTTCCGGTCAGTAGTATTTTCAAGTACTGGAATCATTTTACATGTGTTTAAAAGTAATTCTCGATGGTTCTTCGTGATGTTATTTAAACAAATTTTTTCCATTGTTTAACAGAACCGCGTTCTAAGTCATCTTCAATTTACCTGAACCTTTAATCTAAACATTTTGTTTTTTGAACAGATTTAAGAGGGCCGAAAGCTCATAGTGGAAGGACATCTTATGGAAAATCCATGAGGACCACTGCTTGTGTAAGACCGCGGTTGGGGTTAAACCTCGTGTAAATAACCGGCCCTAAGAGTTCTACCAACCCACTAGACTTTCAAAATTGTTTACATTATTAACACAGGAAAATTGTCAGCCGATACAAACTTTTACTGCTTTGGTTTCCCTCAAAGGCACGGCACATCGTTTCATGTCTTCTTCGAAATAATTTTCCTGTCATGAAAACAAATGCAAACACCAATCAACAAATGAAGGACGGAAGACAATAAATGGGACCTGAGGCAGATTTGAGTTCTACACAAGTGCAGAAAACTAAATTACTGAAAGAACCAGACACTCTGCAAATGTCTTTTTTAAATTTCCTCCTCTCCTTCCGTTTTTTTTTCCTATCCATTATTTTAACTCGGACAATGCCTCTTACCTCTTCTAGAAGTTCCCTCTGTTGACTCAAAAGACTTGCCATAGAAATAATGAATCCTTTATCAATTCTCACATTCATCGCCTGTACCAAAGCCTTAGCGTACCTGTCGATACAAATAAAGATTGCAATTATCCAAGTTGATCCAACACTGGAGTTAGTGGGCTGGACTCCTGCTCGGGAGGTCTGAGTTCGTTTGAGGAAAACACTTCACTTTCACAGAGCCTCTTTCCGCCAAGGAGTATAAAATAGGTTCTAGGAATTGTCACTGAAGGCTGATGAAATGTTGGGGGGGGGCAACCTTGCGATGGACTAGCATCTCATCCAGAGGGAGTATTGATACTCCTAGTTGCTTCATGATAAGGAAACCGGGATAAGTTTCGGCTGGACGTGCCACTGACTCGAGTACAAACTTACCAAACACTGAACATTGGTGTGCGGCTAAATCTGCTATGCACTTACTTTATGTGGTGCATTCCTTCTTTAGGGACTTGATGATAAATCACTGACACTTCAATGAACGGTTTCAGTCCTGAAAGAGCAAATTTTCGTTAAGGGATACGCTATACACAGAAAGTATCAGGCTAACACACCCGTACCTCCATATATGCCCTATTCTAGAGGAGATATATAGAAAGCTGTTTTCAAAACTAAGCTCTTTGGTCTTACGAAAATAAAACATGAACCTCTCACGTTAATTAGATTTTTCGGTGCAGAATGCATAACCAATTCGAAGCACAGAGAAGCAGAGATTGTCTACGCCTAAATCCTTCTGAAACCTTCGAAAACAGGAGTGATCAAAATATCACCTAGGAGAGACACCTTTATCAACAAGCCTTGTATTGAGAAATTTTTTAACACTTTGCTTGACAGACTTAGCTGGTGCATACCGTAAAATGTCCTCAAACGAAGAACAGAAGCACTCATCAGCACTATATTTTAATTGGTAGACAACTCTTAGTATTACATAATAGCAAGTAAGGCAACTGTACGTACCTGTCCTCTGAATGATGGCAGAAGGTAGCGGTGATGGATAAAGAGCAACTGGAAAAACCGTGCCGAACTGCTGATTATCAACCTGAAATAAGCAAAACAGCGTGTAATGCTTTGCAACGAAGATAAGTTAGAGAATAGTGGCAATATACCTATGCATAAAATAAACATTGGAGCACCTGGGTCTCAAAGCATATACGCCGGTGCAAAGAATGATCCCTCCTCAGTATTGAAGCAGGGTCGAGAAAAAAAGACGAAAAAAAGCACAGGTTCTAATCTACATCTAAATGCACTTTAATCTTTGAAATTTTTGGAAAACAAAATTATCCAGCCGAATATTTTATTTCAAAAAAATTTACTTATAATCAGACGGAAGAAAAACCTAAAAACGGGAAACAGCTGGCAAAGCCATCATCCTTCCTCACCTGAATTCGATGCATTCTGCAGTGCAAACTGTGGTAGTGATCTGATCGGGAGTAATTTAACCACAAAGCAGGTTCAAACAACCTTTGAAGGCTCCCGCTATACGGGCGAGTCATAGTCATTGAGTTTAAGTTCACCTGTAGAGAATCAACAGAGAGAATAACTCGTTTAAGCGAACAAAAAACCCAGATATAAAACGTAGGAAAAATGTTTTGAATTCCATGAGAGGATGTCAACCACAGCTAATTTCCAGAGGGACGTTCTGAAAACTGAGGGCCAGGCCAAGAACAACAAAAGTAAGATTAAAATATTTACACTTTGGAAATAGGGATAATATTTCTGGGAATGTTTTTATGGATTAAAAAAAGGAATAGCGAAATCAGAGCTAAATCTCTCTTTTTAGAATTATTGTCAACGACTACAGTACATTAAATATTTTCAAAAGTGTTCTCTTTTATATAAATTGAAAGATATTGGAACGCAGTCGTCACCTCCCTGTCTTCCAAGGCGATTTCCCCTGCGTTATTCCTCCAGGCATCCTCTAACCAAGTTGACAACTCTAGATTGAGGGTCTTCCATTTTCCAGAAGATCCCTTTACTTGCCAGACTGAGGATGAACTGTGAAACGATTCCAAATTAAACAAAGACAGATCACTTAATATCTATTACTTACTCAGTTAAAATGAGGTATACCCAAAATGTAGATGCATCAGAAAATCAGACCTAATTAGGACCTAGGGTTCCAGATGAGTATTTCAAACTGACCCCTATAAGAGGAAAAGCTACAATTTTTTATCCATAAGAAAATTTTTCCTCGATTTCTTTCGCGTTATAGTTGAGGAAAGCGACCCCGAATCAGCTATCACGCTATAGGAATCGTGGGTAAACACACTAGTTTAGTATAAATCTACTAGTTGTTAAAAACTTAAAGACAAGTTCATCTTTCCATCATTTTTTTTTACAACCGCATAATGTTCGACTACTTACTTCGGTTCACCCCCTATTTATTGCGCAATACATTGCGAATAACGGAGCATTTCTGATAGACCCTTTGTAGATTTATACTAATTGGAGTAAATCTTACCCTGAAGCAACATAAACAGTTGAAATAAAACTTTGGTAGTGTAGATGAACATGAAAAGGTTTAAAACAAACAAAAGATGAACAAGGAGGGCTGAGGATGGTGAAGATGTAAACAGATTGCAAATGATGAAAGGGAAAAGTTTAAGATGAAAACACCGAGGAGAAACATTACCTGGACAAGGTTATGTATGCCACTTCATCAGGTTTGCTGTTGACCAGTGACAAACCGACACCATCCAGTGACATGAAAATCTCCATAGTAACAACTTCAGAGTCACAACACTGAAATCATGAAAGGGACTGCAATAAATTTACGACATAAAAGAACATATTTTATTCGAAACTTTCAAAAGTTCCAAAAGCGATCTCTTTCATTTTGTGAAAGCAAGTGTATTTGTTTCGTGATTACAAGAAAATGAGCTTGATTCTAATCCAGTTTCTAATACCTTCCGAGCCAGACAGGAAAGATTTTCATCATCAGCAAATATCAGCACCCTTTGCAGTCCGTCCATGACAGACACCCAGTAGATAGTCTTCTTAACCCTGTGTACCACCGGCCCATCCACAGTATCCCACTCCGCCTCATCCATTCCTACAGGTACAGCATTTGACGAGCCGCAAAACAATCCACACGTGCTGTCTCTGTCTTCCAACTGCTTTCGGTCATCTTTAACTGGTGGGGAGATTTCATCGAGTTCCATTCGAATTTCGCCGAAGCTGTCCTACAATTTTAAGTTAATTAGGCAAATACTCAGAATGGAGGGGTGGGGGGGGGGTGTAAAAGGAAAATATGCACCGTTCAGCGAAATGTATAGAACTCTTGCCGATAAATGCCCTTCTACTGGACAATTCAATTTCAAATGGGTCGTTTCTTTGCTAGAAGTGAAGAACCTGGAAAAGAGCCTTTTGGAAATTCATCGGAGAGCTACCTTCGTAAGGCTGCTGAGTTACACTAAAATTTCTGAATGTTTCCTTAAGAATTTTAGCAGGTATTACAGAAAGATGCAAGTGCCGCTCTTCTGAATAAATCTGCAAATCTCCAGTAAAGACACTGATACTGGATCACAACAACGCGATATATTAAAATCATTGCAAACAAAAATGGCATCAAATACGAGTAATTGTCGAAGACAGATACAAATAAAATTCAACGAAAACTGCTTTTTCTTGAGATCCTACCTCATCAACTTGAGCCTCAATTGGCTTATCTAAGCCCTTGAACGGTTTCCAGAGTAGTTTTCTTACACCTAATGGATCATCCCAAGTGTACAGGATCATCTGCTTAGAGTCAAGCAACGTCACCTGCCCACAGTCTCTGAAAGTTATTGGTACTCAATCAGGAGCAATTTCGAATTGAAGAAAAGTGACATTTGTTTCTTAAAAAATAGAGGTATCAGTAACACATTATCGCCCACCCACAGCACTTCAGTTAACCATTGTCTCAGTTTGCATCGGAAGATATGAAAATCAGAGCAAAATGAAGAGGAAGGCGCTCCCCCATCTCACCCAAAATTTTCATTCGCAAAGAGAGGATCTATATAAACATTTTTCCGCGCTAGAATCGCATTGGTCTACAATACCAGGTTAGCTTTCAAAAATATGGACATAATCATATCATCTTACGTATGTGCTGCCACTGAACTTACTTCTGATGAAACCGGATCGGAATATCGTCACACAGGTTTTCAATCCTGATTGTTGCAATTCCAGGCGAGTAAGGTGACACCACTACAGTTGTCACGGCTTCTTCGACCTCTCCATGAACGTCGACAGTGAGAGCCTGCCAATCCGGAATCCGAAGAACTGTCGTGTGCGATGAGTCGAAACTGAAAGGCTTCGAAATGAACTTTGACATTGTTGGCTTCAACACGATTGAACTGGACTTGTCATTGGGCCAAAATGGTTTGCTCTAAAAACGAGACCATAGGCAAACGGTTCTCAAATTTATATTCTGGACTGACCATTACCGAAAAAAAGGTTTTGTAACATTTTGACAATTGATATAAACATTTTCAGTTCTACTCTAAAGAAAGCCCCGGTGGCTCGAGGGGTAAATACCGCTATCCACTGGAAAGTTCTCTATCTCGGTGGATAACACAATACGGTTTGTTAACACTTGTGTATTGTCCTATTGTAGTGTCCCTGAATCTCATTCTTACGAGCAGCAGGTAAATTTTCCCGGCTGAAGACGAAACTACAACGATTTCATCTCTCCATCTTCCAGTCATAATTTTTAAAAACGCAAAAATAGTTCAGTCTGCCATTTTTATTCGAATAAATGTATAGAAAGTTGTGATGGTGTGATTCACTTACTTCTCCTGGTTCCACAACAAACCACAAAGCCTTTCTGCCTATATTTTCAATAAAAGAGAACGAAATCTGCGAAGAAAAGGTTTAGAAAGGATATTAGTAATAAAGATTATTAACAAACTTAAATCTGTTTTCCATCTTTTTCTATAAACAATTCATAAAAAGCAAAACAAATTGAATAAACACAATCAAACAAAAAGAAATGCCGGTATAAACGATGAGTCGGGGAAGAGGGTACTTTCCTTCATGAGCTACCCATAAAGATATCTCCCACCCCCAAGGATTTAGCTTCTAGGGTGTTTTGGCTCTCATAGCCAAAAGCAGACTGTATTGTTGCTGTGTTGTTGCTGTGTTGTTGCCGTGTTGTTGCTGTGTTGTTGGTGGGGGGAACTGGCCTTTAGTTAAGTATAGATTCTAACCACTTTTTTCATAACCAGGTAACCTTTTAAAGGTACCGTGCCCGCGCTCTATGAGCGCCATCCCCCAAATAAGCACCCACCCCTTGGCCACTATGTGAAACAAGCACCCCTCTTAATTATGCTCCCCCCTCCTTCCCTATTTTCTTACACTATAGGGATACAAAGAAACCCTGTTTCTATTGCCACTATATTTCTGACTTTTAAAGCTTTAAAAACAGTGGAATCAGTGTGTGAGAATGGTTTCTTTTTCGTTAAGTCACTTCCAGTTTTTTCTATCTAGATATCAACTTCGCGTCTACGCAGACATTGTTGTAGTTTTAGTTTTTTTTTTTAATATTTAGCTAAAATAAAGTAAGTTTATTGAAAGGAAAATTGAACAAGCGCCCCCCTCGATTAAGCGCCCGCCCTCCAATAAGCGCCCCTTCTTAGCTGAAATTTTAAATAAGCGCCGGGCGAGGTAATACGGAAACTTTGTAAAGGGGCAATGAATGACACATACCTCCGTGTTGTTAATGATGACGTATTTCGGGGTTAACGTCACAACCCTTGTCAGCCCTGTCCTGGACATTTCAATTTGTAGGATAAACTGAAACAATAAGACAAGGGGTATAAAACAAAATGAACGAACAAGGACTGAGACGAAAATAAACATGACTACGTCATCGACTGAGCGAGAGGTCAAGATATCATTTTTGGGCAGGTTCCCAGCTTTCTCTTCTCTATTCCTTTGTAACGTATCTGAGAGCAGGTTGAAGCATTATTCCTAACGGAAACAAGGAAGGTAATTCCGAGCCGATATGATGTAACTGTATCACTTGGAGAGCCAAATTCGGAACACAGAATTCATAAACATTGTTACAATAAAGGTCGCTACATGTACCTCCAGTACTAACTCTAGTTATCTTACCTCAAACCTTTTTGAGTCACTTCCTTTGCATGTTACCTTTCCAGAATCTCCAACAGCGTCCAGAGAAAATTTGTTCGACCATGGATGTCCAGGCAGTCGGATCTTGGCCTGGGAAGACAAACAAACAATAAAATAATTCCAGGTTCAAGGACGTCTTTTCCGAAGCAACTTTCACTTGTATTCTTGTCAACTCATGGCTGCTAAAACACGATAACAAGGTAGGCAAACCAAACGTTTCTCGATGTGCTACCAAAACATTTGTTTTTTGTGATCATTTTTTTTTTTTTGTAACTTATCTATAGTTTCTGTCGACCGCAAAAGGCTTTTTAGAGGAAGCAGTATTTTTGCACGCTTAACTCCGAATTCAGTTGATGCTAAGAAAGCCCGTCATCATAACGCATAGCGGTATGCGCCAATGTGCCTATGCGCAGACAGTGCTCTCGTGTAAGACAAACTATATTTCACACCTACCTTTCTATAGGTTTTTTCAGTGAAGTTAAAAAGAAGTGGATGTTGTTCTACAGCAGACTGACGATAAACTTGTTCACATCTTGAGACCTTAACGAGAAGGAATTGATTTAAATTCAAGAAGTTATCCATCATTCCGGTAAATGTGTTTTTTGCTCAGTGTAGAGAGATTGGTTCATGGCTTCCACACTTGGGATAGGTAGGGGAATTACAAATATAAAACGGATGAAAAAGAAACAGATTCAAAATAAGAAAATTGAGGGTAACCAGCGTTTCCCGCGCGTGGCACCGTTTGCCTTGGATTAAAAATAGCTTTCGTCGACTTGTTCTTATCGTTGCACACTGGACATGAATTGTAGCCGGCAACACTAGAAAGACAATACATTGATAATAAGGAAAACACCAAAAAGCCGCTGGCTTCTTGTCCTTACCCTGTACTCCACATGGAGTCCAGTCTTGTTGATGAGCCAGAAGGGAGAGTAGATCAACAGCTCTCTTGTCCCTTGTTGGGGCATCGATTTCACTCCAAGCGACTAACAAAACAAAACAAAAACAAAAAAATACAACTTACCTTTGAAACTTTGACGACTCATTTTTTTAATGGAAGATTTCTTCTGAAGTTAACGTTACAAATTGCTAAATGTTACTATTCCCATACTTCTCCACGTCTATTTAAGCCTTAGTATCGCGCAGTTTCAAACAGAGACGGACAAACAAGTTATATATGTCGATCGGCAAAACTCAGTTATACGCCTTTAACTTAAGAAAGATGGAATATAGAAAAGGGCATTCCCACGTTTTAGGGTATATTAGAGAACTCATGCAGAGGCGATTTTGAGACGCTGCGGCAACTGGAAGAGTAATAAAACTAATTCTGGCGCGTTTTTACGCCGATGAATCGACCGTAGAGTTGTCGTTTTAGCACCTTTAACGAAATTATGCTGACCAAAAAGTCGCTTTTAACTTCAGGCTTCCGTTCGCGTTTGTGCTTAGCTCCATATTCAATAACGAAACACTTTTAAAGCTATCACACTCGAGCAAAATTGTTTAAAGAATTATACGAGAGGATGCCATTGAACTAAGTCTGGATGAAAGAAGTAAGGCAAGGTGGAGAAATACATTGTAACTTACCAATTCTTTGGAGGTGTCTCTCTGTGAACGCATAAGTAATTGACGGGATTTGTGTCGTTGTTTCTTCACAAAGATATCTCCAACCCAATTGGCTTCTCCGTAATCTTTAAGCTTTGCATTGAAAATAAAAAATTGAAAGAGTCATTATGCGCATGTCCTTGCATCGGATTTGTGCCCCATTAAATAAATGTTATAGCATTGGAACGAAAACAATTACAGTTTCAAATACGATGAAAAAAGCCTATAACTAAAATCGAATCTGTAAATTTGTACAGGCAATCAATTCATTTCGAGTACAATTTGAAACAAACAAGTGCTCTTGGCCGATGAGCATGTTGAATTAACTGAATGTAGATTATAAATTGATAACCAATTGATTTGATTCGATATTATTGAACAAGATGATCAGCAAAGACGAACATAAGCATTTTTACCCAAAATGAAAACCAAATACTTTTTAAAGTTATTGAAACGAATAATACTGTATTACCGTAACAGTTATTTTGCAATCATCTCCAGGACAAACATTGACAAAAGTTACTTTGTCACCAGCACTGAGTACTTTGTCTTCTCTCCCTCCCCCCTAGTGAAATAAAGAAAAATAGAAAAAAAATTTAAAAATTATCTTCGTACACTTAAATTTTAATCTTAGATATTTGCAGTTTGATTTTTCCTTACTATGTTATGAAACCTAATCAAAAGTCAATACACCCATCGGTGGAGTTTTCGGTATCTGAACTGTATGAGTATACTATTCTTCCTCTCGAGGGGAAATGCAGCGACTGCAATCACCCAAATATCAAGCAACGGCGTTGGCAAGGCCCGGGGTTTCTACATGTTTGCGAGAAAATCGTTCGGCAAAAAGGTAAAACACAGGTAGGTAAAGATAAGTTACATAGCAATCCCTTCCTACAGTTAACGGCTAAAACCAAGCTGAAGGATAAGCTCAGTTGTCAGTGATCGTTTGGCGAGGTTTCCATATCCTCCCGATCGCCAAAGATACGCTAGACACGTAAAAACATGAAACCAGGCCTTACGCAGCAGTTTTCAGTGTCGAAAAGTGTTGAAAAACCAAAACCAGATTTATCAAAACGACCAATTAGAACAATGATAAAGTCATCGTCCACTGATGCAAACTCAAAGTAAAAACAAGTCAACCGCGGAACGACGTGGGTGACCAAGTCGTGATTTGTTTTATTAGTGAATCTAGTCGGTTGAGAGATGGGCCCGAGTTTTCTGGACCAATCACTGAGCCAATTTAAACAAAACCGATTCAATCCTGGATTAATTTCAACACTCCATCGAACATAGCTCTAAAATACTTTCCCCGAGAAGACTTTCCCTATTGGTCACAAAGGTTTTGATAGTAGCAGGGATTATTAACAAAACGATTACCTACCTCTGTTGATAAGTCTAGCTCAAAAGGAAGTTTATTCTGCACGACTAAGGGAGGGTACAAATGGATCACATGATGGGGAGAGTCGTCACTAGTTGGCAGTTTGTTCAAGCTGTCTGTTAAACAAAGGGCCTGGAGACAAAAATAGTAAATTTAGATCTTACATGCAAGCTAGAAGATCTATTTTAAATACTCCCATCAAACAGAACTGTACCTTGATGAAAAAAGGGGAGGAAGACTCTGAAGTTATCGTTGACGAACAAGACAATACGTGAGACGGCTCTCCTGTGGAAAACTTTCTCCACGATATCGAGGAAGATGAGATATCAAAACTGAAATAAAAACAAATCACCACATTTCATCCAAAAAATTCAGTTCGAATGATAAAATTTGATTGCTCCTTTTTCTCTTTCATGTACTTGGAGTCAAAAAAGACGAATGCACTGTAGTGGTTTCTTTGAAAAGCATAGCCTTGTCAAGAACACAAAGGTCAAAATCTAAAACCGTTTTCAGGCAGAAACTATGCACAGAACGTCATCTCTGAGGCAGTACACAACAATGTAGCTGATACGGAGGAGGAGACAGCATTTCCCCACGTCCGAAAGCATGGGAACTACGACTCCAGAATGAGCTCAGAAGACAATATGATGCAGTTATGTCGCATGAAATGATTGAAGGAATAATTATCTGCAACAAAGTTTGAATGTATTTTGGTGGTAAGATTAATTATGTTCCAGTTTAGGTTGTACTTCGCACTCCGATACGTTTTGCAGAAGTTTTCCCTTACAAATCCACAACGGAGAAATATGGAAAAACACGAAATAATTCTGAAAGATAATTCTGCTACTTTGCTGAGCTAAAGAACCTAACTTACTCAGTACCACCAGGTTTAAAGAAAAGCTCTTCGTTGTAAGCCGTATGTAAAGGCACATTCTGCACACCACCAGATTCCACGCTGAAGAGTTTGAAAGGATGGTCTTCTCCCGATTCTAATGAATCTCGTCTCTTAACGAAAATATCCACTGGGACATGAAGGTGGTTTTGGATCTACGAGAGAATTTCACAGGCTTCTATTAAACGATTAAGATTGCAATACAAGACTCGAATAAATGTCCCGGCTGACCCCAAAGTTATCCGGTCAAACGTATTTTTGCTCGGACGCAACCCATTTTTGGCCAGACAAATATCCATTACGTCACATCGCAACAAATTCCACCCCCCCCCCTCACATAGAACAAACATATTGAACCAGAGATAGTTTGTTGATCGGCCACTATTTTGAACCCTGCAGCAGCTCAATGTTAGAGTACCAACCAAAATGGGGAGGGGTAATATTTGCAGATGTTTAATGTACTCAGATGATCCGCGAGGCAAGTAATTTTCGAATTTCCTGCAATTATTACACACATTCACGGCAATAATGACCACGACACTGGAAAGAGTTTATGATGACATCAAATATATATTTCGATAAAGATGATTAAACACGGTGGACACCTTTTCGGTGGGTTAAAGTTTTGGTGAGAAAGCACAATAGACATCTTACCCGCAGTGGTGACCTAATAGTGACTGTTTTACGACCGCGCTTTATATCTACTTGAACAACGACATACCATTTGTGTTTTGCCTGAAAACAAAATGAAAACAAAATTAATAAAACTCAGGACTCAGTGGGACCTACTTTCATAGCCACCAATTGGTGATGTAAAATCATAAAATGTTTGGCAGAGATTGAAAGTTAATTCGTCAGAAAAATAATGAAATTTATCGAAGAAAAACTGGGGAAAAAAAGGCTAGCGTTCGTTTTTTGAAGTACATAGAATATCTCCAGGCTAAATACAAAGACAACCAAGGATGAAGAGGAAATTTTCTAGAGAGAATTAACAACATTTTATGCATACACTTATCTCACTTAAACTTTAGACCACAAACTCTACGTAAAAGCGACTTTATCTACAAATTTACTCGCCAACATTTTTTTCTACTTGCCACGGCGACCAAAAAGGTCGCACCTTGAAGAACGGTAACCGCGAAGCGCGAAGCGCGTGGGCCATAAATCCGTGTGGGAAAAACGAGCCTCCGTAACTTACAGTGCGGACCGAGAAAACTAGGTTAGTAAGTCATTTATTATATCTCTGGTTTCAAATAGATGGGGGATATTCAATTTACACAAACTTTTGAAATTAGCGGGCCGTACAGTGAAATACAGCCCGCCGAATTGGCCAAAATAATGGGGGTTTCGTAAATAAACTTAGTTTCGCCAGCTGTCATACAACGCTGTTATCCTAATTACCTCACACAACGGTGCATCTCGTGGAGAAAGCTCGTGCAGGAACGATCCAGAGCGACTAACGGAGATGACATTCATATGGTAAAACCCATCCACCTAGCGAAAATAAGTTTCAGTTAGAAGAAGAAGATGAAGATGGATTGGCCATATTCACCAAATGCCATCCTTAGCCCTGCCCAAAGGTGCATGCCTCCGATGGACTCCCTTAGGCCTCCCCAAAGAAACTTGAAAGAGAGGCGTAGGAAGGGAAAAGAGGCACAGGGGCTGGACACGAGGGCACCTTGCCTTAACCGACAGGTAACCGACAAAAATTAATGGTGTTCTCTGCCCGAGGCCTTAAGTGCATAGACGCATGAAGAGAATAAATTAACTGTCTAAATGAAACTTTAGATAAGAAAGGGTTTCACCGTCACCACAGACTAATAAATGTGGACATGTTTTGTTGTTCGAGGTTAACTTGTCCTGAATCAGTGGTTGTAGTGAGTGCTTGACTCAACTTTGTTGAACACGAGCAATTATAAGTAATTTTATTTAAACCAGGGCACACTGTTTAAGTGTATCTGTTATAACTTCAAGATCGCAACAACAATAAAATAAGGTTAACACATTTATAATAGACTTTTGAGACTATGAACAAGCAACAAAGACTGAAAAGAGGAGAGACGGTAACTTACAGTTAAAGAGATAATGTTGTCATCGTCCGTAGCATCACCAGAGCCGAACTTTCCTCTGCGCTTGTCCTTGTTTTTTCTTTCATGATGAGGTGAAAGCAACCCACTAACCAAAGAACCGACGTTGGCAATTGCATGACCCACTTGCGTTTTGGCAAGACCTGTAGCGAAAAAAGGTTTTACATTTCAGTCAACTTTTTTCGGACACATTTCAAATGTGTAATATCATAAAATACAATTTCGAAAATCTCAGAGTAGAATGATACGCAAAGATTTCTTTGCGTGATTTGGATAAACTCTTCTCTTAATTTTTGACCACAAAGTATTTTGCATGGCGGCTTTCATATTTCTCATTCACTTAAGTTGTTTAAAACTTATTAGACTGTACTCTTTCCTTAGAGTTCATTTTCAAACAATTTTTTTTGCGATAATAATGATAAAACACTTTCACGGCGAGCATTCAATTTACATGTAAACAAGAGACCCCAATAAATACAGCTGAAAAAAATTGAAAAAAAAAATAATAAAGCAGATGACATTTATGTAAATCTCAAAAAGAGTTCGATTCTATTTCTTCGGAAAAAACAAAAAAAAAGAAAGCTATCTAGGAATGTTGTCGTGGGATCCTATGGTCGCTTTTTTGTAAGATTGAAGCCTCTCCATATTTAGTGTTTTTTACTTTGTTACTTGCACTTGGGTCACTCACTGTCTTCCCCTTCACGTTCTTCAAGGTGTGGTAGAGCATTTAACGTTTCCTCTTCGCTTTCCTTCCTAACTTTGACCTTATCTCGCTCTGAGGACAATTCAGTGCGTGTTTGTTGGGTATCAGTGTTTCCGTCCGTCTGCGTCGTGACTGAATCAAGAGAAAGACCCTTCCTTAAAGCAAGTTTTTTCCTAAATTCTTCTGGGCCGATTTGGAAAGAAACTGTACCCTGAAGGGACAATTTACGCTGCCTGATGGCATCGAGAGTCACCGGATCAGATGAGGTTCTTTTCCTTCGTATTTTGTAGAGTTTCTCCCTGAGGCGATTAAATACTGGCTCGGTTATTGAACGCACAAAATCGTCACGTGGATATCGTTGTGTCTTATTGGCCAGGTCTACGGCGACATCTGCAAGGCCAGAATTCCCTATGGCTGGCAGTTTCGGAATTCTCTGACGTACGGTTAACTGTTCCGTATCTGAGACCTAATGGTAAAAAAAGACAATTGGCAAGAAAAATGAGATGCTTTAGCTAGAACATACAACAAATACCAGACATTTGGCTCATCCTAATAAGAAAAATTCACATAAACTTAGATTAGGACGTTTTAGGAAAATCCACGAGCCACGTTACCCATGTTGTCCACATACGAGATTAACTAGCGTACCTGCCAGAATTTATCAGAGAGTTAACCGGTCCTAAACTATTTTACACGATTGTAGAGAGCCACCACGAAAAGAAAGCATCTTACCCGATAAACAAAGACCCTGGCCAACCATGTAGAAACACAGAGCTCGTAGGCGGTAAAAGAGAAAATATGGTAGTAAGTGCTCTATCTGAATAGCACATACCTGAAGCTTATGGCTCACTGTCACTGCCGCATGGATTCCAAGCTAAAAAAGTGTGCACCTATTAGCTAATTTATATTTGAATATCTCGCCAACCAAACTAATTTATTTTAAATAATTATAAACAAATTAATTAGATCGAGTAGTCTGATCGCCCAGGAGAGGGTAGTCCTGATAAGAACCGTTGAAGGCGCTCTTAATTTCTGTTAACAACTGAGAAGCGAATGTCCGCTAAAACAGGTTTCACTACCGCTAAATACGATGTAAAGCAAACGTCTTCTAAAAATAACGACAAGAATGGAGACCGTTGTCGTTTTACAGCACACCTCGTTATGGATGACAAAGGTTGCCAGAGGAACTGTTCTCAGTTTCTTCGTTCTATCAATCGTCCACAGCTGAGAAAGTAAAAAGACTCCAATAGTATAAACTACGCTGACATCAACAAAGAAAGAAAAGTAACTTTACATCATGTACTAATCCAGAACCTCTAAGGCTTACAATAAAAAAAACGCCCAAAATATTGACAATCGTTCATAGAAAAAAAATGAAAAATAAACCCAACACCACAAACGTATCTCTGCCGAGTTCAGAGTAGCGCCCTTATTCTGTATTTATCACAAGTTAGAGCTGTTGAAGGCTGTCGTATTTACCCGCCAAATTAACGCAAGTTTGCGCGTGTTGATTCAATTAGAACTGGCAGTCTTACTCGCCTTAGAATATAAAGGTCTCTAATACCTCGCTCAGCTCAGATAGAATTTTTACAGCTGTAGAAGTAACGGTCAATTGCATAACATCATGTGAACTGATGACCATGTACATGGCTTGCGTCGGCTTGTCATCATGGTCAGCGGAAGGAGCCCCGACTCCATCCTGCGGCGCATCAACCACATCTATGGCACTGTCGCTCTCAACCTCCAAAGACGGGTCCATGAATGCCGTCTGGGTGGACTGGATGAACGTAGTCAAGGCCCCGTTGAAATCAAGATCACCTTCATCGTCAGTTGCTGGGCCGGTTATTCGTGGACGACGCTTTTGTTTCCTTCTTGGCCTACAACGATAGATAAATTTTTTTCATCTCAGAAAGTGAAACATTTCCTTCGAGATGAACATTAGAGATAGCTGTCACAAATTATATTTACGTGCAAATGTGTGTCTAAAACAGCACTAATCTCCCATGTCACTTTGGCAACAACTTTCAACGAAAACGAATTCCCGAGAAAACGGACTTTTGGTACACAGATCACTAAAATGGACTGGGGCTACAGACAACCTTCCACGGACCCCTATTTTTGCACACCGGAAAGGAAGTTTGCCGTGCTACTTTCCACGATATGTGCTTATCAATCACAAATTGTACCATGTTCGCCGTTCTGAAGACAAACGCCGTTTCCTTCTGAATGAAGATCTCTTTTCAGCCAAAGAGCGCAGACCAGAGTCTGTCGCATCTCCAGTTTGGTGAGCGTTCGTAACATCTCGCGGGGTACCGTCACACAATTCTGAATCTTTCGGGGAGAAACTTGAAACGTATCCATCGGCAAGGAAAAACTACACGGAGAAAAAGCGTTCGCTTACATTTTTGCAACACAAAGTAATGGTCTTTCTACACGTTTGTTTACTCTTTTGCGAGAAAGTGGCCCACAACACTGCTCGGTCTCCCAAGAATAAACTGACTAGGTGAGTCGAGACTCTTCATGGATAGGATATTGGTGCATCATAGGTCTTGCTGTGATTCTTATAACCTAAACACTTGAGTCAGGGGTGATACAGTTAGGAGAAATGCTCCAGTTATCCTGGAGTTTTAAGGGTGAACAACATGGTCATTGCAAGCAGGAACACATCTAACTATTACCTTAAGTTGTACTTCCCACATGGTTTTTTGGTCTTCGACTATAACCGGCTCCAACAGTGGCTCCCAAACAGCAAGGCACTCATTGTAGTAACAAACCTGTGCCGCTACATCTGCTTCAACTTTTAGCTGTTTTACAAGTGAAAAAGTAAAATAATATTACGGGGGTTTCATTACAAACTTGTGACCGGCGGTGTACCGCCGCCTATAAGAACTCTTACTGCCATCTGTTGAGCCTGCGCAGACCCTCGTGTTTGGGTTTCGGTTTCGCCTTTCGGTTCGTTTCCGGGCACAGCTGCCTATTACTCCATTGGCAGCCCTTAGGGATAAAGTCATTGAAACCCCTGAAGTTATCACACAGAATTAAATGATTCAGTTACATTTTGAGCTCGCCTTTATTACATTGAATTCCACAAAACTCTTTAACAAGGGGGTCAAACATCAAAGCTGATAAGGACATGGTTCATCTCAGCTTCACATATTCTTTAACTTACCTGAGCAGACCAATCAAACACTTTGCCTGTCGCGCATGAGCGAATCAACAGCAAAGGAATATGGGCACCTTCAACCTCATTCACCAACACCAGTTGAACTTCTTTAATTGTCAAGCTGAGCTGAAAGTAAAAATGAACGTACATATAAATTTAGTTTTGAACTTGTAAATGCGCCATTCAGAATGTGCATTCCCTCTTAGGCATTGACCCTTTAACTCCTGGAAGAGATTAACATAGACCTTCTCCCTATAATATCAATGCATTCTCCTGCAAACAGGTATTGAGAAAACTTCAACTTATCAGGTAGAAGTTGTTGCCTTGATCTAACACTGAATTCTCATAACTGATTTACAAGGAAATGTGTAGGAGCTAGAGGGGAGAATTAGTGATCAGATCTTGGGAGTTAAAGGGTTAGAGTCAAGATAAGTTTAGGTGAGATTACAGTAGACATACTAACCTTATCACCAGACGCTCTCCTTGTCACCAACTTGGGTTTGGCGTCTTCAATCGCTACAGAATAAAAATTGGAGTAAAATTTATCACATTTCTTTTTCACATACAAATATGTTAAAGAAGTTTTGGCTATAACCTCTACCTCTGGAAAAATTATTTTGAAACAGGGTTATTGTTCCTATTGGAATTTGTATGTATAAACAACGTAATTTCTTACGCCAACCTTTTTTCTTATACCAATACTCAGCAGAGGCCGGTTTACTCTCCCACAAGTCAGCTGGCGCGCTAACCACCTCATCACCCACTGTCTGAACGCTTTCATCGACCTACCAATCAAAATAACAAATGGAATCGAACTCATACTTTCGGACTTTCCATGCTCGGAGATCTAGATGATAATCTAAGCCATTAGCCCGGCTCATCTCTTTATCAGGGAGATAAAATTTCTTACACGACTTTTTTGTCATAAATGTGATTTTCATATCCCTTGGAGTATTAATTCATTCTCTTTGGCAGATTGGGGCTATTTTCGTTGTTTGTTGTCAGTTGGTTGATAAAAATGAAGAACCCGGCTTACTAGTGAAAAATGTACAACACTACACCGTTAGAATTATCATCTTCATTTATCGTCGATATTGACAACATCCCTGCCATCGAAGGTCGCGTGGTTTCCCTGGAACATAAAATGAATATTCCAGCCCGCTACAATTCAAAATTCCGCAATGCATTGCACCGATCAATTCGAAGCTTAAACACTCTTTCTTTCCCCCCGGCAAGGGGCAGGTCTCCCAGAAAATTTCTCTGTCATCCATGTCCGAAGGGTGGGGATTTTGAACCTTACCTGGATTGGATGGGAAATAAATTTGAACCGGAACTGTTAAGCCTTTTCCACCGGAATTCACGTAGTTATCGTTATCGTGTTCAGAGGTAAAGAGTTCATTTTTGCGGCACTTGGGTGGCTCAGGGGGGCGGAAATTTGAATGGGGATTTGCCAAGGGGGGGAGAGAGATGTTGAAGCTCCGTTTGAATAAAAGTTCAACTCATAAAGACAGCTACCTTTTGCTGTCCTGTTAATGCTGTAACTACGTTACTGAAAGTAGTGAAGAGTCCTGGAGAGAATTCGAACACCATTTCTTCTAATGTAATAGAGATGTCTTGACCACCCTCAGTTGAGGCCGGTGTCAAGTACTTAAATGACAACGAACAAGGGTTCAAAACCTGAAAAAAACAATTCCCATTTAAAAGTCGGTTATACAGCTGGATGCTAAAAAAAGGTTATGTGCGTCTTTGTAGTTTTCTCCATTAAGGCTACAGTGTAGGCACGAAAAGCCATTTGTACGAACAAAAGGCAACTTCTATCGTCCACACTCGTTGCATCCAGCTATCTATTGACTTATCACCTCTTCGCATAATCCAGTAAGTCTTCTCATTAATGCACGGGCTACGGTAAGAGAAGCAAAAACCTACTTATTTACGTTACCTTATAAGATGTCCTTTTAACATCAGGAAACTGTGCAGCTTGCATTTGGAGATTTTCCAAATCCGCTGAAAGACTCTGCTTCACTCCTTCCAAAGTGTAATCAAACTCCACTTTCGCCTAAATTTTTTGAAATGTTCATTCTACATATTAGTTTTAGTTTTCTTATTTTGCCAACATATGGAAGATTTATCAAATATCACAGCGCAAACGAGAAAACGGCCACAAGAATGAAGAACTCTGTAACCATGTTACAAAGACGCAAGGTTTGATTTGCTACTGCGTTGCTTCAATCAAAATGGCACCCATTGAAAGATAACGACTTCTTTAATCAAATGGTCATCGACTATGATTCTCATATAAGAAAACCGATAAAAAATCCCAGATAACAGAACTAAAAAGACATGTCAACAGACAGTTAACCAAAAAGGTAAATGTAGAAAGCAAAGTAAGTTGGTCATAACAATTCAGTCGCGATAACCTCTGTATCTTTGTCTATCTGATTACATAAATATCAACATGCTCAAAAACAGCGACCAAAATCCAGTCACCTGAACAATAAGCGCCTCGCTCTCTTTGTTTGTAGCGTCAGAAAGTAAGACAATGTTTGGATCTTCCACTACACCATGAACAACAATTTTCAGCTGCGTCTCTTGAGTAGGCGATGCTGCAGCATCTACTTGACTAGGAGCATCAGTAGAAGTGACATCTCCACTTTCAGTCCTGTGTATCTGTGCATCCCTCCCCTCCCTGGGAGTTTCTGGGTCCCTAACACCTGAAGCATCCAGAGAGGTTTGACTGACTACTGAGACTTGTGGCTCTCGAGAATGATTCACGTCGGATGGCGGAATGGTGATGAACTCCAGTAAAAGGAACAAGAAAGGAAAGTTGACAAAAATGGTAGCGTTTTGCAAGGACACTTGGACTGCAAAAGATGAAAACAACAAGAGAAAAGAAAAGAAATACATGAGAAAGTGAAATAACCAGTATGAGAGGAAAAATAAAATAGCAATGTTTTCGCAATCACAGATTTAGTCTTGGAACCTTCAAAAGTAGCAGTAAATTCGCCAAAAAGAAGATGCACGCGATTCCTTACTGCTGCACGAATTATGCAACTATGTAACTCATCAGTGGTTAAAACAACAATAGCAAACCTTTCATCTCCCCTGACGGTAACTGACAGAAAAGTACGTCACACATTTCTTTAGAGGATGAAGATGTTCGAGCTCCGGAGTGTGACGCCATCTTTTTGTCCACTAACCTTTGGGAAAAAAGACACGAAACCTTCAAATTAGTGAGGTATTAACCCCACAGGTCCTACCCCTCCAGCGAACAAACGATGTACAGAGAAATTGCACACATTTTAGCAAGAAAACTATCGTTATGTAATCAAGACAGCACCATCTATAACCAGTTAATAATCTCCTAGCCAACTATCAAAGGAAACAGCGTAATTCCTTTGATGTCACAAACAAACTTAATTATCAAGCCTACATTCATTCACTAACCTAGGAAAAGCAGAAATTGTTCCTTCTCTGGCATCCTCGACCACACAGCCATTAAGTACACAGTGAATTTGAACAGAGCTGTCACTTGGCAAAACCACGGTAACTGCACTTTCCTCCACATGACATAAACAGAGCTTTGTAGCTGGATCGCAGACCGACGACTGTGCATCAAACGGGTCCTGCAGTTGTTAAAGTAAACCGAACCACCATAAAGTAACTTTCAAATGATTGCCGAAAGTAACCCGGGTTTGGATTGGTTTAATTTTGCACTCTGTGCAAAACTAAACTAACAACTTTCAGTAAAAATATCAACGCTTAACTTACCAAAGGCGTCTCATTGTTGTATAGAATAAGACTAGCACCAGCAAGATCAAATGAAAACACCATTCTGTCCCACGCAGTTTTCGCAGTTTCCTCGGGTACACCAGGTTCTGTAAAGATAATCACTCTTCACATAGAACCGTCACTAAGTAAGTTTCATGACTCGTCGACAGGGTAAAATATTCTTTCTGCTTTGAATTTTGCGCTTATAACGATTGCTGACTTTATTGTTTTCTTTGTTCTGATCTTTTTCAGTTACTATCGACATTTTTCGTCATTTTCAATCGCATGGAAAATAATCAATGCGAATAATATCATACCAGATGAGATATTTGTTGCGGTAGACGGGTCAATACGTTCCTCTTGTTCCTCTGCGATGCTTTGATCAAGTCTCGTTTGGTCTGAAAAGCAAAAGAATGCAAAAAAAAATACAAGTTTCATTAGGTACCCACCTCCTCTAAGTTTCTAACGAGAGCAATCTCTGCTTCAATTTAAATGTCAATTTAGTACTAGACGATACTAGACGTGTTCGTACCTTCCAGTCTCACACTTTCAGCTTCTTTCATATTTTCTTGGAAAAGTGTCGTGAGAACGTGGTAATCCTGTCGACCTAGATTCATCTGAAAACAAAGATTAAAAAAGGGAAGGGAAAAAAAGCAAGGGTTAACCTTTTAACTCCCAGAGGCGAGTCACATGTAAATTCTCCATACAATATCGATACGTTATCCAGCAAACAGGTTATGAGAAGACTCGAATTTATCAGGTAGAAGTTGTAATCTTGATCTGACACCAAATTCTTGTTTTCCTTCAAGGGTTATAGAAAATATGCCATTCATAGTCAAAAGGTGTTCTTTAGAAGCAAACATCAAAAATAACACTAAACAGATTAAAGTAGTTGGGATGGTGAAATTTGAACAAAATTTAACATCTTTCGCAATGGATTCTCTATCTCCGTTTTTTTTTTTCGGCAAAAGATACCAGAGCATTATGGGTATAGCGTGACGAGTGACCAGTCCACCTCACTTTGTAGTCGAAACGTTGCCCCCACAGAGGAAATAACTACATCGTGAGCCAAACAGTAAAAATACCTTGACAAAGTCCAGAGTAGCTGAGCAATCTATGATTGGAATCTCATTGCAAGAAGGTAATAGAGAACGCTTGATGTTTGCCTCTAGTTTTATTGGTTCAATGAGATGTCGCTTGATCACCGCAGACGAACTTGTATCCATCACACCTCTACGTAAAGAAGGAAGGCAATTTGGTAATAACTTTTCAGTACATTATACAAGTTGTAAGGGTGTATTATCGTTTGAATAAAGGGGTAAGTTTCTAAAGAAACTGTGGTGCTGCGTCGGTGGGAGAGTATAGCAGGTAATTTAGTGTTAACAACTGAGTTGAAAACGTAAACTAGCCACCGCGATTGCTCTGACGAAGGGCTAACGCTCGAAACGTCAGTTTTTTTACCCTTTAGGGTGGCTAATTTACGTTTTCAACTCAGTCGTTAACACTAAATTACCTGCTGTATTATCGTTTGGTTCACGACGAGATCACTTCGTACATGGATTGAGACGTTTGAACTGGGTACTGAAAGTCTTCTTTATCGCCTGAAGAAGACTTACGAAACGTCGCAATCCACATCGGAAACGACGACATCGTGAGACAGACGATAATATTTCATTACTATGAGTAACGTCATTTTTCTTTTCTGATATTTCATGTAGTCTTCTCAGGACAAAATTCACCTTTATGCACATTGAATCTAAATGAGAAAACACCAATAGAACTCTATCCACTTGTAAAATCAATACCTAGCTGTTTCTCGTACATAACTGTTTATAAATTCCATCATAGCTATTTCTATTTTGAAGACCTTTATTAGCCAACATCATCACCATCTCACCTCGCTAGTTGCAGCGATTGAAGAGACAATTCCATTATATCGAATACAGCCTCTTTGTTCTCGTCGTTCAGTGATGTAGGGAGAACATCAAATTCATTTTGAAGATCCAAATGTCCAAGATCAACAATAAGCATATCCGCTGAGCGAGAGTGACGTGGAATGATCACAAGAGGGGCACTGATGGCCACTTTTAAGCCGATGCGAGTTCCTTGACTATGGATGGACTCCACCTTAAATATCACATTTAACGGTACCTCAATAAGCAAAATACATCGCAAAATGCATCACAATTTTATTCGCCCAGACGAAGGGGAAACGTTAAAAACGTCACCTTTAGAAAAACTTTACGGTGGCCAATTTTCATCATCAATTCAGTTGACAGAGCCAAATTATCTTGGAATATTCTCCAACAACGCAGCACCACAGTTACTTCAGCAACCTACACCCTTATGCGTCCTGACAATAGCTTTGGATCAATGAAATTAGAAAATAAAATATTCCGGTCGAGGATCATGGACAAAAAGAAAAGGGAGAGATAATGTAGATGGGAAGGTTGGGGAGGGGAGGGAGGGTAATAATGCCAAGAGTGTGACAAAAAGACGAGGAGGAGACTGCGAAAGAGTACAGGGCTAAGGCGCTGTTGTCAATGCAACTCTAATAGAAACTTAAAACATGAAGTTACCTGTTCTGTAACTGCCCTTTGAGCTGTTTCTTGTACATACTGAGTTGACTGAGGACTTGTTAAAGGTTCAACGAATTGCTTTGGAAAAGAAGCAATAGATGGAGTTAAAAAAGAGTACAGATGACATTTTTCTAATACTACTAAAGATGCATTCTTACTGGTGCCGAGCGCTGCTTTTCCACTTAAATAACGAAGTATTATCGTTTGTCTCACTGCTCACGAAAAGTTGAATGAAAAAAACAGGGCTGTAAACCAGCAGCCAGTCGACGGCACAACTCACCAATACAGCTAAGATAAAAATGCACCAATCACAGATGTTCAAGGTCACCCAACCAATCACAGTCTAGCATCGTGTTTTATACGGCTAAACGTAACTACTCAACCTCACGGCATTGTTTTCCATTAAAATTACTTCTAACAATCCAATTTGTTCCGCCTAACTGATAACTGCCGCAACTTTTTTTTACAGCAACTCCATAGAGGAAATTTTTCTGCACAAAAAACTGAAGCACTCACCATCAATTCCGTTATGAATCGATACAAAAAGACGATGTTTATTTTCCCAATGTTTAACTCAAGGTACCCATCCGGTCGTGTAAGGTCAGCAGGACTTGGGTCACTCTTGGGAAGATTTCCTTTGTTGAAATATTTAAACTGGAAGAGAGATACTTCATCATGAAGTTATCATATCAATTGTATAAGGTAAAGGTATTTCATTTGCATTGAAAACTGGCAACATTTCGATCACTTTTCCTGTAAGGAGAGCTTACATTGTAGCTCAAAAATCACGTATTTTTATCACTGCAGTTGTAAAGATATGTTAAATTTTTTTCTTTCCCCTGCGGTGGTAGATTCCAATGACACCTTGTCGAACACTGTCGAGAAATGTGTTAAGAACTCGACTTCGGGCGCCGCCATTTTGGACAACAAACTTATGGTAACTCAGGTTTCTGGCCGCACACACAACAAACTCACAAATGTTTGACCACGATGCATAGTCTACATAAAAGCTTCTGACAAGAATTAATTTCAAAGACATCGCTACGAAGTGAAAAGAGGAAGTTAATCATACCTCGAAGTCAAAGACATTTTCATTCTCCACAGAGATAATCTGACGTTGCAAGTAAAGGAATAAATATTAAAATCACTGCTTTTCGTTACCGCAAAGCAATAATTAATAAAACAATGCTTGCGTTTAAGATATATCTCATTTAAAAGGAAGTTCTAGGAATAACCTGTTAACCCTTAAACTTTTCATAGGGATAGTGTCCAAAAATTTCATCAGATCCTTACAGGAGTTATTCCCGCTTAATCCAAAAAAAAAATTCAGTTGCATATGAAATCTTCAACCTGTGCTTCAATCATACCTTTACGAGCGTCCGAATGCATGTAGATGTGTAGCTAATTCTAATCATTTCTATCCCACAACACGTAAATATGTAATTGAGTTTACAAAACACAACATTGAAACCCTTATGCAGGTTGGAGAACACAATTATTCTCAGGATTCAACGTAAATATTACAAGGATTTGGCGTGTACTTTTGATAAATCTATATACGATAGGTGTCTTTATATAGCTCATTTTTAACATGATGAAGTGTCCTTGGTTAGATTTTAACAATGAGGACAATGGGTGATCTCTATATGGACAGAATATAAATCTCATTGACATTTATTCCTTGACACACCAAATACTTAAGCAGCAAACAGCTTATTTAAGAAATTTTACCTTGGGATAATAGGTTTGGCTATTCAGGTCGACCACAGAGAGATCATTCTGCCTACAACGAAAAAATAAAGATGGAAAATAGTGTCACTCCACTGCAACGTGTATGTTATGGTTTATCAAGATAACTACAATGCTTCACTGATACCTTTTTTTCCACAATGAAAATGGCAACGTGCAGAACCTAACCCAGCCCTTTCCCAACTTCGACTAAATCAATTTTCTTGACCCAAAGCAAATAACCCTAAACACCCTAACATCAATATGCATATTCTCCATACGGTTCTCTATACATTTCCTTAGGTGCTGATGAGGAGAATCTGTTCACCAGTCAAGAGCTTGTTTAGTTGGTGATCATTTCCTTTATTCTCGTGACCTTTATGTGTGATTCAGGGATGATATTGTAAGGAGAAAGTAGATGTTAGTCACTCTTAGCAGTCAAAGGGTTAAGCAGTTAACAAAACAAGACTCACCTGGATTTTAAAACAATTCCGTCATCCCACAGAAGAAATTCTGCACTTAAACCTGAAGTAGAACGTCAATTAGAGTTGCAAGGGTATGCCTACAAAGTGTTTTTCATAGGATCATTCTAAAGGAGGTCAAATCAACCGCGACGATAAAAGCTAATTGTTGAAAGAAACTGTACTGCCATGTTGAACTATATTTCTGTTAGAGACAATTGCGCCTGTCCTATGTAGTTAAAGGCCTTTTCCAGTCGGTAGCTTCTGGAGTTAATGGCAACTGAAATAAGATGTTGTGAACACGTACCTTGAACCTTGACTCTCGCCAGATTTTTATGGGAGATCCTGACAAGAACATCCACTTCTGACAGTTCGGCGTTCAACTTCAGGCTCACGACACTTTGTACTTTCTGCTCTGAATCAGTATTAATCGCACTGTCTGGCTTCTGAGCGCTTGAGGAGTCTCCTAAACTACAAAAAAAAAAAAAAAAAAAAGAGGAAAATTTTTCGGTAAGTAAATAAACCTAAGTTGATATTGCATTTCAAGTGTAATTACTGTTTATGCGCTTCTGATGAAGGAAGTTTTAAGAAAGTTAAGAATAAGACGATGACTTTGGAGTAATTAAAAAAATAGCTTTCTTTCTTACTTTAATGATAAGACTAAAACAACTATACATTTAAACCACAAAGCGACACGGGAGAGTGTGATGGTTACCAGAGAAATTCTGGGCATTCGCTTTAAATGTTTCGTTAGTTGGCTTCTTTAGAAAGCACTAGCTGGAGAAACAAAAACCTGAGCATCTCTTTGCAAGAGCGTAAACAATTTACTATATTATTGAACAAAATAATGTATTGTTATCTTATTACTGGTCTATTAGAATAATTACGGTATCTGTATTGTGTTACCTCGACAGAAGAGCAAGGCCATGCATTTGCAAATCCATCAGAGCTTTTTGAAGACAATCTATTTTCAGCGTTGAAAAACTGACATTTACTTGCTGCTCTACGGTGCGGAATGTCGATTTGAATTCTGGACATCTAGGATCAACCTTTGAAAAACAGTAAAAGTAATAATCTAGTATCTAACTCTTCTTCTCTGACAACTTCTTATACATAAAGTACCATAATTTAACATGTGACCCGTACGGCCTTGCGAGAACTTTTACTATTAACAAACATTTCGAGATAGGAGAGGCACGGCCTGAAAACGCCGTCTAGCCCAGTGCAATGCGAACAGAAAGAATACAGGAGAGCGACAGTCATAATACAATGCGTATTGACTGAGTCAGGTTTGGCAGGGCAGGAAAACATACAACCCATCAAGTAATTCCTGCCTTCCCAAAGAATGATGTTCAGTTAAAGTTTCTTATTTGGGCGTCATTTCACTCACCCTTTTGTATGAAACAGAAATAAGATCTGTATCCTGAGAGGAAGACAAAAATTTTACTGGCGAACCATCCGCACCTTAAAGAAACACAAAACATCAGGGTCCAGTTCTTCAAAGGGTGGATAACGCTATCCAACGGATAAATCATTATCCAGCGGATAACTGTTAACAAAACTTACTGCGCTATCCACCGAAGAGCGATTTATCCAGTGGAGAGCGTTATCTGCCCTTTGAACAACCGAGGCCAGGAGTAAAAATGTTTTACAAACACGACGGAGTCTTTTCATCGTCATTGCTTTTTTATACGAAACTGCATATCATACTCTAGTTAAAGGATTTGCATTTCTAACGCGAACAGAGAAAATTTCCATTTCCTCACTGCATTTGTTAATGTCCATTTTTCCTATGGTCGTGTTTTGTGAGTAAGTATTGGTAACTCATGAAGCTACTCTAACAGTTAAGAGTACTACACGGATCTACAAAAGTCACTTCTACGTCTGCTAAACAATTCAAGCCAAATGAAGGATTGTAATTGAAACTCCGTCACACGGCCAACAGCTATTTAATAACCCTTCTACCCTCAAGATCTAACAGAGACACAAAAAGTGAACCAAACATGTAATTTAATTGACATGTTTCCACCTATCTTTTCGAACACTTGGAATACCTTTGTTCAAATGATCGACGAGCTCAATAGCTCCAAGCTTTGCAGATGCATTGAGGATCCATGTTTCCATGGTGACAGTGGCACTCAAGTTGGTTGTTTCAAGAACCAAATATGGCTTACAGACACCATCAACAACTTTGGGCGAACTAACTTGAAACTAAAAAGGACCATACAGAAAAGGTAAATAAGAGCGGGAAAAGTCAGAACATACCTTTGTATTAAAGGGCCATTTATACGAGGAAATATCCTACAGCTAACGTAAAACGCAAGCGCAGCCTACAGAAGCTCTCCCCTTAAGTTGCCTTCGCCTAAATCCCCATTAATGTTGATTTCGACCGCTCTCGCCCCCCCCCTTCCCTCAATTTCGAAGGTAAGCAAGTACAAGAAAACGCATGCGTGATGACACCTACGCCTGCACAGTGTGTTTTGCATAGGCGGCAACCAAGCGTCAACTTATTCATGCTCTTGGTTTCACGTTTTTAAGAAACCGCGGCTTGATTAGATCGTGAAAGCGTGAGTTCCCTTCTAAGTCACGGCTTGTGAGAGCCGAGGCTTATTTTTCCAACTTTCCTTCAAATGAGAACATAAAAATAGGCACGCAAAGCGTACATATGAGTAGTGCTTTTGAAGAATATCACTCACTCACAACCACAAAAATATTGGAAAGGAGTAACAATAAACCCCCGTAGAAAAGGTACACTAATACAAACCTTATTCAGCGTGAAGAGACATTTAATATTTGTTACTTCATCCATAGACTTGGCATCAGTGTTGTCTGGGGGATCGTCCTTCTGTTCCTCCTCTTTCTTCATGTCTTCAGTTTTAGATGCAGGTGTACGTTCTTTAAAAAGATGACCAACAAGACACATCAAAAATAAAATTATGTTCACGAGCACTAGAGATTGAGCAAAATATTTTATTAACTCGTAGAGAACACATTACAATTGTGTGAAGTTGTTTCATACTAAAAACTTTTACCTACAGCAGCAGTGAAAATACAATTGCACATTAGTCAAAAATGACACTTACCGTTCTGGCCTTCCAACAAATTATCGTTCAAAACCATCATCAACATCTGAAAATCATTCACTCCCAGGTTCATCTAGAAATAAAAATGAATTAAATTATATTCATTCTACTCATAATTTTTTTAATCCTATCTATCAAGACCGAACCAGAAAAGTTGTCAAAGGAAAGCTTGTCAAGGAAATCTTGCCTGTAAAAGGCGCTTTTCAATAAACTGCGGGATACACAGTAATATCCTGTGAATGGCCAGATGTTTACCTTAAACAGCTCCAAACTCCCCTCTATTTCAATCAAAGGGAGATCGCTCTTATCCAGCCCCAGTCTTCTTTTTACAATGACTTTCAACTCGACTGGTTCAATCAAATGCTCACTGAGATGATTTTCCACTTGAGAATAGCTAAGTAATAGAAAAATATGGAATCAAAAGAATCATGTTTCTTCGAAGGATACAAGAAAGTTTATTAATATAGCACCACACGAGTAAAATGTGAAAAGTATGAGCTCAACTTAAGCCCAGTTTCCAGATTATCGCCCGGGTCGTCCCAATCATTCTCAAAACTGTGGAATGGAGAGATAAGGACCACGCACTAGAACTATATGGTAAAATAAATTTGAGGAGTGATATAAAATTGATTTCATAGATGCCAATCGTAAGCCAAAACGTCCGTAACTTTACGTTTCCTGGTACACATCTACGAAAAATACGAAGAGTGATAAATTTAAAACCTTAATCTTTGTACACCAGATTGAATTTCAACGACTATTTCTCAAAGAAATATAAAATGTGGGACATACCCTGAGGCTTGAAATGAACTGAATCGTACATCCATGCGATCAAGAAGTCCATATTGAGATGAGTTGATTATAGAATTACTAACATGCAATTGTCCGAGGTCTAAAACGAGTTTTTCGCTCGACCTTGAATTGCAAGGGATGATGATCTGTGGTGCATTTACAAAAACGTTCAATCCAATCTTAGCTCCCTGTTTTTGGATGTGCTGAACCTAAAAAGCAAGTTAGAATAGGCCAGTGAGCCAAATAGCACCGATACCGAACAGGTGACCCGTTACAAATAGCCCAAAGATTGTAAGCCGGAATACATGCAGCCTAAGATATTTCTTCCATTGCTGATTAAGCTACAAGGCAACAAGCAGCCACTATTAATTTTGCAGAACTGTGAAGCAAACCATTGAGTGAGAATGAAAAAACTGAAACTATTTCAACATGTACGAGTCAGCGACCGCTTTCAAAAACAAAAAGATCAAATGCAGATCACAGTCGCCAAATACTATCTAGTAGAAGTTGTTAACCCTTTAACTCCCATGAGTGATGAAGACAGAATATCTCCTAACAATATCAATACGATATCAAGCAGACAAGTGGTGAGAATAAAGAAATATATTAATTTGGGGATAATTGGTTGATCCACTACTAAATTCTCTGAACTAACATTATAAGGATTATATGGTTGACATTAGAGAGAATTACAAATTTGATCTGGGAGTTAAGGAGTTAATGTTGTTGACGTTTTTGCTATTGTTCTTGTCGTTGGTTTTTTGACCGCACGTTGTTAATTATGGGTTTCACCTGGTTCAGAACTGCTTTCTGGGTTACTTCCTGGGCATATGCAACTGTTTCTGGACTTGCAATTGCTTGAAGAAAATTCTGAAACCAGAAGAGAAGAGAAAACTGCGTGTTTGCCTTCGTTATTCATCCACACAAGTTCCACAAAGGATTCATATACGTAAATCTAACTTGAGGCAGAAACATCTCACTAACCTGAAGATGAGCTACAAAATAGCCAAGGAATACAAATCGGAGTTTTCCAAGTTTTACGTTGACTGAGAAATCGAGAGCTGTCGGATCCTGGTCGGCAATGGCTCCTTGTAAGGACTTGTTGAATATGATTACCTTAACGTTGTACAAAAAAAAGGAAAAAAATTCGGGTCATAATACTCTTTATCAAAACGTTGTTAAACTTTCAACCTGTATCGGTAGCTGTGCCAAAAAATGTTTGATGGGATATTCAACTAACCTTGCAGTCAAAAACTGTGTTATCCGCCAAGTCTAAAATCTGTTTAATAGATGAGAAAAATTCATACATCTACAGTTTGATTCTATTGAAAAGTGTCTATGAGTTAGACAAAACAAATAATTTTTTTAACAGCAAGTGGCACCTTAATTCCTTTGCATCCATAGCCAGCCACCTTTGGAATACTTTACCAAGCAATGCTAGAATTGCTGGTAATGTGAATACTTTTAGAAGTATAATAGACAAATTCAACCTTGTACCGTTTATTTATCGCTAAGCACCATAAAAGGAATTTGTTAATGTGCCCTGCACATGATTGTTTATAGTCTTTTATACTTATGTAATTTTCATTATTTTCAGGATTTTGTAATTGCACGTGCGCATTGTAAATGAGTATACTGAATGCTCCTAGGCGTTATGTGGATAAATAAACTATCTATCTATCTATCTAATAATAACTACAAGTATCAAAAATGAAGTATCCCCTACAAGAGAAGGCATCAAAATCGTCTGTCTAACTGTTGTTATGCTAGAGCAGTTTTCTATTGTGTCGAAAGTATTTCATGATTGATTAAGTTTTGCATAACCTCGTTCTGTGATTAGTCCATAAAACGTACATCACCTTCTCAACCAATCGGATTCACAATTAAAATTATTTGTGATTCGGGCACTTGCGTTTCATATCTAATCGGCTGACGACGACGACGTCGATCTTCGTTCTAACTGGCAATTGAGAATACTTTGGTTTTGGTTTTTCGAAACTCAACTGAAAACTGTCGCCTCTAAATAGACAAGTTCAAACAACTCAATCTTACCTGAGGATACAACGTTCCGTCTGTAAGATCTTTAATATCCAAGTCTTTCAACCTGGAAAACAAAAATGATCGTTATACCTAAACAGTTTTGTTCCTTTGTTTTCCAACACTGGTAGGAAACTTAAAACCGGGAAATTAAGGTAAAATTTGAATCCGATATAAATATGAACGACAACAATTGCAAATCACATCTGCTACTCTCTCGTAACAGAAAAATGGCCATTTTTTGAGACGTTTCGTGGTAGAGATAGGAAACTGAAAACTTATTCCTTCTAGTGCAAAGGCGAGATTTATCTAGTACCGTAATAAAATGTGTATTCCTCAATAGCTGTCGTGATTAACGCGAGGCCTATCTTAAGTTTTTACTCTCGTAAAAAAGGAAAAGAGTGAGACCTCCCATACATGTCCAACACACCCAATCTGACTCGATTCTGACTTCTGGCAGGTCGACTCGAAGGCTACCTTAGACGAATCTACTCAATTTGGGTGTATTGGACAACCTTCAGACTTCCGAGGACAATTAGTGCACTCACTTGGTTGTTATGTTCACCTCAGCGGGAACTACGTCTACGCTGACATCAAGACCTGTTCGCCAAAAAAAAACAATCTGAGCTGAGTAAATCTTCCGCCTCAAGAAATATCCATAAGAGACAGTGAGGACAGAAGCTACGAACCTGTGACATCCATCTTTCCAACATGGCGATCCATTGAACTGAGAATTACTGTAACTTCTTCTATTTTTGCCACAATCTTAAAGTTGACAACACCAGTATCACTTTGAGTCTTCTTTTCTTCATCTACACCTTTCACAAGTTCTATAAAACAACAGAACGGAATTTATTCCAAAGCATGTCTACCCAGTCACCGATTTTGACAGCAGCATTAACAGCCCGGGGCGACTTTTGGAATGAATGTCTTAAAAACCACAACTCAAAAAGCAGTCACAGTGGCTGGTCAAAGCATAGGCTAACAGCACGACTGCGATTAAGCAGTCACAGGGCATAGTAAAAAAGAACATAGCAGCCCAGGATTAGTTGTTCTATTAATGTTAGAGCAATACCTCTGCCAATCGAGCCATCAGGGTGATCTTCCTCCATGATTGTCTCCAGAAACCGCTGAGGAATAGTTGGCCACTCAGGTTCGCTGCAAAGCCCATATAGAAATCAATAACTAATGGTAATTGAACTGGGTGGAGTGAAACTTAGTCTAAATCATCCGTGTGATTTCACATTTGATTTCAGACCAAAATTGCAAGACACGAAGTTCAATTGCCACTTTACTTCATCCACTTTCATATCACCCATTATTGTAATTAATCTGTAAGAAGGTGCAAAATTCGCCTCGATGTTTTTTCTTTTAGATATTTTATCTGAGCCATTTAAATAAAAATAAAGGTATTTTTGAAAATTTTTCTAACTCAAGCAAACAAAAGGTATTTCGATATTAGAGTGTTTTAACACATGTAAGTGCATTTAAAAATGCTGGACCTACAGTTACCTTTGAAACAGACTCAGGACAAATATTTGGAAACTTGCAATAGCTTCCTGTTTGGCTGTCATTTTTAACGAGCTGAACCTCATTTCAATCAATTGCTCAATTGACTGAAACTTTTCTTTGAACTCTGGGCCTGATGGATCAGCCTAAAAAAAATTCAATGCAAAAAAAACCAATACGATAATCAGCATCTTATATTATGAGCACTACATACATAGTAAACTTCGAGGAGTTTACTTAAAGCAAGTTAAAAAACACCTTCGTCTCTTAAAACAAAATTAAAGGTGAATTACAAGTATGCTATAAAAATCAATCGAAAATGATCTTCTGTGGGGCTAACAGTTCGACTTAAGCGCTGCCATTTTGAAAACCTCTGTAACCAAGCCGCTCATGAAAATTCTGAACGCAAGGTTCTCAAACAGCTACTGCTGTGCTCATCAGAAGAAATATATTTTATTGAAAAGGAAAATGCCTCTTCTTATGTCTCCTTACTTTTTAAACAGGTCGGTTTGAGAAAGACAAGAAAAGAGGCGATAATCTGTGATGTCACCGGTAAGCGGCCTAGTTGCTCAATACGACCGCGAATTTAAAGCCAATTTAGGGGAAGATCAGGTTACTCTTTGAAATATACGTGGTGAGTCATAATTTCATTTAAACTTTTTAACGGCAGCGATAGACAAAGTAAGATGTGTTCTGAAGCGAAGCTCCCACTACAAGAATAACAATGAAACTTAGAATTTACCTTGACGTAACTGACGGTAATCCAGTCATCTGTGGCTGACGAATTCAACACGCAAAGGTTGCTACCATCAACGTCTGTATCCAGGAAGAAAGAATCATAGAATTGTATTTCAAGTTATTTAAGTGTATACGTCAGAAGATTAGTTTTTTCATGGCCGATTTTCAACTATTTCATTGGATTATCAACTGACAACCTCTCATGCTTGTTGAGTTGAGCTGCATGGGTGATATCCCGCTCTGCGCTGAGTCCTTCGTTGGCTATTTACCACCTCATATCCACCACGACTACATAAAATAATAATTTTCTTAAAGTTCACTTAAAAAAAAAGAAAAAAGAAAGAAAGCAACTAAAAGTCTTCTACCTTTCCAGTGGTTATCAAGGAGCTGCATAAACCCAATTTTAACTTTGGCATGAATGTCCCACGAATGAACGACCAAATCTGTGCCAACATCCCGTATTTCCAGAGATAAATATGGATTACCAACAGCTTTTTGTTCATCTGCTTTGTCCACAGTGATAAGAAGCTGAAAAAAGCCAGGTTAAATTTAGATGAACTCCACATAAAACAGTAGCGAGTAGAGTACATAAACATTGTCAACTGTGCTTTTTGTCTTTGTTTTTTTCCGTAGATTTGTTTTTGCTTGTTTGATTGCTTTTTCTTTTTTGTTTGCGTTTCTTTTGCCTTTTTGTGTTGTTTTTTGTCTTATTTGTGATGCTTTGAGTTCTTATCAAAATGTCCCATAATAACTATTACCAGAGTACCTTTTGAAGTGTCGAAGTCGAGGCATGCGCATAAACTATCGTGAAACGAAAAGGCTCCTTCTTCGTTAACTTCTATGTACACGAGGTCGCCTCGCGAAAACAGATAGTGAATTTGTCGTAAAATAAAGTTTGTTATAGTGAAAATGGAATAACCCCGAAAATACCTTCTCAATAGTGAAATCTCCTGCTAATTTGATCTTGTCGACTTCATGCGCTTCAACGGGATGAATGTGGCCATCCTCAGGACTGAATGAATCAAAATGTGTAATCGTGACATATCAAAAATACAAAAATTTTACCCAAAGAGTGCGTTTTTCATTTGTTAATTCAAAGTCTGCAAAGCTATAAATTTCCTTCAATTCTCATTTTTCCTTTCTACCTCAATCTTTCTTTTTTTATTTTTTTTGACTCGTAGTATAACCCACCATACCACGAAATTACCATTCTGCAAGCATGACTCATATGACCAAACTCAAGTTTTTCGCAGAAATATGTAACTAAACATGTCACTCAAGGCTAGGAATAGTTACCTTTAAAAGCTTTTTAAAAACTCACTCTTTGATGATACCAACACTCTTATTCGTTTGTTTCTTCTGCTGAAAATTGTATCCAATGCCCAATCATTTTATATCATACAAGAGACGTTAAGGAAACAAATTACTTTCCGGCCTTATCAGAACCAATGGCAAACCTAATGACCCACCTTTCTTCTGGAAGGTACTCTTGTGCGTCATGCCACTGAACGTCTTCATCTGGAGAAAATTAAATCGAGACAAACGTAATTAGGGTCACATGAAGCATAACATGACAGTTGATACAAACACTTCGCCAACCATGTTGTACGGAATGTAAAATGATCAGTGTATATTACCTTCAAAGGGGGCAAGTTTCTAAAGAGACTGTTGTGCTGTGTCGGTGCGATAGTATAACAGGATCTTTCGTATTATCAGCTGAGTTGATAACGTAAAATTGGCCACCGTAAAGAGTTTCAAAGCCGACGTCAGTTTCGAGCGTTAGCCCTTCATTAGGGCGCAAAATTACTCTATTACCTTCACTATCCAATCGAGTAACCATGGCGTCTTTAAACAAAGCTTCGAGATCGCTCGCTTCCTCTAAAGAAAGAGTTGACGAGCTGTGTCTCCATTCAGTCTGGTAACAGATCAGATTTTAATGTCAATAACAAAGAACTCGAGTCAAAGTTGCATTTATTCAAATAACGTGCTGCTTGTTACGGTTTACATACATTATATACACTATATACAAGTGTGCTGCGCTTGGCCTAACAGGTTGCGTGCTGGTCCCGAAAAACCTGAGTTCAACTTGTCTTATTTTGAATAATGTCCTCTCTTGCTGAGGTTTTAGAAACACTTGACTACGAGCAGCCATACTTTTCGACGAGGTCCGTCCCACGAGTCGGAAAAAAAATAGCGAGTAAAAGATTGACGTTAGCGCGCAGACCTATGGGAGTAAGGCGCATGAAAACTGATGTACATCAGTGATCTGATTTGTCGGGCACTCATTTCATGACAACACCGATATTGGGAACAAACAATCAAATGATCAATTCCATCGAGAGACCCCGTTATGATATTAAAATCGATGTTTCCCACCTTCGATTTGACATCAGCGCGCTTTTCTTCCAGTAACACAGGTTGCTGCACTCCAAACGGTAAGTGATCTAAGAACTTTGCGAAAAACTTGAAGATTAGTAGCTACAATGCTCTTCATGACAGAAAATAACACAAGGAAAACGGTCAAATAAGTCAAATTGGTGAAACTACATGTACGAAATGACACTTTTATACCTTCATCAGCATCTTGTATTTTTCATCTGATAACTTTAAATGCAACGATGGAAGGACCGATGATACTTTAAACCTGAAAAAAAATTCAGTTTTCGGGCGCTGAAGCAGAATTAACTATCTAAAGCAGCCAGGAGAGTTTGGTAGCATGACCTTGGAGTTCCTTACATCATTCGAATGCCATGTTACTGGATTCACATACAAGGAACTTGTTGGCACCTCACTTCCTGTGTACCACGAAACACCTACATATGCTTAGACAATTTGCTCATGTGATGGTTTGGTCTGACCGTTCGCCGAGTGAGTGTGGTCCTGAGAAGGACTGTTGTCGGTTGTGGTGACTGACGTTTCGATGACCTGAACGGAAGTCATCAACAGCGGAAGTCAACAACAGCGGAAGTCAACAACAGCCCTTCTCAAAACTACAATCACTCGGACAATCAGACTACACTATACACTTAATGTATGGTCCCGAGGGAAACAGTTACTTTTGTTTTCCCGAGAGTCCTGATCTTTCCCGAGACGAAGTGCTTTATTGTATATTTAAACTTTCCCTTAAACAACCAAATGGCAAAAACATGCTGTTGTATTCGGCGCGCAGGCAACAACTGCGCAATTGTATCTCGGTCGGGATACATTTGAATTTGATCAAGGGCACGTGACCAAGAATCAACCAATCACGGTGCTCGTTTTGTTGACTGAAAGTCTAGCCATATAACACTATCACATGTTACCCCGGGTTCAAACCATTTACTGCACAATTTACTCACTCTGGAAGTTGTAGATTATCAGTCGTAATGCTTTTCTGTAACTTCATTTTAAGAGCAGTGGAGGGTAAAATGTGATGAGGTGAACTTGAGACACTTTGCATTGATTCCCACTTGACATCTTCAGAAAAAACACGTTCAAAAAGTTACAAATCCAATCTTATTAATGATAAAATCAGTTATTTTGCTCAAGGCAGAAGGGCGCAAAAATGTATCAAAGGTAAAAAACACTGAATCACAAACCCTTGTTAAAAATCATAACTTGAACATCACCCAAAGTCATCTCAAACTTGTCATAGAACATCTCCTCTAATTCCTGTTCAGTCGCTGTCTGTTAGAAAGAATATTGAAAGGATATGTTGCAAAATATCACAATTCACAGTGCAAACTCTAGGTGCATTCCCTGCCCAGCATACAACAAAACTACAGGTGCATCAGTAATCAGTATACTAATCAGGTGATACTTACCCTGACACTTGTGTCCCGAGATGCCAAGTTACTGACCACCTTCAGATGTCCCAAGTCAACAGCAAGAACACTTCCATCCCTGAAAAAGTGATTGAAACAAAAAGCGCACCTGATTGATAAGGGAAAAGAAACGGTGTAGCTCAGAAAAGAATGTCGTATTTAAAAGAGAAACCTGCAAGGCCCGAGGCCTCAACAGAAACCCTAAATTTCTTGAAATAACCAGCGCAATTCTGGAACGTCATGCATGTGTGGTTTAAGTCACAGAGTTTTTTAAAAAATATGGAGAAGAAAGATAATTGTTAATAACACCTGAAGACAAATTTCGAACGGTTAGGCTACACTGCAGAATTGGCTGAAAAACGCGATAAATGGTAAATTTCCATCTACGCTTTTTCAGGAGTAGTAAAGATAAGGACCAAGCAACTCCCTTAAATCTTACTGACACCGTTCAACTTAAGCTATTAACAGAATTAAATGTAACCAGCGAGGTCCATTATTTTTCCTCTGGATCGTGTTGCATCAGTCCAATTAGGTAGTACCTTTGCAGAGTTCCATATTCAGGAATTACCACGAATGGCGACCTCACATCTAAATCAAGGTATGTAACCTTCAAGAAACAAAATCTATGAGAAGCCATTCTTTCACAATAAATTTCAGTGCAAGACGCAGCCTGAATTAATTTACAAAGTACATAATGAAAAGAAGAACGTTATTGATCTCTTTCTCTCTGCATTAACATTTATGGGACAACAATGATAGTAGATTCCTTCGAGGGGTTACAGGTAAGGATGTGCTATTAAAATCATTTTATCACAAACTAGGATTCTTTTTAAAGTCCACTCGTTTCGTTAGAGCAGTAGCACCAAATAAGACCACGAGACAAGCTTCAAACAGATCGCAAAGGAAAGGGAGTTGAAATATATAGGATATATAGTTGGTAAATAAAAGAAAATTCCTGTCTAATCAGGGTATTGAAAAGAAAAACATCTATGTGTTGATCATCAAGTAGCTTAACGAAATATTTCCTTCTTAACCTCGTGCTGAGTTATCGCGTACTCCAAACCCGCGCGGGTCCACCGTCTCAGGTCCTGAAGCTTGCTGGCTGCTGCCTCCCCAAGCCTGAGTAAGCATGGTTCAAGCATCTCAATAAATGGTACTTTAACAAGGAAATAAACAGCACTATAAAGCTACTTGTTAGCGTGTGGACTGAACCAAATACACATGGACGTGGCCTTGCTTGCCTGAGAGCTCTCTAGACCTCGGTGATGCAGCATCAGACAAGTAATCGTAAAATCGAGGTTTTAATCCTCCCTAAAGATGAGTAATATTTCTATGCTTCACGCTTGCATAAATGAACTCAATTTCTGTCATCACCATCAATACAATTCTTGCTTTGATTACAATTTAACACAAATCACAGGAGCATAGCATGAAGATTGAAAACGAAAGTTTACTGTAAGCAGAAAGCCCCTCAGTAAAATTTGACGAGCCAAAACCAAGTTTGAACTGCTAAGATAACACAAATACCACAGCAAACCGTGGCAGATCACCTTGCTAAATAGGATTAATCAGAACAGTAACTAGTAGAAGTACACTAGACATTTTCTCGTGGTGTACATTGATGAAAAGAAATCACTTACTCCTGAAACTTTGAGTTTTCTGGCATGTAGAAGAATGCGATTATTTTATCAATGGTGTGCTGAAAGAAAAAATATAAAGGAGTTGACCTTCGAGTCAAATCGTATTTTTCCTTCCCTTGGGTGCCAAGTGTGAAGAATGCCGGAACAAGTGGCTTACAACATTCAATGGATACAATATGCCAGCCCTAATTTGACCAAGATGAATAAACGCTCTCAATTATTTCGAGGCTGCTGATATTATATATGAGACATACAGTGTTAAGTTATATTCTGCATTCATGAGAGACTCGTCGCATGGCTTCCGAAGCTTCTGTGCATCTATGTTTCTGTAGCGTGAAGAAACTAACATCAATATTACTTTGGTGTGCTTCTTTATAGCAAGTTAATCCTTGGCGTTTCATTAGCTTTTTTCCTGCACCATTTGGCCATTACTTAATTACGCTCTTAGACTGAGAGAAGCTCTGTGAGAGTTACACAACACAGCGACCCTGGGTGTGGCTCACATCAAGACTATTCGATGCAGATTCCATGGCATCACACCTAAAACTACCATGTTCCCACAGATTTAAATCGTATAAGATTAAAAAAATCAATTCTATGTGAGATATTGCATCACAAAGTCAACTTCAAACAAACGCAAGAAGGCAACATCAAGTTAAAATTTCGAAAATCATTTCTTCAACAACCTACCGCATCATAAACAGCCTGAACGGGCTCCACCTTCAGGGATACTGCATAGTCTGCTTTCAATTCAAGAGGCTTAGTTTCCAATGTACATTGCACTAGAGCTGTTCCATGTCCTAAATCAAAACCAAAGAACCATTAAATAAGGGATCGCCACTTTTCAGGGAATGTCACTCAAATTCAAAGGCCGTAAAACATTTTTAATGTGATTTCACACTCACCGTCAAGGGTGCTCTTGGATGAAACAAGAATAAGCTGGTTTTCCGTAGCTTCTTCTGAATATCCAAGCATCTTGAATTTGTTAACCTTACCATGAAACCTAAATCCCAAACGACAATATTCTTTGACTATATTTCACGCATTCATTTCCTGCAGGGCTTCTCTCTAAACATACTTCGACGAATTTCAAAGATCTCGCAGAGATCACTGAAATTCACAGGAACTGACAAGACCGTGTACATGTAAGTGTTATTTCATAGACATTTATGAAAAGCCTAAGGTTCCTACCTCTCCTCTGCAATATGATTGAGACCGGCAGAAAAAATTCTAGTTGAAAGGAAACAATAATGCTATGCCCACATAAATTGGTGACAAAAGTAGCTGTTAAATTCCGATAGCTGGGACCATTAAGAGGGATAAAAACATTGGTAACGTTTATCGAGAGTAAAATTATAGAGAAAGTGATACCATTGGAGACAAGAATCGTTTCTACAATGGTTAGAGAAATCGTTCACGATTTTGCTTTTTAGGATGCATGGTAACTCACCGAAAGGCTCCCTGAGCCGGCCTGTGTTCTAAAGTTGCATCAAATCCTTCAGTATCCAACTGAGCTATTTTACTGAAATGAAATATGACATGACAAATGGTATAACAGGCTGAAGACAGTTTATCAATGAAAAAGTGTATTGATCCAGTAGAGATAGCAATGTGACTCACCAATTTGTTGCGTCCAAGAGTTCAAAAGTACATTTGTCCAGGTTGAAGGTAATCCTTGACTTAATGAACTGCAACCCGTCGAGAAGAGTAACATGTGTGAAAAACGTAAACATTAAGACTTACATGTATTTTTCAAAGTTAGTGATAATTTTCCATGTTTCCTTTCTATTCCGCCTAACGTAAATAACTAGATCATTACCGGTTTCGAAGATTGATGGATCAAATAGAGAGACCAAGATTGAGACAACAAAAGGGGGGATGGATTGAAATGAGGAATACCATAAGGAAAGGGGATGAGGAGAGAAGGAAGAGAAAAAAACACTGTAGAAGAGGAGTAAAATAGGGAAGAACTTATAAAACATCACAGTAGCATTACCTCTGTAGGATATTTCACCCGCACACTTTCATTGTAATCAATTGCTTTGTACAACTTTTCCTTTTCCTCAACAGAAAGAGCTGCAACTGAGAATTTTGACCAAATGTCCTCCTCTATAGAAAGTTAGGAAGAAAAATATTTGTTATTCAATGTTTCTCCACTAAGTTGTCCAAAAAAGATGCTTTCAAGAATTGTCATCAAATGTACAAAAAACTCAAAAGGGTATTTGAATGAGTATTAGTGAAACAATAAAAAATAAAAAAATTTCAAGAAAATTGAAAAAAGAGGTTTTCAGGGCCTTCAGCGATCTGAGATCCTCAAAAGCATGCCAACATCTTCAAAAGTAGTCTTAAAACATATCAAATGCAGATTTCCCACAAAATTGTTCATTACTGTTTTTGTTCCAATATAATCAGAAAAAATGTATCGTAAACCAGTCTTTCCATGCCTTGTTCCTCTCGATTCATGACTCCCTCATAGTCAGTGGAGCTTCCAGACCCAATACCCAACCACAACCACCAGGGATTTGACTTCTTTTTTTTGCTTGGATTAAACCTTTGACTTGGAGGAACCTTCAGAATAAAGAAAAAGATAAACTCCCTCAATGAAAAATCTTAGAGCACTGCAAACTTCCAAAGAGCCAAGAAATGATTTTAAACTGTAGAAGTTTCAGAAAATGGTTTCAATGAGGAGCTTTAATTATTGGAAAGTCACTTTCTGTCAAGAGGGCATTCACCATTAGGTAAAGTATACACTCTTAAAACTGAATCTTCTGAAATAAACATCATGCAGTTATTTACAAGCACAAATAACTAATTAACTCTCTTGAGTGACCAAGACATAATTTCTCCTTACATCATTGATACAACAAGCATACAAGGGATGAGAATAAAGAAAAATATTAATAATTTGGAGGATTGTTGATTGATCCAAAACCAAATTCTCCAAACTCAGATCATAAGAATTGTATGGCAGACAGTAAGGAGAATTACTAATGAGATCTTGGGAGTACAAGGGTTAAGAAGAGTTCAGTTATTTTAAACTCCATCTGGATTTCCTCCCAAGCTTAACCATTGTCAGTGTTGTCATCACAATGTAGTTTTTCCATAACAACTCACACCCATGGTATCTCCAGCTATTCCTTAAGCCTGAACCCACTGTAACTTAACCCTTTACACCCTAACATCAGGTTGCATATTCTCCATACTGTTCTCTATAAATTTCCTAACATGCTGAAAAGGAGAATTTGTTTAACAATCAAGATCTTTTTAGTCCTTGATTATCTCCTTTATTCTCATATCTTTAACATGTGATTCAGGGGAAATTATGTAAGGAGACAGTAGATGTCAATCACTCTTAGGGATCAAAGGGTTAAAGGAACTCAAAGCTACACATTATCTGAGACCTTTGTTATACATCTTATTCTCATTTTGTAAAGAAATGCATAACGGTGTGTGCTTAGCCCCCATATTACATTACATGTATATGCAAGCAACATTACTTGTTATGAGAAACCTACTTCTATTTCTGCATGTCTCCTTGCAATCAAAATACTTGGAATATCAAGTTTATCTTCCAACGACTAACAGAAAGTAGATAAATAATACTGTAAGTACAAATGCTACTGAGGAATCACCACTAAACAATAAAAGTCATAACAAATTACTAGATAAATGCAAAACCCTCAAAGTGTATACCTGAATGTTATTTCTAACGGAAGACTGTTCATCCTCACTTAAACCTTTTAACTTTCTCTCCCAAAGGTGCTTATACAAATGATACTTTCTCCTAAATAGAGGAAGACATGGATAGTAATCAATACATTTATGCAGTAGAAATAGAGCTACACGTATTAACAGTAAAAGGTTAACTTTATTATTTATTTTATTTATTATTTAGTCAATGATGCAGTTTAAATTTCAAGTCCAAAGTAATACTATATTGCATTGGTTGCTTGTGATTTACCACATGGAGTGATTCCTGTAGAAAATTACACCATCTGTCATGACTTAGTCACTCATGTTTTCAACTTTTTTTCCCTTTCAATCAGTTCATTGCATTAACTTAATTTCTCTTCATGATTAAGTTCCCACTTCAGATTGACCCTTGTGATATAATTTGGTCTCAGTTCTACTCAAAGGATTATTGAGCTCTTGACATCCATGTACCCTAATTACACTCTTGCAGAATCTTCAGTGATCTTTCCTAGACTGAAGCAAAATACATTCAATCCACTATAGAACCATCTGACCCTAGTAAGTGACCTCCCCCTTAAATTTTCCTGATGAGGGTTTCGTTTTTGTTTTTACTTGAACCCTGATTGCTATATATTCCCAGGGCATTTCATTAAGGGACTCAACTGTAAATCATGAAACTTGATAAAAATAAAACTAAAAAAAAAACAAAACAAAAATTTGATAACAAAGTTTCTCCTTGTTATCATTTACATTAATTTACCTGTGCTCCTTTATGCGATCCCATGACCAGCATCTAATTTTCTCCTCACAAATAGCAGTGTATGCATATTTCCACCTGCAAGATTATAAAAGAAAATAAATGCACCCCTACTGATAATGTTGTTAAAATTCACATCCGCTCAGAGAACTTAATTATTAATCCACCTATGAGTGAAATTCTGGCAAAAAATGCTCAAATGCCTCTTTTTCCCTTTCTGTTCTTGAAAACTTCTTCTTCTCTGAACCTTTTTTCATAATTCTCCTATCTTTTATTTTCATTGATATGGGTAAACACACTTTTTCTCCATGAGAATAACAATAATTATAATAATTCCAGCTTGAAGTACAGAAAATTTTTGATTAGGCTTTGGATGCCTTGGGTTTATAAGGTTTAAAGAATAAAATAATTTATATCTTCAGGAAAACAGGCTAACAGAACAAAGATGCTTGGAGAGCGGGGGATTTACAAGGATTATTTTCAATTCTGACTGAAATTTACAGAAATGTATAACAACAGTGTACATGATTCTTAGACCCAGAAAGCAGTGTTTACCATGCGGCTGGATCTCTCCTCACTGGTAATGTTGGTTGATATCTTAAGTAACGTTGGTTTATGGTCATTGACTCAAATGATTCAATCAAATCCATCACATTGTGAAACTACAACCAAAACATACAAATATGAGTTAAGATTAAAAAAAAAACTGGAAAAGACATTTTAGCAATATGTTTTACAAATAGCACCTCCTCAGATCTTTTTGGTTTGATATTTACCTGGGTCTGGGTAAATACTAGAGATAACTCCTGCTGTAACACCTCAATCAGAAGCTGTAAAGAAAAACATGATAAAAAATTTTGAAAAATAATTAATAGTGGTTTTCTACCAGTAATAGGGAGCTTTTCAAAACCCAAAATTTGCAGACTTTTTCAAATACCTTAGGTGTGTCAAGTACTATTTCTGATGATTGGTCCATCACAACATGACATTCAGCAGACAAAGGCTTTAAAACTTTAAAAAAATAAGTAACCAACACAGCTATTAGAGACAGAATATCAACAGAGAATTCTCAAAACACTTTCCTTACTTAATTTATGATCTATCATTTGAAGATAGTACAACCACAATTCTATATTTAGTTTGACACTTTGCTAATAGTAGATCAAACACGGCACACTCAAAATCATCATCACTCAATTTAAGGTCTTTTTTCATAAGTATACAGTCATGTACAGTCCATTGCTTTAGCTAAAAATGCTATAAACTCTTCAAAACACCCACAATTTAAACTTTCTCTTCACTATTTAATCCTAACTGCCATAGATGAGACCTACTGAATTCATAATTGGATGGAAGGCTTGTTTTGCTTGAGATCCCACGGCTCATAAGGTCCTGAAAAAGAGAAACAGGAACTATACCATATGATTTCAATAGGAAAAATCTTCAGCTACTAAACAATTGTACCTGGTGTGACTCCTTACTCCTAAAATCTTGCTCCTTATTCTCTGACACACCCCTGGTACATATAACTCTCCAACCTTCTTTCAACCTTCCCCTCCTTGCTCCTTGGCCAGCTTACTCTCTCCTCCCTTTCCCTCTTATCTGCTCTACCCCTCCTTAGCCCCCTAAAATGTTGCCCTTACTCCCTCACAACCTCCCCCACACCTAACTCACCAACCCCCTGCTAACCTTCTCCACCTTGCTTCTTAACCTGTTCACCCCCTTACCTGCCCAATTGCCCAACCCCTCCCTCCCCCCCCATCCCTCTCTACTATCCCCTTACTTGCTCAGTTGCCCAACCTCTCTCCCCAATCCCTCCCTATGGGTGACTAGGATTGACCATGACATTGTTTATTCATCTTAATTTGCACCTTTCCTAAACGTCTGACCGCATTGTTAAAAAGCAAGGACATTCTTCAAATTAAGGTAATTTTCTCACAAATATATACTATGCCTGTGCACTGCTAGAAGTATATTAGCATGCAGGGGAAGGAGAACACACAAATTGTGAAGACAAGTTCCTGCATGCATGTACTTAAGCCTATTAATAAAAGCAAATGATAAGCTTATGCAAGTAGCGTATTACAAATTACTGAATATGAATACATTCTTTGAGGGCACCTTCCAAGAATGTTGCATTGAAAAGAACTGCATTGGGGTCTGATTTGTGTTCCAGTACATAGCCAGGCAATCGAGACTCACTATCTAAAGATTGAAAAATATTGATTATTATAATCAATTGCACTAGATTTTACAATGTAGAGACTATTGTCCATTTTTACACAAAAAAAAGCAGTTTGAAGATAACTCTACATAATTTACAATTTGAATCAGCAAATACCTTGTAAATAGTTTTGGCTGACGCATCCACTACACACTCCTGCCATAATTCATTGGTTGTCTAAAGGAAACCAAAACCTCATTAGCAGTTCACATGTGGATAACATCAGAACTAGATTGACCAAGGCAGATCTGCCAGAAGATTGACTTGCATGGAGCAGAAGTAAGGGTTGAGTAATAAAGACTACCTGATACTGAGACCTAGTATTTTTCTATCAAGGGCCTTCATCAGGAGTCATTATTTTCATTAACCTTTAATAAACCTTTTACACCCTAACATCAGTATCCATATTCTCGATACTCTTCTATATATATTTCCCTTAGCACTGACAAGGAGAATTTGTTGAACAATCAAAGCTTTTTTGGGAGGTGATCATTTCCTTTCTTCTCATGATCTTAATGAATGATTCAGCCATATTACTGTAAGGAGAAATTTGATGCTGGTCACTCTCAGGCTTTAAAGGGTTTATAAAATCAGAACTCACCTCAGCTGAGAGATTTTGCAGAGTAAAGCCCACAGTAAATGGTTTATTTGGAGAAGTAACCTGTCAGAAAGAATGACCAGCAATAGTTAGTACATTTATTGTAGGGTTTTCAGTAATTAAGAAGAACTCCTTGAAAAAATCTGTTGGCTGACTATTTGCCGACTGTTGTCTGACTATCAGCTGTCTGACAGCTAACAGTCAGCTCACTGTTGACCAACTGTCTGCTGATAGACAACTGACTGTCAGCCAACAGTTTTAAGCAACTGTACAGACCCTGAGGAAATGGTTTTATAAAAAAAAATCATAATTTTGCTCAGTTTATACCTTATCCTCATAGCGAAAATGAACATTCTTCACAGAAATCTAAGAAAATGGAAACAGATACCATTAATAATGTAAACAAAGTGAATGCAGCATGAGTTGTGATTTCAAAAGCTATTTACATGTACACTGTCCCTTACAAATATATTCCCACATAACAGTATAAAACTTGCACAATTCATTTATATAATTCCACACATTGTTAGATATTTGTAACTCAGTTGTAAAAATTTACCTTAAGGTTCTTCAAAACTTGAGCTATCAGTTTGTCCACAAAGGAGTCAGAGCCCTCTTCAGGATTTTTTGGCTTCTCTAAACAAACAATACCCTTTAAATAAATATAATTACATGTAACAAATTTAAAATGTTAAGTTACCAACATTTCTACATTATTCAAGTGGTGGTTTTTACAGGAAATTCTACAATATAAACAGTTAATTGAGATAAGTAAAAGCACTTCAAGCATTGATGCACTATCATTTAGCCAAAAAAAGTATAAAGTCATGTACATTATTTTGTACAAGCACATGACTGTACATGATATGTATGTACTTGTGTTATTATCACATCACATTGAGTTGAAAATGTTAACCTTCATTGATGTCTGCAGCCTGAGTCCGCTGTTTAATCTGGGAGAGGCGTTTTCTTTTGGCTGCTAATTCTAATGTATTAGCTCTCACAGGGTCATATTTTCTCTCTATAGACAAAAGCAAAAATACTAAACAAGTAATCAAAAATAGCATTAAACTACATGCCTTTAAGAAACAAAGCAACTTTTTAAACAGAAAGATTTCTTCAGACGGTGAAGAGTTAAAAGATAAGAAGGAAAAGGTAAAACCATTTAAAAAACCTTTTGAACCGTAACAGTACGTAACAGCTAACTTCCCTTAACAATATCACCCCAGAGTCACACATTATGGTTACAAGAAAAAAGGAAACATTAACTCTCCTTGTAAACTTCTAAGGAAACGTACAGGGTGTACTGTAATAGAGGATATGCAATAAGTGTGATATTAGGTTGAAAGGGTAAAAATCATTGTTGATACCTCACCTCGAATGGGTCCTGCTATCAGATATACATCGTGCACTGCCATGTCCAAGGGCTCAGTATACAGATTAGTCCATGGAATTGTCAGAGAGATTTCCCCTGTGCACAAGTACATGTATGAAAAGTTACACTGAGGCATACCAGAAGAAATCATACCCCATAACAGTTACCTTAATTACCAAGTTGTCGATAAATACTCCAAAAGTGTGTAATACAAAATAGATATCAAACTGATAAAGATCAATCTCAAGGAAGCTGTAAAAAAAATTAAATACAATTTCCTTAAAAACCAAAAATGTTTCTGTGATCAACATTATTTACTACACATGATGAGGCTAAATAGCATAACAAAACACTTATAAAGTATTTCAAAAGGAAATTATCCCTTTTATCAAAAATCACAGTAATACTGATTATTAAAAAATACATATAATTTTTGATGACAATAAATTATATGCAGCTTGTATACAAGTATAAATAACAATACTTACCAACATAGCCATGTGTCACTTCTATGGGAAGATGAAAATCATCCTTAAGAGCAAGTGTAATAACATAGTGTTAACACTGCATCAAGAGGGAAATTAAACTTGAAATTGCTGACATTCTAATAATTAAGACTGCGAGTATTCCTGGCCATCTCTTGAGCATTCATTCTTGTTCAAGAGTTAGCTTTAACCCCGTAACTTCAAAGATATGTTTGTTAATTCTCCCTTTTCTAACTGCTACATATTTCCTTGTAAATTAGGAACGAGAATTTAATGTTAGATCCAGATAAGCACTTCTACCCAACAGATTTGAATTAATTCTTATAACCTGTTTGCTACATACAGGGAGAAGTTACATCATTAATAACTTCTGGGAATTATAGATTTGAATAAAAAAAAAGAATGTGGTTCACATCATCATTTAATCAAGTAGTAGGAAAAAAGTTGAAAAATGTTTGAAACCAGTGCAAACAATATTTAGAACATAGCAGGTAAATTTGCATAACCAAATTCAATTGTGATAACTTGTTGACAAATACTCATCATGCATGTTGATGATGGGTGTGCAGGCGTCGATTGGCATAACAGAGGGAATTGATCTATATATAACATAGTTACGAATTAAAAAAATGGACAACAATTGAACAATTGATTTATCACTCAGCATTTGTTGATCAGGATATAGTCACTGAGTAGCTTTTATTTTTTTCCAAACTTCTCATGGGCAAAATATCTATGAATCTGCACTGGTGCAGAAACCAATGGTAACATTTCTAAGCCTGAGGGCTACTTATAAATACACATTACTATTTAAGAAACTCATGGATTTTTATGGGCTCATGTTGAATGGTGAAAATTGCCTTTTACTTGTAGCTTACCAATGCATCATCTCGCAGTTCAAGATCTGTCAGGACAACATTTCCTTAAAAACAAATTCCAGAATTAATTGACATTCAATCAACCCCCTGCAATTAAAACATCATCATACTTAGTGCAGTTCAATGATTACGAATAACGTTAATAATGACAAACTCTTGGACACTAGTTTCTTCACATAAAACAATTGTATCACATCGTCAAATCGCAAAGTTACCTGCGTCACACAATATACAAAGTCACGCTCAACTCAATGTTTGGCACTAACACACTAACGAGTGAAGAGGCAAACGAAAGTGAAATCTAAACACCACACAACTTGAATTAAATATGGAAATAAAATATCTTAAGATTCCCTAGCACGCACCTCAAAGTAGCACCGCGCTAAGTCAAACTTAGTTAACGTGAACTGAACTTCTAGCTGAATCGGACGTGAAGCCATTTCCCATAGGGAGCATTTGCAAAAAAGCTCACTCAGTACAGAGGAACTCCCCTCGCTCTATCCAGCTGTTTATTTGATTCCTCGGGTAGTTTTCCTTAGAGGGTTCGGTTGTAATTAAAAATTTAGCTTCTGTTCTCATTAACTCTGTTTGTTAACTCTTTCCGTTGGTAAACTGTAATTCCTTCATAAATTTGACAGGGCTTCATTTTCCAGCTTTTTCGGAGTAAGGCTGCGCTATATATATCATAAGACACGCACACGATCATAACATATCCTATTACATTGTGCAAAATTATGCGTTTAAATTAGAACTTCAGCTCTCTATTTTCCTATTTACATACTGCTTTTGTTTTATACTTAAGCTGAAGTAGTAATGTACTTAAAAGTTCGCTTACCACTAAAAATTCCGAGTTCGAGATTCGAGCTGTCTAAATCTTTGATGTATTTTCCAAGAACTCCATTCAAAATCGATGCAGCGAGGGACTCTAACATGTCTTCTCTCAAAACACTTCGGCTCAGATCCTAAAGCAATGAACTTTACACAAAAAAATTTCCGTTGTGAAGCTTTAATCAAGCCCTGGAGCTTCCCCAAAGATTTGTCACAGATTCACAGCTGATAGTTACGATAACACAGCTGAAACGAGTGTCCTGCTAAATATTTGCATTGCATAAAAGACGTGAAAATTAGCGACAAATAACTTCCACACACATCGATTTAGAAAACGGAGAAAGACGATTCTCACTTTCTAATGGATCCGTTCCAATAAATAGACTGCAAAGAAGTATGTTTATGTTGCAGAGAAGGGAGGAATTTTTGTTGCGCCAAATGAGGAAAGAGTGGGTCGAGTTAGCATGAAAGCGAGACTTCTTTAGCCCTGCAGAAAGTGCGCCAAAGGAATGGCTGATGGTGCACACACGACTTTGATTGAAGAATAGAACATAAGAAGTTTATCGGGGAAAGGTTATGTTCAGCTTGACGCATTCAATTCTCGGTCTCCATTACGGTATCTGATATAGCTGTCATTATATGCTTATCTTTCTGTGGGTTTAATAGACTTATAGAAGGTAGCTCCGAACAAAAATTCCACAACAGTTTTATATTATAGCTTTTCAGCATACATTTAGGCTAAATTTCCCTCATGCGGAAATTCTAACCCACGTAATTATCACCGTTGGTGTATATGAGGGTCTCAATGGGGTGATGACTTTTACAGCTAACAGTTAATTTCTTCCCGATAAAGTCAACAGAAACATTTTTACGGTTAACTTATTCACCGTGCGACTCTCCGATACGATTTGAATAAAGTCACGCGTTTTCCAGGGAGTTGAATTGCACGATTCTCTTTTTAGACCGGTCATGGTTTGCACGTGGGGATTCGAGTCTTTAATCGACACGCGCTCCTGGCGTGTGTATTAGGGCGTAAGGTATGTACGTGGTCAACGGGTCGCGTGAGAGTAGATCGCCTCTACGCCTGTAAACTTTACGAAGTTTATTAAAGAATTAAAATAATTCCTTATAATCTTTCGTATATTCAACAGAGTCAGGGGGCAGAAAAATACAACGACAAAGATATAATTTTATTTACAAAGTTTGAATTCATCAGCTTAACCAGCTCAAGGTTATACTCTTTAACATGTTAACAAAAGGTAGCTAATTCAAAATTGGAGCGTTGTGGATGCACACAACAAGATTCCACAAATGATAGATTTCAACCTTACTACTTATTTTCGCAAAGCTTTTGGAACAAAACTAAAATTTATTTTTTTTTATCTTGATGTAATTTTATTGACATAGCAAAACACTCAATTCCTTTACGTCTAATCCTTACATCAACATCACTATAGTAGTTCTCAAAAATAATGTGTGAATTCCCAACAAAGTTTCAAGAGAAACATAAAAAAACAAACAACCAGGAGTTTCTAATCTAAGCTAAAAAAAAACAGCTCGAAAATTCTACTCAAAGAAAGAGATGGAGCACAAGCCATCTAGTCAATCAATAATTTTATTTAAACTAATGTCTGCATTGTGATATCCATTATTTTTCAAAAGCTTCACCCCTAAGACACCCATGTACATTACCAATGCATGTTGAATTTAACCTACAATGTGTACAAACATTATACAAAGTTTGAGAGAAAACTGCCCCGAAAACATAGAAAAATACTCATGACTTGTGGTGTACAAAATAGGTCTGAATATTGTCACTTTCAAATTGACACACTTTACTACTTTCTGGGAAAAATAATGAATATTTGTTCTCTAAACTAAACTGGTTAACATTTTTAAATGGTCAGCCTTTACCTTCAGACGGAAAATTTTGAATTAAGCTTTTTTACTTGTTTATGTTACATGACTACATTCTCGGCCTCTTTTTCCGATACCCTAATATCAAATGAACCAATTGTACCCTCTCCATTATAACTCTTGGCTAGAAAAGAAACTAAATTTTTTTTAAAATGTGATTTTTTTTCTATCCAAGTGTTTCGTGATCCTCCCCGTGATAAATCTTTCTAGTGTACGAATTTAGTGGTATATTCTTGTCACAATTTTTCTTATCAGTCGCATAATACAAGTATTTTTGTTTCAAGAATTAAGAATTTTGCGCCTAGAAGTCGTTAGTGAGCAAAATTCCCTAGTGGCAAAAATTGATAAGTGACATGTCTTGGCCGAATGAAATTGTTTTCTATTTTCTGAACCAACTACGCTTAACTGTAATCTATATAAATATGTACCACGCAAAAATCAATTCGTTTTACTTTACAGTCTTAGCCAACAAAACAACGTTTTCTCCACTCGAAGACAAGCAATCTGAGGAGAGCATCACCATACGTTATAACCCTTTAACTCCCACGAGTGACAAAGAAAGAATTTCTCCTTACAATATAGATACGATGTCAAGTGGACAAGCAATGAGAATAAAGAACAATATCAATTAGAGGATTATTAGTTGATCCAGTACCAAATTCTTTGAACTAACATCACAAGAATTATATGGCAGATGGTAAGGAGAATTACTAATGAGATCTTGGGAGTTAAAGGGTTGAACCAAAACTCCGTATGGAGTATCAAGTGAGCCCGCGATGACTGTTGCATCAACTTGGTCTCGTCATACGGGACACTGCACCCAGATGGATGGAGATAACGAAGGTTTTGTGGGTTATCTATGTCTCACTTGTTCAAGAACGTAAAAAATGTTCTTATCTATAACACGTACCAAAGTATCATTACAAAAGGATGAGTGCGTACAAAAAACGCCCCATCGTTTATTTTGGCGACTTCTTTCTCGTTCTTCGCTGTGCCAGCAGCGAGGCATGGACGGGTTTAAGCCGCTTGTTGTCAGGGGAAGAGAGGGCGGAGAAAGTTGCCTTGACAGCTTCCTTAATTCTTGACACACTGCTGACTTGGTGAAGCCTGTGCTGAGGTAGTTGATGACGACTTACCACCCATGGGTGTTGAAGAACCTGAAAAGAGAGAAAAACGGTTAGGAGGAGCCACGAACGTAAATATATAAATAATAAAATACACCTACACAAAAACAAAAATTTTATTAAAACGCCATTACTGAAAAATCAAAATGGCTGTGAGCCACTGAAGTGATGGAACGATGGATGGGAAAGAGTGAATTTTGGACCATAGAAACAACTTGGAAATGGCTTTCAGTCATTTTCCAAGTGAAAAAGAAGATCAATCTTGTTTCTTTGAACAGTTAAAACAAGGATAAAACACTCACTAAAGTATCAAAGGCCAACACGAAAAGGAAGATTGACGTTCGAAGGACTTTAATTTTAAATTGCCAATTACTCAATGCAAGATAATCCATCCACAGGTCATTTCTCTAACAACTATTTGTAAATTATTTCAAGCTCACCTGTTTTGCTGTCAGCCGCAATCTTGGATTAACGTGAAGCATCTGTCTGACTAAATCCTAGAGAGTAATCAAAAAGGTGTCAATCAATGATAGGCAAATCAGAACAAAACAAGATCAATGCTTTGGGTGCGAAGCACAAAAAAAGTAAGGTTCCATCTTTTGGCGCGCCTCCTTTCCAGAATTCGGCGCGGCGCACTAACATGAATTTTTTTCACTCAATTTTTTTTTTAATTAACGCGACGGACTTCGCCGAAAAGGAGGGACTCCTCGTAGTCTCTGGAGCGTTCTAATACAGACGCCTCGTAAGAAATCTAACAAAGTGTATCTAAATTCATTATAGGGTAGGTTCTAGACTTTTCAATAACATTTATTTGTTCGACATAGACATCTAACCTTTCACAGAAATAATGTTAGGAACAATGACACTTTAAGTAAGGTTTTTATGACATTACCTTAGCAACATCTGAGACATGGTCCCAGGCTCCTCCCACAAGGGAATACTTTCCTTCCCCGATTCTTGACAAAATGACCGATGCAGAATCTTCTGGGCCGACGGCAAATGGTGTTTGCCTGATGTTGATAAATGAAGAAAGTGTTAGCCGCAACTATAACTACATAGGTCTCCGTTTTGTCAGCAATAACGCGGTTTCTTTCTACACATTATGCTGACTAATGACCCTCCTCCAAACTTCTTCCCGACTCGTCCGAAATCTCCCCGGGCGCGGAGAAACGCGCGTCTTTCAGCGCTAATAATGAGGACCTGCTCCCAAGCTACTGCATGGAAGACTAACAGTTCTCAAGAACACTACGAAACACTCACTCACCCAGCTAGCATGGTGTAAAGAAGAACGCCCAAGCTCCAGATGTCACAAGCCGCATCGTATCCCTGTTTCTTGAGCACCTCTGGAGCCACGAAATTTGCCGTATAACATGGTGTCATAAGCAGACCATTTGACGCGCGGATCTGTTTAGCAAACCCAAAATCAACTATCCTCAGAGACTCGGGGCTGCCGCTGTCGTCCGCGTACATGATGTTGCTTGGTTTTAAATCCCTGTGTACAACCTATAACGAAGGGGGAAAATTCTCGTTAGTTCATGGTTGGCTACCAGAGAAAGCAACAGGGGCGGGATTACCCAAATTGTTATCGCAAAACCGAAAATTGTATCTTTACATATGGGAAACTTTTCGATTAAGTTTTGTAAAACCATAACCAAAGTGATCTCAACGACCATTCAGAATAAAGGAAAATGTCACAAGGAGCCAATGAGAACTCAAAGGAAAAAGATGTTCACTGTCTAAAGCGCGGGAAAACGCGAGTGACCAAGTCGGGATGGATTTAGTTGTTCTCAGTTTCTGATTAATTGAGAGGCTGGCTCGAGTTTTCTCGACACAATCAAAGAGCGTAGACAAGCAAAACAAGGACAGTCCCAGAATAAAATAATGTGGTATTATCAACTGAGTTGATAACGTAAATTGGTCAACGTTAAGAGTTTCAAAGCTGACGTTTCGAGCGTTAGCCCTTCGCTCTGGCTGAAATGTCCGCTTTGAAACTCTTAACGGTGGCCAATTTACGTTATCGCACAGTCTTTTTCGCGCGAGCTTACTCGGTCACGACAACTGGGTAAAAAACTAAAAATACACAATGTTGCCAATATTCTAGTCAAACTGACATGGAGATTGGTCAAAAACATATAACCTACCCCTTCTTCATGAAGGAAAGTAAATGTGCTAGCCAGAGTGTACATGATGAGAGCAGCCTCTCTTTCTGATAGACTCTTGTGTTTCAATATTCTATCCAGTAGTTCTCCACCCTTCATGAGCTCCATCACCATGAACACATTTTTGTCATCTTCAAACACCTTCGACGAAGAAGAAAATATTTATGTATATCAGTTACATCTTTTGAGTGGTGAACAAAAAATAAGAAGGGGGGAGGTGTGAAGAGGATGTTTAAGGAGCAAGGGAAGGGGAGCTGTGGAGACCTGGTTACCCATTACGCGACCTGCATCTTCGGAAGCTCAACCAAGTCTTTTCACAATCAACCCTAACACTTTTAAGACCGATCAATAAGTAATTTCTCCTTACAATATCAATACCTTGTCAAGTTAAGAGGTTAGGAGAAGACAGAGAAAAATCAAAAATCAAATTAAAAATCTCTCTACATGTAAATATCTCAGCTTACATCTCTGAGGTGAATCACATTTGGATAGCTTCCATATCGTAAAAGAATCTGTAAGGGAAACAGTTGGTGTTAATTACCTAATATATAATTGATAAGTTAGTGTTTTAGTTTGCCAATTAAAACAATATCAAAATTTTTGTTATTCCTCTGTGGAATTACAAAATGCAAGGCATAACTGCTAAAAGTGGAATATTTTTCACACTCTATTTGTTTCAAAATTTAACAAGCTAGCAATGACTCAGAAAGAACACATGATTTTATAAAACAAGTAAAGCCAGAAAAATCAAACAATTAAAGAGTAGTTCTCACCTCAATTTCTTCTGTAGGATCTCGTTTACTCTTATCTACAATCTGTAAAGTTAGAACAAGGAGTAAAATTCTCAATGACCATGTCTTTTCCAAAATTCATGTAAACAGTCAAGTCTGTACCAGACCCTAGAGGCCTATCCAGCTGGAGTTTATCCTGGTCTCCATAGCATGAAGCAATTAGGAGCACTACTACTACTACTACTACCTTTTTTATAAAACTTTTCAGCTTATTGATAGCCTGTGCAAAATATCAGTTCTAAACTTTATATCAAATATGATAATTGATATTTCAAAGGGAAAGAATTTGCTATGGTCTCACCAGTTTGCTTGGGGAAAAAAATCTAACTAGCAAAACTTTGCAAGTCAACTAAAAAGTTAACTTCAAGCCCTGTAACAGTTCGTAACTTTACCCAATTTTTTGAGGAGCCCTCCCTATTTATCATTGGGCTTAAGACTTGCAGAAGGGGATATTTAACTTAAAACATGCAGATCAAAGGTGGCTCTAAATGGTGTGCATACATTGTGCAATTAACCTGATGAAAATCAATGTTTTATACCTTGACTGCACACTCTCCCCCTGATGCTTTGTGAATACATTTTTTACATACTGAATATGATCCTCTTCCAATTTCCTGTTGCCAAAAATATAAAGGTTTAATTAGCAAAAAGGTTCAGTATAATATGGACATTACTCAGCCTACTGTGCCCACAACTAAGAATGTTTATCATTCTTTCTAATTAATCCTGTCACTAATGGCCACATGAGCATAATGCAGAGTCAAGTTGCCATAAATGTACTCAACATCTGAGAAAACCATCTTAACTGAAAAACCCTCATCACTCTATCACACTTCACTACACTCAATAAACAGATTCCATTTGCCTGATACATCTCTTCAGAAAAGTTCACAGATGACATCTGATAAGAACAAAAAAGTTGCACACAAGGGGCAGCCACATGTGTCACTGATTTTCTCTTCACATTTTGACATTTTCTGTGATCAATTACTAAATAGACCCACAGCAACATGGAATGTATTTGTTTTATATGACAAAAAAACAAAATGTTGTAAATAGTGACTGTCCTCAAAAAGATCATAAGTAAATACATGTACCAGTTAAAACATATGACTGTATAATTCAGCTAATCATATAAAACGCAATGTTGCCCATCCAGTCATATGGTGTAAGAAGAAAAAAATACCAAGCAACGTCATTATCTTTTAAAAACAAATTATGCATGAATCTACCTGTTTAATATCATATTCTTCAAGAATGGATGTTGTTCTTATCTGGAAGATGTTATGCAAAGGCTGGAGTGAAATAAAAAAAACTTCAATAAGCTTTTAATATAAATAATCAATAATCTTAGACCTGTTAATATCAATTGTATATTTTGACTAAAGAGGGCTGTTTACATCACAAGCAACAAGCTTTAACCTGGAAACTTTCAAACTAGCTCTGTCAATAACTATGTTTTGGGGAATGAATCAATAAAAAAAGACTTAACTTTGACCAAAGGGAAAAGAAAAAAGAAAAAATAATGTATCAGAAAAAGTAACAGAAAAGCAAGCAAGGAACACAAGAACTTGTAAGTTATTAGTAACTGATTTCTTACTCTATGGTCAGTTTCCATTTTTTCAGGTCCATTGGATGTTGTTTGATCAGATTCCTCCTGTAATGAAACCAGGACTATCAGTGAACCATTGCAATGGCAAAGAAAAGTCACATTCATTTACTGTGCAACAATTAAAGCCTTAATTCTGATTGGTTCCCAGTACACATATTTATAATATACCAGAGTTAATGCATAATCATACAGTTAAACCGTTTATGTCCAAAGAGAGATAACTTTTGTGGTCAAAAGACCACATGGCAATGGATTGTGGACAAAGACATGGAGCACAGAGGTTCCAAGCCACATAACCGGCTTTGTTGTAATCATGCATTGTAATCTTGAAATGAAGAATAATTTGCAATATTCCTACACTGCACTCCAAGCTGTCCAATTACAAACAGTAGTAGCTACTATGTCTAATAGGAGGTGAGACTTAAGACAAAAAGTATAGCTGTGTACTAGTTAGCAGGAGGGAATGCTGACACATGAATGTGCCCAAAGAAAACTATTCTTCCCTAGCTCATAAAGTTTCAAGGAGCTATTCAGAAATGTATACCATAACTTACTTGTACAAGTGATGGATCCACAAAACTGAATCCTCTAAAGAGCTGATGACATGTGGCACTTGGAGGAACAGCTGGGGAATCTGAGAACAAAAGATAGCATCAAGCAAGCAACAGGTTGGCATGAAATCCTCTGTAACCTTTCACTATGGTTTCTCAGGAGTAACCAAACAGAATTTTCCTAACAATATCAATAAATTCACATGCAGACAGGCAACGAGAAAAACATTATGTACATGTAGGCAACATTGTTTGATTGAACACCAAATTATGTGGGATAAAATTCTCAAGAAAAGGATAGAAGACAGTGCAGGGAGTCAATTTTAAGAAATTGGGTGTAAAAGGGTCAACTACATTTTGTTCATAGAAGTTGTGCCAAAAGGGAATGCCATGTTTCAAATTATTGATGCTAGTTGAACCACAGCTGTTGAATGTACAATTTTGCACTTCACAAAATATTAAGTTACAGTTAGGTGTAAGTGACCATTTGTTAAATGCTGATGAAAGAATTTTTATACTGAAGTAACTCTTGTTCATATCTAGCGACTAACATCCTGACTCTTTCAGAACTACTGATAATTTCCCTTAATTCTGATGCAAGATTTCTTGCATATTGATCTTCCTAATCATCTGATGTATAATATTAAATAACTATTTCAGAGTACATGTTGGATCTGAGATGATGGATAGCCAAAGGCTAAGTTGGCTATAATCATCTTGTATTCAACAAGTGCAAATGGAACAATTGTTTTATTGAAAATGCCCCAAAATATTGAAAATCTTCCCAACTTTATTTTGTAAGATCAAACATAATATTATAATGTACCAAAACACCATGTAGAGTATGGAATAATGGCTCATAACTCATATATGATGGCTAAGCCAATAAAAACTCATGAATTGCATAATTCAATGATCCACTGGTAAATAAATGGTAATATTTCTTGTAGAAAATATTTATAGTGAATGTTGATTTTCAGTCTATATTGATTTTCTGTTGTTTTGTTTTCCTTTAGGATGTTACATATAGCTCAGTACAGATACTATCAAATGTGAGGCAAACTAAAGTTTATGTCATATCTATCTTAAGTTTATTCCATCATGTGCTCTCTTATTCTGTTGTTCAATTGTGCAGTAATTCAAAATTGAGCAGGTAAAGGTTTAATTTGATCATGGACTCTCAGCCTTCCATGACTGCAGTGGTCTGGATGTCAGATTAAAATGGTAACGTTTTTGTCTTTAACAATACCTTGTGGTGTCTTGGAGGTAAACTCAGGATCAAAATAGAATGCATCATCTGCTCTCCCAGCTGCAGGCTTGAATGGGGGCCTCAGCTCTTTTTTGTACAATTTCTGAAAATATCAAATCCACCTTTAGGAATCTTTAGGAATCAACACAACAAGAAGGCATAAGGCTGCACTTCAATAGACCCTGAGTACAACAGGAAACCTACTTTTACTTGAGGTTGGGTGACCTGTGCAACTCTGTGCTTGTAAAAGCTCTTGACCCTTTATATTAACTCCCAAAAGTGATTAACACATAACTTCTCCCAGTAATATCAACACATCATCTGGCAAACAGGTTACAAGAATACTCAAACTCATCGAGTAGAAGTTGTCATCTGATCTCACACCAAATTCTAGTGTCCAATTAATAAGGAAATGTGTAGGAACTGGAGGGGAGAATTAACAATCAGATCTTAGGAGTTGAAAGGATAAGAGTTGAGCAACTCAGGTTCTAGGGCAGGAGACATGAATCAATCCTTATGTGAGCCAAGCTTTGAGGAATGAATTCAGCACCAAATCAGGACACAACGAAAAGAAATAAGAGCTTTTAAAAACAAACCTCCCATTCTATGGATGAAAAGAAGGAATGTGCCTTGATATCTTCAATGCCATTCTCACCAACACCTGGAATGATGAACAAATGAAGTGAAAAAATAACCCTCACACTAATTAAAGTACTTTTCTTGATCTCTAACTAATGTATAGACAACAGCAAACTCTGCACACTACATCTACATATACCAGGATATGCTATATTCCAGGAAGGAGGTTCATAAAAATAGTAAAAAAAGGAGAAGAAAGCTGAGCCTAAAGTCTTGTGTATGATGACAGAGAGTCACAGAGGGCTGTACTTAAAACCAAGGGCACAGTTTTTTCCAAATGGACTGGTCTTGACTAGTAAATAAATTGTTTATTCTTTTCTGCTGGTTTGAATTTTTCAATTATGATGCAAATAGCACAGAAAAAATTTCAGACCATGGTCTGTATTATAAAAAGCTGGACCAGTAACAACTGAAAAACTCTTCAGTTATGCCCCATAAAATAAAAAAGATAAAAACCAAAGGAATATTTAAAAACCACAGTTGTAATAATTTCTAACTTGTGTCTAATCTCTCCAACTCACCTAATCTGTTTGCTGGATTCCTTTTGAACAGCATTCTCAAAAGACTTTGAGCATCCGGGGATAAGAACTGAGGCATACCAAGTTTGGCCCTGTTAATTGTAATGTTAAAAATATATAGTTATATAAAATGCAACTTATGAGAAAAACAACAATTTGAAATGCTAACCTATTTTTGCAAACTGTGATCAAAAGTAAAATTTTGGTTCTATCAATTAAGTTGATAATGTAAATTGGTCTCTGTAAAGAGTTTTTAAGGCAGTTTAAGTATTAGTCCTTCATCAGAGCGAGTGACCAAAAGTGTTTTTCCTAATTTACTTACTTTAAAATCATATTCATTGTATCTTTTCTGTCTTTCCCTTGAAATGGGAGAGCACCTGTCAACATCTCGTACTGAAAATGAAAAGAAAAGGAAATATCACATTTGAGAAACATTTGAGCTGCAAATTGTTAATTATCTGGAGATATTGTTCCAAAAATCCCTTGTCAAGAATTGTGACTAAAAATTTGGAGAGAAGGTGGAGAGTTGCCTAATCATAAATGATCCTTTTACACCATTACATCAGTATACATCTTCTCCGCACTGTTCTCTACACATTTCATAAGGTACTGGCAATGAGAATTTGTTTAACAATCAAGAGCTTCTTTTGTTGTTGATCATTTCCTTTATTCCCATGACCTTAATGTGTGACTCAGGGATGATACTGTAAAGAGAAATTAGAAGCTATTTACTCTTAAGGGTTGAAGGGTTAAAGTTTAGCTGTCAGAGGAGTACATTCATGTGATAAACCCTAAGAGGAAAGCTTAGGACAATTTTACTGACCATCAGGACACCGTAAGACCACCAGTCTGCAGCCTGTGTATGACCTCTTCTGTTTACCACCTGGAAGATGAATTGAACAACAATTATACATTGTAACTGGTACACATACAGTGTAAATGGAGTTTTTAATCAGCATATGCTGACTTGGACCTTAGTTTCACAGAGTGAATGAGTCTCCATGATAATGTTCTGTGAAGGATAAAGTGCTACAGAAATGAACTATCTGAATACACACACTACATTCAGGTGAAGATTTAAATTCATAAGTAAAAAGAGAATTACCTCTGGAGCCATGTACTCAACTGTTCCACAGAATGAGTATGTTTTCTGATCATATTCAGATTCTTTTGAAAGACCAAAGTCTAAAATAAAAACAAAGCCACTTAGTTAACAAATATACAATACTAATTCCTCAAGGAACAACAGATACTTTAAATCTACCAACCTGTTAGTGTGACATGGCCACTAGCATCTAGCAGAATACTGAAAACAATACAGGATAAATATACATTTACTACATTTATCAACAAGGTCATTAATATAAAATGATCAAGGTGTTACCAGAAAGCTGCAATGAGGCAATTGACCCCACCCAAGTATAACTGGAGGGTCGCATGACCAAAAAAACTCTAAGTGACATTTGATAGACTGCTGAATTCTCCTCTCAAACTGACTTGTATTTGCTCAAAGAAGATCCTATTATTTCATAAAGTCATTGAGGGCTATATTCCTTGAACCCTTTAATTTTCTTCTTGATAAGCAAACACACTGGTATGACAGGGTATACCCCCCTCACCGATGCCTTCAACATTTTTGTCCCATCTCCTCGACAATTTCCATAAAAGTAATGATAAAAAGTTCTGCCAAAGATAACTAAACAAGCCTACAGCATCCAAATTGTTTTCTTTAATTTTTTTTTCTGACAAAAATTCTCCTTGATACATAAAAAAAGACAATCAGACTTGCCCAAGTTACTCCAACAAATGAACTTTTACTATAACTAAGCAAAAGAACAAGCATGCAACAGTCCTCAAGTGAACATGCACATTGATAGTGAATTTCCCTGGAACAGACCAAAATGTCTCCACTCACAAATTTATCCAATATAACTCTGTTACCAGAGTGTCAAATATATCCACTATCAGTAGTTCTCCCCAGCAGTTAATCATCTATACCCCACAATCAAAAGAGAACACAAAATCGCTTTGAGAAAGGAGGGGTACACTAGAACCCTAACAGATGCTGGCAGAATTGAGCAAACTATCAAACTGCCTGTTTCATCCTTCAAGAACATACAGAGAATAATCTTTAGGAAATGCTCAGATTTACAAAAAAAGGATACTTACTTCTCAGGTTTTAGATCTCTATAAATAATTCCAATCTTGTGAAGATGGTCCAAAGCTAAAGCTAACTCTGCCAAGTAGAATTTCACATCCTCTTCTGTAAACATAATCTGTTTCATAAAGATACAAAAGGAATAAAAATTTGACATAATAAATGTATGTTGTAAAAAATATCTAAGAACACATGAAGAAGTGGTTAATGCACACAATGGCTGGCTACCAGATAACTTTGCCACCTCAGAGTTTTGACAACTAACTCCATCATCAGCTCAAGCTTCAGCCACAGGATGTCAGTGATAGAGTGAAAAACTTGATACTTCATGATGATTACTTATCACAAATATTGAAGTACCGGTAAACTTAATTTCAAAATTATTTGTGCTCCAATATAAGAAATTCTTACAGTTTTCGTACCTCTTTTGATAACCTTGTAAATAAATCCCCTCCTCTTAGAAAATCAAGAATCAAATAAACTTTTCCTTCTGTTTGGAAAGCTGGGAATGCAAATAAGGAAACTTAGCCTTGAGAACACTCACTGTTGAACTCACTGTTCAAAAACTATTATTTAGCATGATTATTTTCAACATTATTTGTTTATCTATTAATGAATTCAGTCATTCATATTATGTGCGTTTTAAATGTATAAAAAACACTGCAAAATGCGATAAACTGCTTGCAAATCTTCATTTAAAATCTAGCCTAGACACTTCAAGCTGTTCGCTTTTCTTCACACTTCTAATTCGAAACATAAATATATATTTCCTTGGATTTTAAAGTTTCCAAAAAATCTGTCTGGGAGCCGTATTTCAAAGCCTGTGGAACCCCGAATCAAAGCTTAACATCACGGCAGTAAAGGATTGAGCCACAGAGGCTACTGGATGATCCGCGAGTGCATATTGGTTTAAAAAGTCGTTTTAGCAAATTTGAATAAAAATAATTAATCAAAGTAAATTAGACCTACCATAGTGAAGTTTAACAATGAACGGATGCTGAACATCTACCAGGATGTCTCTTTCTTTCTTCGTTCTCAGACGATCACGAACTAGAGCCGTAGGTAAAAAGACAAGAAAAAGAGCAGCGGCCATTGTTACCTTAAACCCTTTCAGAGAAAGGTCAACAAAATGCACTGAGCGATACTATATGGAACAACAAATTTGATAGCAAAAGAAAGGGTTTTCGCAAACCAATCCAAAAGGTAAATTAACAAGACAAGCAATTAGTTCTTCCAATACCGATTGCTTTGAGTATGAGCACAAAGGATAAGCGGTGAAATTCAAATTAAGTTTCACAATTATCTTTAATATCGAAGATTGTACATTTCACCTCCTCACGCAAGGATCGAATTCTCACATCGAGCAGTGATAAAACCACGCTTCCGCAAAAACTGAAAATAAAATAAATTGAAAACAAAAATCCTAACCAGCGTAGCAAAAAAAATAGGGGAATATGCTCACCTTTAAGAGTTGCTTTCTTCAAAACTTTCATTGCATAAAGATTTCCCGCATCGGCGTCCGTCAACTTGCGCACTAAAAATACCTAAAACAATACATTTGATAGTTTGACGTCCCCATGAAGAACGTTCTACAAGAAGTTTGAACAATGATAAATGAGCTACAAACTAAAGAAGCATACACAAACATTGGAGTGGCGATAAATTAAGATTAATGCGTGAAATAGCCGGCACAACGTAAGCAAAGGTCAAAAACATGGTTCCACTATGACGCCAAGAAGTACCTTTTCCAATTAAAGATTTATTCACCTTGCTCGGACAAGGATTAGTAAGACTAAAAGCGAACAAGAAGGACATTAAAAACTTACCTTGCCAAAGGATCCCTGTCCGAGAACTTTCAGCAGTTCGAATTGCGAAGGGTCGGCTTTCTGGCATGCCTTCGAATTCACAAATTCTTCGGCAACATCGATAAGCGAAGATGTTTCCTCAAAAGGCTGTTGTAAATACAAAACAGTGGGCCTTGGTCTAGCATTTTTCGGACAAACAATAAGAGCTTAACATAATTTTACGCCAAAAGATTCGCTTACTCCATTTTTATTTTCATCAGTCATTTCTTCATCTGCAACCTAGGAGATTGTGAATATGTAAAGTTATCGAATGAGCTTCGACCCCAGAAATTGAAATTGAAACTCAGCACAAAGATCGCAAATTGTCATAAGATAAAATCACCTCCGTCTCTTCGTGTATTTTCATTTTCTGCCAAGGGTCGGCTAAATACGCCAAAGGCATGTTGAATTTCTCCACGTTCCCAACCCAATTCCTCTTCTTGACTACCGAAATGAGTCACTGTTCCAAAAACACGGTTTCCTTGAACAAGCTCGGCTATCAAAACGAGGCTAACTAAGCCACGCCAAACTATTTCATCCAAAACCGGAACCGGAAATACCACTAACGCAGCGAACTTTTGAGACAAAACATAATAATTTTTGCGCGTGTAATTTTACCGGTAGCAGTTGTTTATGGTTTAACCAGTAGACAAAACTGATGTACATAAGAAAGAATAGTGTCAACGGCGGGGTTTATAACGATCGACAAGAAATATTTAAATCGTTAATAAGTGGACTTAAGCATGATTATTTAACCAAGTAAATATCTCTGACATGAGATCTTTTACGCTAAACCGAAAGATTTACATAGATTTACGCTTTTTGTCCTAATGAAAGTAGTTTTCACTTTTAGGAGCAATACTTATAAATACTATGATCGAAACAAATAGCGTCCGCTTCAAATATACCATTACCTGCCTCTGATTAATAAATGGCATGGGCGAACGTTGAAGATAATTTTGACCACAGACATTTCAAGAACAGTAAATCTCTTGTAAAAATTATTTCAATGGGCGATTATCAGTTTTACATTTTAAATCGCTTCTTAACAACTTTTTTTTCTTTTCCACCAAATTGCCGTTTGAAAAATCAACCATCCGTTTTGTGTTCCAAATATACTCCGCTTAGCTCCGCCAAACATCTCACTTTATACCGGCAAGTCACGAAATCAAGTCAACCTTCCTTGCTGTACATAAAGGAAATCATGCCGCGACCTCAGTCAATTTTGTCTCGTTTCCATTAACGCTACTGTTTCGGTTTCTTCACGGAACATGGATTAGATTCAAGGCGAAATAGAAAATCTAACTACAACATAAAATTGCCCTGTTGTAAAACTTACAAGCTATGAAACGCCGTACTAATAAGTTGACTGAGAGGATGACAGTAAATCTTACCATGTTGACCATCTTAACGAGTTCAGAAGCGACTCATCCACGTTTCTCCCTTTTTACCACAAGTAAATATGACAAAATTCACGCTTTTGAAATACCGCTTTAAGCTTCTGTAATAAGAAGAGCAGTCCAATATCAGATCGTAACTCTCCAGCACGTAGATCGGGCGAATTTTTATGTTAGGCTATGAAGTAACAACAGTAAATTTGCATACAACTCCCCTCAACAGTTTCCGGAACTTTCCCTTGAGGCGATTACGTCATCGCTGATAAACCAGATGCTTTTAATAGAAGCTCAAAGCTGTGTTGTGGTTTCCGCGATTTAGAATTTATTAGTGAAAATACTCCAACCTTAGTAACATAATCACACGATTAACCGGTCATGAAAATTACTTGGAATAACTTACTGAACGAAAGGGTTAAAAATTCTCCCAAATCCATGTTCTATAAATAGCCTAGACAACTTGCACTTTTAAGGTACCAAGAAACTTCAGGCGTTACCTCTTAAGAGCGAAAGGAAATCGAAACGAATGTTTTATTTTTAAGGACAAATGTTTACAGATGTAGATAATACAGATGTGGAAACTAAAAAGACAAATGAAGGTATTTGTTCAATAAACTGAGAAATGCCCCAAATTTAATACAAGTGAAAGAAATCTTGAGTCAAACTCACGTGATTTCGAGGCTATTTAAATGTGACAGACATGGCTAGCTTTACCAAAGCTCATTGAACAGTCACGCGGACACATGGCCACGTCACGAGAAATAACAGTAATATAAAATTAAGACCCACACCCACCACTCGATTCTATTACTAATTTTCCGAGCTAAAACTTAACAAAAAAATAAGTGATCACTGGAATTAACTCGCAACGGGGGATCGCATTGCGTAAGAAGCAAGAATTTTTTTGGCAGAAATCGCAGACATCGGACAAGTTGTTGGCAAATAAGCAGGTGATCCGCGACCTAAAATAAAATTCACTGAACACCTAGCGGCATTGATAAACATTTCAGATGCAGCTGTTCATTTGTAAATAGCTGGGAAGGAAGCCATTAAACTTATTATAAACAGATGACAGTCGCCATCCTGCCAGAAGGAAGAAGTGTAAGTTTGTCAGCTCACAATAAGTTTATGCGGTCAGCTGGGTGGCATTTCTAGCATTTTTTCCAAGATTAACCTTTCAATATTGGCAGTCACAGCTCAAAAAAATCTAACTTTGGAGAGCGTGCTTTTCCGACACTTCCGTTGTGTTCAGACAGTTCTGTAATGGCATGGCGATAATTTAACCCCAGTGCAACAAAAACCTCAAGTAATAACTTGCTATTGATCAAGATTTTACTAAATTTAAAAGAATAAATCACACATACGATATAACAACTGTAGGTATGCTTTTCTGTGTTTTAACTTCTAAAGGTTGTTATTGGGGCTTGAACTCAAGGGGGAACTCAGCAAATCGAAAACCGCGCCAGTGTTAACTTTCTGTTTCCTTCCTCCCTTCCTGCGAGAGCATTTATCATGAGATAAAAGTCATATCTGTCATGTGGCCTTCACATTAAAAACTAGCAGCATTTGGCTTTATGCTTTTTCAATAGCTGGATAAATCGTCCACAATCCTTTTCAAGAACTGAATCAATATATTTCTATATATAACTATCATTCTCTGAGTGAAGTTCATTAGTCTGCGGTGAGCTAACCCGTCGAACTCACGCTAAGATTTAACTCAATAACTTCATACAATTCTTGTGATTTGTTATTCTGTCAGAAGCTCTCCTGACTTCATGGTGTCTTTTTTTTCCATTCCCGACAAATTCTACTTCGGACCAACTGGTCACCACCCCCCTCCACCCGCTAATTCGCTACACTCTCCCACCCTCCTTTCCGCCCTAGCTTGATCCAAGAACCGTTATATTTCTCCATTATTTACTTACACTGCTGGAGTAAGTGTGTTATCAAAAATTCGAGATGGGAGCAATTTCACTTCAATTTCACGAAACGCACAGATCCTCATGATCATTAGTCAGTCTCTCAAATTCCCAACGGGGTAACTAAGTCGGCTTAGAATAATCTCATGAGATCGTGAGACGCTGTGGGCAGAGAAGAAACCACTAAGGACGGCCGCGGAGAGCATTCTCTAGAAAGAAGACACATTCACAAAAGCTGTTCACCCACTGCTTTGGAGTGCGACCCCGTGAAAGTGACACTACAATAACAGGTGTGGCTGTGCGTCCTGTAAATATTGCATTTTATTGAATCATTACATAACAAAGAAAATGTTTACAAAGCGTGTCACGCCATGCTGACGGGAAACGTGACCTCGACGTGAAGTGGGGCGACAGTGACGCGTGGAGGTCGCAAAACTAATCTGCTACGTGCTGGTAGTAGTGTAAGATGTATCTTGGAAGAACAAAGAAGAACCCAGATAGTTGCAAAGAGGATGAGAGTAAATATTTTCCCAATTTTTAGTTTCATTGGCTTTAAGTTGATGCAAAATTGCAGCGAATGATCAGTGAAAGCGGACCGTCGAAAATTCCAGAACTGCCCCACTGACCCCTCCCTGATCATTATACAACGAAATTACTCAAGGGAGACGAAGCGCAGCAAGTGATTAAGTGTGGGTTTTGATTTTGAATCCCGTGTAAGAGCTTTTTCGTAAAATGCCCGATTATTTAAGGCTGGGCATGTTCAAACATAATTCAAATTTCAAAGTTTAACCCTCCACAGCTAGTCTAGATTCTCGCTCCTCTTAAAAAAAAACACACCTAACTCTCGAGAAAGTTTATTGATCATCAATTCAAATGATTACAATAAAGTAGAAATTGCACCTATACACTCCATCTTCATTTTGATGTAAAGAAGAAACGAGCACTTTTGAAGAGAAAAGTTCCATTAAATCAACAGACGCAGAGAGAGAAACTATTGATAACAGCTTGAAGGGAGGCAACAGAAAAAAAAGCAACGTGGTTTGGCAAGTTTTCAGCAAATATATTTTCTTGGAGAAGAATCTTTTCCGGCAATTATTGTCTTGTTATTGATTTCGGCAAAAAGCCCCCTCTTCAAAGCAAAGTCCATCGGAAATAGTGGAAAACCGGCCCCTGTGCAAGATTAGCGACCACATGATTATTTGGTGTGAGAGAGCGCCAATATCAAGTGGTTTATTCCGCAACGTAATATCAAAAAGTAAACATCCTGGTCGTCAGTGAATAACGCAACCTTCAGCAAGATGTGCCGATTCAGATACCATGGGAGAGCAGTATTGTGTATTACAAAAGAAAATAATGGGAACTTATTTTCTTGTTACCTAATTATCGATAAATTGACTAGCCGATAAGTGCGCCTCTTGGGCCCCGCCCCCTCAAAAAACGATCGGAGAGGGCTCTTTTTTAAAGGTCCTAATACAGATTCCTCACAAAGGTCCTTCGTGCGCTGAACCTAATTCTTGGTTGTCTTTTTAACCTAAAGTATTTGTTGTACAATTTGGGGAAACTACTGAAGTTTTCTTCTTTCTGTTTTTATTGTTTATGCAGAGGAAATCAATGCTGTCGGTAAGGTGTACTTATTAGCTATTCTAAAAGTAAAAAGAATAATCCTCTTTGTTATAAGTTATGTTCCATTTAGCCAAAGCAATTTCGTTTAACAACGTCAAATCCAAGTCAGTTGGTGGTTTTAACTAGAAGGAATTTTACCTCTACACTACGTGGTGTTGGCGTGACCCTTTCAAACGTTCAGGAAAAGTATTGCTTTTGGGGTTTAAGATTTTCATTCTTATGGAAATATCGGAAAGCGAAAACAGGACCTTGTTCTCGCTTTCCGTTGCAAATGATTTCTTAACGCCTTCACAGGAAGCACCCAGTATGAAGTCAAAGCATCACGTGCAAAAATATGCTCGGTAGGTTATGAAATGCGGACGGGTAAGTATTGGTTACGATGAATCGCACCTAATGTAAATTCCGGGTACAAATATAGCACAGGAGTTATTTCAAGGTATCCTTGTCAACACATTTATTTGTTTTTTCTTTTGTTTTGATTTGTTTAGCTTTTCGTTTTTTTGAGACACCTTACTTCAATTTTGGCTCAAGAATTTAATGTCTTAGAGAAAAAGTTGTGCTTGTCGCCGACACTTTTCAAGGGAAAATTGTGCTTACATGTTCACTCTTCACAGTTCCCTTGGCAACTGTCGTGATCAAGTCGATCAAGTGATATCGTTCTAGCCAAGTTTTACCTTAGAAAAATCTCCTCTAAAAAAATTTAAGTTTTCCAAGCGACCGGTCATATTTTTCTCTCAAAAATGCCACGGAAAACTTGAGGTCAAGATAAAAATTGTCATGGAAAGCTTCCTCGTGCAACTGCGAACTATTTTTTTTGGTGACGAAGCGTGCATAATTTTGATTTCCTATGCGTGCGTGATTCTCCTGCAACACGTTGAAAACAGCTGGACAGGCAGAAATCCATTTCGGTAAAAAAAAACTACTGTTTGAAGGGAATTGATCACAATTAGGAAGATTTTATTTATTTCCGGTCAAAGATTATTCGCGGTGAAGAAGGACACTTGGAAATATAGATATCGTGTTATCTTCTATAACATTACTGTACAAAATTTGTTATTGAGACCATTTCGTGAATTTTTCTAACCACTCTCGTTCTTCCCAAATTTGAAAACAGACGTCAGTAAGGTTTGGTTTGTTTTCTGTGTTGTCTGACGCTCAAAATTTAAGTGACGTCACGATAAGTCGCTCTTCCGTTGAAGAGTGACATTTATCACGTCAGCATACAAACAAAGATTCTCACGCATAAGTAATAGGTTTTTTTTGTCCGACCGTGTTGCTTTTCCTTTAAATTCCGATAATTTTATAGAGAAGTACGGAAGTAAATAAGCCAGTAGGAAATTAGCCACTCTACTTTCAAACTTTTACATTGAATTAACGGTGGTGTACTTGCTTAGAGCTCCGCATGTATAAATTTCACCGATTATCTTAACATTTCACAAATTTTTTCGGATGGTGTAGATTGATCTTTACCCATAAAAGATTAATGATGTCTATGAACGATTTTTGCTTTGTAATTCACGAACATCTAAATGTTTAGACGTTGTCACGGACCCGTGAGTTCACCTGATATTAAATCAAGTGTCGAGTCTTGGAACAAGTCCTTAAAGAACTTCAATCAGGGAATTACTGGTGTGTTACTGTATTATTTTTCGCATTTAATAGATCGTATCGACCCTTCCCTACGTAATCTGCAGTTTTAAATAAACTAACAAGTTCCTTCAAGACTAACATCATCTACCGATAGACGAAGATGTCAAAAGCTTATGCATAACCCTTTAACACCCAAGATCTCATAAATAATACTCCTTACTATCTGCCATACAATTCTTGTGATGTTAGCTGGGAGAATTTGATATTGGATCAACTTTTAATCCCCTAATTGATATATTTTTTTTATTCCCATCACTTGTCTGCTTGAGATTGTATTGATATTGTGAGGAGAAATTCTGTCTTGGTCACTTATGGGGGTTAAAGGGTTAACACTAAAAAGACAATATAAAATTGAGAACATGTTTTTCATATTTTTGGTGACATATTTCATTAAATCGGATTGACATGAACAGACTTCAACAAAGGAAGTTCACTGGGAAATTAACGCATGACGTCATTCAAGCGTCATTCAGTGCAGGTGAAACGGAAATTGTTGAAACTTCCCTCCTTACTTTATCTAATTTGGGACCAAAAAAACGTGCTCCTTCGGAATCAAAGATTTTTTTAAAAAATGGCAATGTCAGCTATTCCAGTGGAATACTATTTCAGCCCAAAGTGGGTCTGAAGGGCAATCAGATTTGGATCAACAGCTTGATCCTGGTGCAGAGTGTTATTCAGTGTTGGTTAACGCAAAATCAGGCGGATGAGTTTGTTTATCGATGTTGGTCGGTGCTAAATCAGAAATAGATAAATTTTTTCCAAACATAAAATCCTGCTTAAAAAGGCGTCGAGGCACTTTTGATTCAACGTTTTGATGTTGTCCCAGGACAATAAGAACACCAATATGTCTTATTTCCAACCAATTGTGCCATCGGTTAATAATCAACATGGGCTCATCTTAATCCCTGGCGTTGTTAAAAGCATATTTACCGGTATGATGCAGGCATATTGCTATTGTTACTATGAAAGTTTGTCGTTCCAACTTACTCAGGCTGACCATGTAAACATTTGGCATAAAAGCTGTTTCTGTTTCATCTGGGTGGGCAGTCTAAAAATACCCCCTTGGCATTTTATTACGCTTCTCAGCTTGGAAAACCACAATCATCACAGGTTCTTCCTACGTAATACTCCGACGTATGCGCGCGTGGGTTTGTTTACTTAAATAAAACGATACCATCCTGGCAACATTGGAAACAAATATTGTTATGCCACAACCCGAAAAAAAGTCCTTTCAGCAGCGTGAAGACTTCTGTCACTAATTCCATGATACTAACAATAGTATAATACATAAGACTTCATCACAGGATAACAGACGCAGAACTGAGCAAAGAAAGAGGGAGGAAGAGGGTCTAACATTTTTTATCATCGCGAATTACAGAGCACATCATAGCAAAAAGGGCATAAACCTGAGCTAAGAGAGAGGGTTGAGGGTGGAACGGGTTAGAATAATTTTGATAATCGTGGATTATACGTATAAGTTATTTTGATAAGTGCAAGTGTGTAGCCTATATTTCGATGTCAACATCCGGGACATCGGCCATGTGCTTTGTCGAAAAAGAACTATTCGCCGTATTCGTACTGGCATTTTTTGCCAACCGATATTTTTGAGTTATGTCACTCTAAACTCGAAACAGTCGGTAAGTTATTGCAATTTCGCTCGCTAAAGGTCTAATTTCTGTACGTAGAAAACCTGCCTTATTGCCTAACTGGATGTTTACTCAGCTTGATTACTGGAACACTCACTCGGTCGATGTTTCTAACAATTTCTCAGACAACTTTATATTTTCTCTCTCCTTTATTTTCATTTAACATTAGCACAGCTCTCATTCTCATTCATTTTAAAATTCTCCACATTCCTCGAGAGACGGATTTTTCTTACAGGCGATATAAGCTTTTATGTGCTCATCCAAGTATCTCAACGGTATCTCCCCTTGACGTAATACCTCGTAATGAAAATCCTTCAGATCGAAATCTTGACCCAGCTCCCTCTCGGCTAAACTCCTGAGGCGAGAGATTTCCAGTTGACCAGACACGTAGCTGGCTACCTGTCCCGGCAAACCTTCTGACCTTATGATATCTTTCTTTGCCTGGTCCGTGTTGTCCTCCCAGACATACTGTTTGTACATACGGAGGGCATCGAATGCTGACTTCTGATAATAGTTTAGGTCAATGTCTACAACAGCGCGCAGAGCGGCTAAGAGCTGTGCAATAAAACAACAAAGTATTTTATTAATAACAAATAAAAATTGTAGCGACCTAACGAGACTTTGCCAATCATTTGGTGCAGAGAGGTGTAGAATCACTAACATTTTAATTGGAAGCTATCGTAAACGACAAATAAAATAATGATCCAAGTGTTATTCCGTTAGCTAACCTGCTCCGGGCTTTCAATTAGTAAAACGAAGTGTAACAATAAACGGTGCGATAGTAGGATCCAGTAGCGAAGGAGTGAAAAAAAGATAGAGGTCTGGGTCGGGTCGCCCGAACCCCCCTCTTCTTCACTCTGTCGCTGTTTTCTATTTTGCTCCGTTTTACTAGCTGCACGCTTGGAACAGGCTATACGTTGGCTTGTGTGGTCGATCTTATGCATATGTCTGTGTCCGAATGACAATCAACCTTTGCAGGTGAAACTCATACCCCATTGGTCTCTCCTTCTCACAATTTACTTCAGCCTTAATGCGAACCTAGAAAAAAAGCTAACAGGTACCTCGCCTTTCTCGTCCCTCGTGTACTTACAAGAAATATCAACGATTGATCTGAGCGTTTACACATATTATTTGGCTTTACAAAATGACATCGATTTTTGCAGCACCTCGCTTTACAGCCTCTTGTTTCGTTTGCACATAATTACCTGGTAGTAGATCATGCCGTATTTCTGTAGCAACACCTCCTTGTTGGAAGTGTCTGAATAAAGGTTCGTGTCTTGAGGCAGCAGTTGGTACTCAGTGTAAGTCGTCCAGCCTTCGGTAAACCCTGGAAAATAATTGTAGGCTCCCAACCAGTGAATAGGATCTTTGCAACTGTCCTGAAAATATTCCGTGTAACTCTGAACCTGCAAAGGTAAATAGTGTAACATTAGCGCGGGCTCATATTCCCGAACAGCGGCTAACAACCTAGCCCAATATGCGCTTAACTTTCTTTTACTAACCAATTGGTCTGATGACCGTAGTTTACTTCGCATCATTACAAGTAAGAGTAAGCCACCTTAATTAGTGCAACTATCGAAGTTCCTTTGTTGTGTAAACCCGTGAAGCGTCTTCTAGCTATAGCCACGGTGTAAAGGCCTCAGAAAGCGGAAACAGCTGAACATGGGTTTTCAATTCGAGAATCACATTTCTCTCCTCTGTCTTCTAATTTCACCAGCACTGGTGTTTCGATGCTTCTTGAGATTTGCCTAACTATTCACCAAACAAAGTTAAACATAACACCGTCAAGATTCAACGAAAGTCACTAACCTCCAAATGATGCCCGGGCATTTGCTCATGAGCTGTGGTGGTATATTCCGTCCATTTTGGGCCAAATCGGTCCATGAAAAACGGTAGCGCCTGGCTTCCTTTATATGAGCAGTCTTTTGCTCCTATACCGTAAGAATGATAACTAGCATAAGGCTGGAACGATGCATAAAGGTCTACCCCACAAACAGGAATGGTTTTCTTAGGCCCACTGCTGTGAAAGTTGGCTGCGAGGACTGGTGTGATGTGGTTCGTCATGGTCTGCAATATAAAGGCAGTTACAGGTCTAGAGCATATCCTAGAATCTATTCCAGGCCCTGGTTGTTCGAAGGTCAGATAACGCTATCCACAGCCATGATAAATCTCTATCCGGCGGATGACGCTACACGTTTTGCCATCACTTATCCGCTGGATAGCGATTTATCCGTTGGATATATAGCATTAACCGTCCTTTCTACCACTGGGCCCAGGTCGTTTATGGTTACTTAAGCTAAGTGGCCACGACTTTTTGATGAGCCATGTTGCCCATTCACGCTTTGTTGTGGTGATCACATTTCGAGTAGCCTGCTCGCACGAACCCTACACGAGCGTGGGACAGTAGCATTCCTTGTTTAACAGATTTCTTTCCGAAATATGAATAATGATCAGGTAATTCTTAGGATTCAAGTTTGAAATTTTAGCTTTTTACCCTTGACACAGTTGGAAAAAGGCGCAAGTCAAAAAATCTCATAGCGAAAAAACTGGCCTCGTGAACCAAAAGTGGATAAATTTGTTCCAACGGATGTACTGGTCTATACCAAGTTAGATAGATAGGATATTTTCTGGCCAGGGAGGAATTTATTGGTTTTTCATTACGTACGTCTTTGGTGTTCTCCATCCATTTTTGCATAGCTTCCCAGCGCTTGGGGCAGAATTCCTCCGCACTTTCTGAGTCACTACACTTTATAAAAGCATCTTCGTCGCTCTCGCTGGTAGGAAAAGTCCTACTGTTAAACCACATGTTAGAATTTCCGAGAATTTCTTTGAACTTATCGACAGCGACGTGCTCTTGTTGTTCTTCAGTATACAGCTTGGCCACATCAACAGCCTGTGGAAATTAAAAAAGTGTTTTTTTTATTATTGTATGCAACATGTCATGATGCTTTCTACTGATTGATGGTAACCTTCTACATGATAAAATCATTCATCAATTCACTCGACATAGCAACTCGGGCGCGGCTCAGTGAGTCCATCAGTCGGTCTGTCAGTTAGTCAGGCAGTCAGATGGTTTCTCAGTCGGTCAGTTGGTCAGTCCGTCAGTCAGTCAGCCAACCAGTCAGTCAGTCAGTCAGTCAGCTAACCAGTCAGTCAGTCAGTCAGTCAGTCAGCCAACCAGTCAGTCAGTCAGTCAGCCAACCAGTCAGTCAGTCAGTCAGTCAGCCAGCCAACCAGTCAGTCAGTCAACCAACCAGTCAGCCAGTCAGTCAGCCAACCAGTCAGTCAGTCAGTCAGTCAGCCAATCAGTCAGTCAGTCAGTCAGTCAGTCAGTCAGTCAGTCAGTCAGTCAGTCAGTCAGTCAGTCAGTCAGTCAGTCAGTCAGTCAGTCAATCAGTCAGTCAGTCAGCCAGTCAGTCAGTCAGTCAGTCAGCCAACCAGTCAGTCAGTCAGTCAGCCAACCAGTTAATCAGTCAGTCGGCCAACCAGTCGGTCAGTCAGCCGGCCAACCAGTCAGTCAGTCAGATATTCAGTCAGCAAATCAGTCAGCCATGCCTGCAGTTAGTCATGCAGCCAACCGCTCAATCAGTCAGTCAGTCAGTCCATCAGTCAGACAGTCAGGTAGTTTGTCAGTCACTCTCTCACTCAGTCAGACAGTCAGTCCATCCATCAGATGGTCAGACAGTTAGATAGTTTGTTAGTCAGTTAGTCAGTCCATTAGTCAGTCAGTCTGATAATCTGTCAGTAAGTCAGTCAGTGAGCCAAACAGTCGGTCAGTCAGACAATCAGTCCGTCCTACCTATAGTCAGTCGTTTAGTCGATCACTCAATTGCTCAGTCAGTGAATAAACTTTAAAAGAAGAAAACTCATTCAAAAGTGCTATTCTGAAAATAGCATTATCTATTCTTTTGATACTATCCTTTAAGAATCATTGATTTTCGTTCCTCTAACCTGTGTATACATCTCGTTTAACCTTCTGAAAGCTTTTTCCCTGAGGCTGCTTGGTGTAATCTCCCTTGATGTGAAGAACCTCATGATCTTTCTATATGTCTCTGGACCACTCAGTGTCTCCCCGGTGGGGAGTTTAGGAAGAGTCTTCTGGTTCCTATTGTGTTCGAGCGGAAGCTTTCCAAGGCCACTCAAGAGATGCTCCTGATTAGGGCAGTTGCACAAGTACTCATCTTCAAGATATCTATCGAGTAAAATTTTCAGCAAAGCAATATTATCAGCATTACCTTACCTAAAATATCTGTAACCACGTGCCTCTTGTAGAAGTCAGCTTCGCTGATGGGGCAAGCGTGTTTTAAAGTGCTTTTTAATTAACTTATTTTAAGGCCTTCCAGGCTACGAGCTCCCTACATTTTGATGAAGACCATTCGACAACCAACACCGAAGTTTGTCATTCAAGCCAAAGTCTCAACAGCGCAACAAAAATGGAATGCACATCACTCTGGTCTCTTGTAAAGATTCTTTCTGTTTTCCGAAGAAATGAAATGAAGTCACAAAAATATTCTGACTCTTCGGATATACCACTTCGAACATTTTTTTTTTTTTGAAAATGGCTTTCAAGCAAAGAAAAGATCTCCATAAGGGCTCAAATTAAAAAAAATCAATAAAAAATTCGGGCCTAGGCGGGATTCGAACCCGCGCCTGCCATGAATCATGAAAGGGTTTTTTCTTTGCCGTAAAGGAATCTGTATGGCTTTGTAGCTCAGTTGTAGAAGTTCCCCAACTAGTACCTGGGAAGTACGGGCTCAAATCCCGTCGGAGCCCGAATTTTTTTTCAGGCCTCTTTTCTGTCAGTTGCTTAAATTGCGGCTCATATTTTCGCTTGGTTTTCATTCGCAGGTGCAAAGAAATATATTTCATGAAAAAACCATGATATTGGATTTGTTATAAATTGTTTCCAATATGTAACAAGCGTAAAAACATGTCGTCAGGTACCTTAGCATTCTTACAACGGGCTTTGCGATGTTGTTTTCAAGAGACTGTTTGAAAAACTCCTTGACATTCTCTTGGTATTTCTCCTCCCAAGTATCGTTTACAGACTTGGAGAGGCTGGCGAAGAAGCCAGAATTTAAAAGAGTGTTGGCAAACGGTTGCTTGTATATTCCTTTCAGAGGAGAAAAATTTAAAGAAGATTGATCAGTATGAAGTGCAACAACCAGAATTCTTGACGGATGATAACTTTTAGAGGGATTCAGTTCTCTAACTAAGAATCGATTATGCAATCAAGAACTGTGTCAATGACTGTGGGTTTGTGGGAAAAGAAAATCTTAACGACTTGCTCGTTAGTCAGCTCAACAGTACCTGTAACGAGTCTATATGAAACGAGAGGTACATTACTTAGCTGGGGTGGCGGTGCAAAGAACACAAATTCAAAGTAGTAGTTCTTTATGAGCCATTGTTTATTCCAATTTGTTTAGAACATTGGTAATTTCGAAAAAGATCTAGCGCTGGCATTATAAGGAAATGGTTTGCTTTTCTTATAAAAGATAATCATGAAGTGACTTTTCACTAACCTGATTCACCATTTATCGCCATTTCTCTATATTTCTTGTATTTCACAGCGAATACGGCCGCTTTACAAGCTTTAAAAGGCCTCAGATACCCTGAACGCGCTCCAAGTTTCCAGTTCTCCACGTATCTTTCAAATACCTGATGGTACTGCTCGAAAAGGGTCTTCAGTCTCTCTAACTTGTCCATATTGTCCGGTTTAAAGTGAGAAAAAACACTGTTCAAATTTCCGAACACCTGACAAACAGGTTGCCAGCAAAATAAGTTCGGTCCCAAAAGCCAATCTCCAGAGTAATAATTCATGCCGTACGGATCCCATCCCTGGGCTAACAGAACATCACTAGCCACATGAATAGCTTTACGCTCTCTCAGTTTTAACTTCTTTGTGTCGATTTGCAAAGTGTTGAGTCTCCGACGTAGTTCCAAGGCCTTGTCGGTTCTGCGTTTAATGGCATCCGGACTTGGATCGAAGGGTTGGAAATGCTCTCTGATTAGTTCGGGTGTTGCCTCAGCCATCCTGGCAATATGCTCTGGGTGAAGCTGATAGAAAAAGGTTTGTTGTATCTCGGCTAACAATTCTGTGAGTTGGGAGCGCGTGGCCTCAGCTGATGACTGACATAAGGACGCGTCTGAAGAAGTTTCTGGAGAAAACAGAAGAATCACATCGGTAGTATATCCAAGAAATGGAATTATTCATGCTGATAAAACTATATAAGCAGCTTCAGCAAACAATAAAGATTATACGGGATGTTTAGATTTGAGAAAGAGGGAAGAATTCGTAACTCCATTTCCAGGGCTCTTCCCGACATAACACTGTCACTCCAGCTTTTACTGTGGATACTAAGTTAAAAATAATCAATGGAATCACTAGCCATCCTCATCGGCATACATGCACGCCAAGTGTTCATTTGCATCTTTGAGAATATTTAAAGTTTATTACATAAGAAGTGTCCAAAAAGACTGTCACCTTACCATCGCTGTCATGTACTTTTTGCGGAGGAAATCGAAGAGCGAATGATGCTATGAAAGAAAACAATCATGGTGAAAACACTTTTATTTTTAAATATTCAGATATGTTTTAGAAGTTTTGGTATAAAAGAGGATCATCTCAGAGGAACTAAGGCAAAATGCTCCCTGAGCATAGCGATTGCCACGTTACACCCTTCATTTCTATAGTCAGCCCTTATTCATTATCTTTAACATCAATGGTTCACCTGCTTTGCAACAAGTGGTAAATGCATCTGAGTGATAAGTCCGTATAACAAAACTATAACTTTGACCTGTGGTCGTTTAAAAAAATCCTTTCCATATACATTCAAAGGGTCTCTCCTTGAAGTGGTCATCCTTTTGGATAACACAAATATTTGATTCTGTCGTAATTCTCCTCTATTAAAAGGCCGAAAAGGAGAAAATTACTGGTCTGCTTATTTAGCGATCATTCCTTGTTCGTTACCTTTGATGTATCTCGAGTTATTGTAATTTTTGGCAAAAAATTTGTAAGTTGTCCTGTTAATTTTGTTGCGAGATGACTTTTTGCCTCTTTAAATTATGGTGAACCTCTGTTAATCAGGCAGCTGCAATTGAATGATCATCTGGCTGTTTACTGAGAGTGACTGCTTAATAAAGGTTGAATTGTACCTTTCAAAACAGCGAGGAGGAGAATCGCTGAGCCAAGGAAGCGAAAAAGCTGCATCGTCAGCCTCATCTGTAAATTGAAAGAAAATTACGAATTTGTTAGAAACGCATCAGCATTGTGGTAAGTGCTATTTATATGTCTTTTACACATTTGCAATAAAGCGCATTACAATTGATTTAGGATCAATACAAAACGTCGTTCTTTTGACAGTTACTGTCCATCATTTCCCCATGAACCCCATACGTCTCAACTTCAGTCACGTCTAGAATGATTTTAGAAACTGTCCGTTCTTAGTGTAACAATTCGCACTTAAGGAGATAGTTTATTCGGTACTTAAATGCTTAAAAAGGTGACGCAAAAAACTACTTAACCAAAATTAAAGTCAATGGCACCTTACCTTGTACTGACCTTTCAATACGAGCGGCTCCAAATGTCCCAAAATATTTCAACTGTAGAATATGCTTTGCCACCAGCCAGATACCATGGAGTCAACTTTATTCTTCTTTCGCCTATTGTGGATTATAAGATTAAGTGAAGTCACAAACCTCGCCCACTCGAGAAAGAATTTCCATAATTGCCATATTTGGTATCTTTTATTCATATGAACAACTGACACCTGCGCGTTACTCAGTGGGAAACCATTTATGTCGATCCTTCCAGGCTCCAAAAGTTCGTTACTTCAATTTCTCAAAATTCATCACGGCTTTGTCAATCAAATTCACAATGATTTTTATAACTTCATTTGAAAAGTGACGTCGATCAAAAGGAAAATGTTTATGTTTAGTAAGAATATATTCTCACGTTGAGCAGAAGATATTCTGACAACATGTCTACAGCCAGCAAATTTTCATTTCTTTTTCGACTTTATTGTTTGCAGCTTTCATAGAACTTTATGAGGGATGATTTCGCTAGGAAAAAGGCTTCTTGAGAGCATTTTCAGATGACAAAATGCATTCGTGCGTGTGAAATTAAAGACCTTGAACAGTTGGAGAATTCCAATGTCAATCTTTAAGACTCAGATTATTCGCAGGTTGTAATTTGGCGTGTTAATCTTTTTCTCACGCAAACTTTGAAATTTTTTTTTTCTCCCAGTATCATGTTTTGTTCTGTCTCAAAATTAACAAAAGAATTATCTCTCTGGAGAATTTAATTCAGCACAGAAAATAGTGCGAACCTTTTTTTGCCAGTGCCTCAAGGCAGGGGTATGTTGGTTTCTTGGCCTTCAGTAAGCTTGGGGGAATAACCGTATGTTTCCAAAAAGTAGAAGATTATCAAAGGTTTTCTGGAATTACTCAGTGACTCTGAACCTCCAAAGATAATGACGAATTAAATTAATTTAGTCAGAGGCCTTTAATAAATTGAAACTAGACCTAATGAGGCCCTTTAGCTGTTTATTCCTATTCAATCAGAACTGCGCTTTGAACACAATATCTTAGTCTTCTAAAACTCTTTACATTCATCGCGATCGGGGTTTTTCTTAAAAGCAATATAAGCCCGTATGTGTTCCTCTAAGTACCCTAAGGGATATTCTCCCTGGCGTAACACCTCGTAATGAAAATCTTTCAAGTTGAAATCTCGCCCCAGTCCTCTCTCGGCCATGCCCCTGACACGGGAGATTTCCATTTGACCAAACACATAGCTGGCTACAAATCCTGGTAGGGCTTGTGATCTCAAGATATCTTTTTGTGCTAGATCTGTATTGTCTTCCCAGGCGTACAGCTTGTACAGATACAGCGCATCAGAAGTTGTCTTGTCGTAATAGTTTAGATCGATGTCAACAATAATGCGAAGGGCGGCTAAAATCTGTTGACAAACGAAAGAAACGCCCCATAAACTTTTTTTTTTAACGGAATGTAAATAGAATATTTCCCGTGTTAAGATGTTCGAGTTAGTACGCCGGGCCAGGGAGATCTTGACGGAGTAAGAGAGTTCTTGAATAGAGCATGGGAACTTAACGAATGAGCAAAGATATCTCTCTCAAAGATATGTCTGAAACCATGGTAGGGAAATAAGCTGATCTCATGGCTCGGATTCACCTTCTCAATTCAAAGTTTTCAATATTTCTCAGGAAGACTGACTTCAGAGTCCTCCAAACTTAGAGGCACAACTTTGCTGAATCTTGCTTAGCTCCCTTCATTTATGAACTTCTCTTTCTGGGTTTTCATAATTACCTGGTAGTAGATCATGCCGTACTTCTGTAGCAACACCTCCTTGTTTGAAGTATCTGAATAAAGATTGGAGTCTTGAGGCAGCAGCTCGTACTCAATGTAAGTTGTCCACCCTTCGGTGAATCCTGGGAAGTAGTTGAAGGTTCCCAGCCAATGAATGGCATCTTCGCAGCTGTCTTCAAAATACTCGACATAGCTCTGAACCTATCGATTTTAGGCAGTTGAGATCAATGTTGATATCAGTCATCTCTTTCCTCTTCAAACAGATGTTTTGTTTTATCTCAATTTTGAAAAAAAAAACGCGAAAAAGCATGCAAATCAAATTTAGACATGAAATAAATGTAGTTTACTATGAAAACGGCGCCTAGATTTCACCATTACCAGCGTCTGAGTACACTCAGGTATGCGTCTAGTCAAAAAAATTTTACCTGGACAGAATTAATTTGGCATGTCGTGTATCTTATCTTTCTAAAAGAAAAAAGGTAGAGACTTTGTTGAAAGATTTACTCAAATCACCAACTGAACTTCACCAACCTCCAGTTGGTGTCCAGGAAGCTGTTCGTGAGCTGTTGTGGTATATTCCGTCCATTTTGGACCAAACTTGTCCATGAAAAATGGCAGATATTGTTTGCTCTTTGATGTGCAATCCTTGGATCCGACCCCGTAGGCATGATAGCTGACAAAAGGATGGAAATCTGCTGTGACCTCCAAGGAACAGGCAGGGACGGTTTTCTTACGACCACTACTATAAAAGAGTGTGTCAATGACTGGCTTTACTTTTGTTTTCATGACCTGCAATAGCAATGATTATTACAAGGTGAAAGTAAAGAACTGTTCTGTTAAAGTATTAGTGTATCCAGTCAAACAAAATGTCAATTTGATTTTATCGCGTCTTGTCTCTTTAAATGAAACAGGTGACTCAGACTTGGAGAGAGCCAACGTACCTTTCATTTTAATGGTTAATAAATAAGAATAAATAATTTTGACACCTGACGCATTAAGCGACTGTTGGAGGAAAGTCTTCAGTTCCTAAATAACGTGCAAATGATATTTTAGAGTTAAATTAAGTAGTGTGTGCACCAGAAATTGCACGGTTCAAATATCATCTTCCACAGGACCCTTGACAATAAATGTTAGAGAAAACACTCTATCTTTCAGTATCATCTTTACAAAATTTTCGCAGGCGTATAAAAATGAAAATTTCTTAGTTAATACATACGTCTTAAGCCGTCAAATGGTAAATAAACAGTTACTGTACGCACTCTGTAAGTATTTTTAATCCACGATTGCAAGGCTTTCCACCTCTCGGGGCAATGAACCTGCGCACTCGCTGTGTCATGGCACTTAACGAAGGCGTCCTCACCACTCTCGCTGCTAGGAAACGGCTGGCTATTGAACCACTGATCACGATTCTGCAGCACTTTTTTGAACTTGTTGATCGCGGTATTCTTATTCTGTTCCTTGGTGTACAACTTCGCAAGAATGACAACCTGCAGAAAGAACGAAAATGGCCGCAATCGGTCAGGTACGGAGTTATCAATTATTGAGTCAAGTAATTCTCATTGGCCGTTTAGTCAGTGCTGTCAATTTATAAAATCTGATATATTAATGTGTCTATGTAACATCGTTGATCAATCTGGTTTTCAATCCATCAGTCTGCCAGTATGAAATTTTAAACTGTCAATCTATCATTTTGTCAGCCACGGAGTCGTTTTGTTAGTATGTCGGTCTGATGGTTTGTCTGTCTGTGAATTCTCGAGTTTGTCTATCTGACATTCTGTCAGTCTTTGAGTTCGACGGTCTGTTGACCATTTACAAGTTTGTCGATCTGTCGGTCAGTCAAGTAGTCAGTCCTTCGGTCTGTTAGTCTGCCCTCCGATTATTTTGTCATTTTGCTTAGTGTATCAATCCATCACTTTGTCAACCCGTAAGACTGTCAGTCTTTCATTCTTTCAGTCTATGACTTTTACGGGCTATCGGTCTGTCATTCTTACAGTTTGTCACTATGTCAGGCTTTTAGTCATCTGTGTGTCAATCAGCCAGTCTGTCCGTCAGCTTGTCTGTCCAGATATGTCCCACTCCTCTCTCTCCCTCCGCCCCGTTTCCTTCATACCTTTCTATACAGCTCGGATAGCCTCCCTACAGCTTTAGTCCTGAGCTGCGCCGGAGAAACGTCCATTGTAGTAAAGAACCTCATGAGCCTCTGATACGTCCTGGCTCCGCTGAGTCTCTGCCCGTTGGGAAGTTTTTGAAGAGTCTCTTTCTTTATGAAGTAACGGAGTGGAAGTTTACCCAAGCCACTCAACACTTCCTCTTGATTGGGGCAGTTACACAAGTATTCATTCTCAAGGTAACTATCGCGTAAATTAGAAACACAGCGAAATGTGTCTATTTAACATCGTTGATCACAAGTGGATGAAACAAACCATATTTTAGCCCCGGGAGGGAATTTCGTGTGAGTGTTTTAAAGACAAAACTGAAAAGGTAACTTGGTACAGTAGCCAATCAGGACAAGGGAAATTATACCAAGGAGCTAATGGCGACGACTGAAAAACCGAACTGCACGAAGGACGAGAAAAACACGAGTAACCAAGTCGCGATTAATTTCAGCTTTGCAATAGATGGATTGAGACATGTGCTCTGAATGAGGAGAATAGAAAGAGTATAGAGCAGAGCGCAGCAGCATAACAGAACAAATTAAAGTTTTCAAGAAAGTTGTGTGCATGGCCTAGGGCCGGAAGATCCGTACATAGTAACCTTTACCTTATCATACGAGTAACAGGTATTCCGATGTTCTGCAGTATAGACTGCTTGAAGTATTCCTCTACAGTGTTCTGGTACTTTGCCGTCCAAGTATCCTTCATGGCCTTTGTGAGACTTTCGAAGAATTCTGGTTTCAGAAGAGTCTTTGCAAACTCCTGATCATAAATTCCTTGTGCGGGAGAAAAAGGAAACCATTAAGTGATATTTTTGCTGTTTACTCAACGCAACGGACTTCTTTTGCGAAATATACACCAATTCCCCAAAGAGAATTCCTGAGCAGTAATACAAACTAAAGCGTTTAGTTAGATCTACTGACTGAGGGCATATGAAAAAAGGAAGCATTTTTATTATCATCATTTTAGAAGGGTACTTTTTTACCTATAAATGTAAAATATAAAATGGACAGTGCCAGTCTGACTCAAAGGGTAGTCACGACTTATCTTCTAAACTAGAATTAGTAATCGGGCCCAGCATTATTTGTTTCAGTGGTTTCGGTGATACAAAGTAGTGAGCCGATACAAACCTTGCTCTGTTTCCATTCCTTTATATTTTTGGTTCTTGAGAACATGTACACCCACTTTACATGCTTTGTAGGTTCTTACATATCCTGTGCGGACTCCAAGTTTCCAATTCTCCACGTACCTATCAAATATTAGACTGTATTTTTCGATAAGTCCCTTCAATGTTTCTAAATCGGCCACATTTTTTGGTTTGAAATGAGGCAAAACGCCATTTAGGTTTGGAAACACGTTACAAACAGGCTCCCAGCAGAGCAGGTTTGGTCCTAAAAGCCATTCCCCAGCGTAGTAATCCTGGTTGTATGGATTCCAGCCGTAGTTATTCAACAAAATGGCACTGGCCATATGAACAGCCTTACGCTCTCTCAGCTTCAACAACTTTTTATTGATTTTCAAAGCCTTTAGCTCTCGATATAACTTCATGGCTTCATCAGTTCTTCCCTTGATAGCATTTGGGCTGGGATCGTAAGGCTGAAAATACTTTCGGATATTTTCGGGTGATTTCGGACTCATCTCGTGAATCGTCTCTGGGTGAAGCTGTTGGAAGTAGACACGTTTCACTTTATCCAGGATGGTGGCAAGACCACTTCGAGTGGACTCCGCTGATGCAAGACACAATGGCTCAACAGAGGAAGTGGCGGTAGTGTCTAAATTCAAACAGGAATATGTTGTTTTTGCGTTTTTCATCAAGCGTTGGTAAGCACAAGCAAGCACAAGACAAACACGACGCAAACGTGAGGCGAACGAGAGGCGATCGCGATATATCAGTCGTTTATTTGAAAGTCTCAAACGCCTTTAAAACATATACACACGCACCTACTGACTTCTGTTTTGTACGCCGTAGAGATATATACATCAGGGCCACAATTTAAGATTCGATATTCGGGTACTTGAATGAGGGTCTCAACCAATCAGGGAGAATTTAACAGACAACAGATCATCAAAAAAAAAACTTACAAAAAAATGATAAACTTATGCAGAGCCTTGTGACTGGATTTTGAAACAAAATAGTTTTTGATGTGGAACGATTAAGATGATTCCCTTATCAGAACTTCCTTAACACTGCAACGTGGAGAGCTAAGGATTTCCTCTAGTGCCCTCAGCTTTAAATGAAAATATTTAAAAACCAAAGTAAATGAAAAAACAACTTATGAATGACTATAAATCCTTTGCTACCTTCACCGATCAGTTTTGTTTCATGAACAATTTATATCAGTCGTTTATTTGATAACTGCAAAAGCACGGCCGAAAAGCAGTGAACGCATGGTGTGTGGGACGGCTCGACTGTCTTTCTAACAAATACCAAATTACCTGTTTCAACTGCGAACAGGAGGATTACTGAACAAAAAAGACAAAGAAGCCACATTTTTTGGAAAGACCTGAAAGAGAGGTGATTCAAGAAGTGAAAGACATGCATACGATCATACGCTATAACCCATACAAAAACTCATGAATCCATGGATGTTAAGAAAATTATTTGCTAGTTTCAGGTCTTAAAAATAGTCAGTTTGAATAATTAACTTTTTAATAACGTTAAAACGTACTTAAAACGACTAAGAGGATATCAAAGAATTTCGTACTGTCGCATAGAAATAAAAAATAGTTTGCAAATTCTCGCTTATGGCTACTTAGATTTCTCCTTATTCCTCGCTTTTTCAGTTTATTTCTATAATTCCTCGTAAAGGGGCCAAAATTAAAAAAAAAGGAAAAATTGAGAATAATTACTAAATACATAAAAACCCTTGTAGAAATCTTGTTAGATCTTTTACCAACCGAGATGATAATGTGTTGTGTTCTCTGTTACACGCCCACAAAGCTTGAAAGTTTAACAAACTCAGATGTTTGTAAGCCATATAAGAATATGCTCTGATAAAAGTGACAACTAATTCAGTTTCCCTTAAAAAAAGGTGCCTTAGGCATCTCGTCCAATCACATGTGTCAGTTTATCATGTACCTGTAAGCAGATTCCGAGGGAATCAATTCATTCAAGTGAGTGACATTCGAGGTTTGGTATACATTTGAAGTATGTAGCTTTGAAAGCCTATTTGCTGAAAAGGTCAACCGGTCAGACCGTAAAAAAAGTGAGGGACATCGTCAAATTTCTAAGATCTCACACAGCTAATATTCTAATCACGAATTTAAAAATCGATCAGCTTGGATATTTCTTACTCAAATCAGGTAACAGCGTCTACCCCGACTGGACCTCGTTTCCGGTATCTGAAAAAATAATCATGTAATGGTCTTTTGAAAATTATGATGCTTATCGCTATCCACCACACTATCACCATCGCTGCAGAATAGTGGGTAATACATTCCAACCCATAACTTCTAAGCCAGAAAACAACATATTTTCGCGAATTCCATTCATAATTTTCTAAGTCGTTGCGTGACCCTCGACAGGGCCTGAGTCCCAAACCTTAGCTGCGACAGCGGTTGCCATCACCAGCGATATGTGATTGGTCTATTCAAATCATGTGACACGAGAATTTGGCGGGGAATACGCACGCCATTTTGTTCCGATTGTCGGCTTGTGTTCGCCACGAGGGAAAATTTGTTTTCACTTCTTGCAATGGCTGGGTCGCCAAAGGAAAATGGTACGATTGTAGTGATATTTGAAGGTAATTTTCCGAAAATAAAGGTTTTGATATGATTTTTTTGTGTCTCTTTAAGAACCTTTCGACGATGCTGTTGAAGAGAGGATAATCAATGAGGAATACAAAATTTGGAAAAAGAATACACCGTTTTTGTACGATTTAGTAATGACTCATGCCTTGGAATGGCCTAGCCTTACAGTTCAATGGCTACCTGACGTTACTAAGTAAGTGGATGCTGGTAAACGTGCCATGTAAGCTTTTGGACAGAGTGCAATCGAAGAATATGTGTCAAATGAAACTTATTATTTATTTGTAACATCGTGTACATTTAGGTTGTACCATCAGTATTGTTGATATCAACTATGCCAGAACGGATCAAACTTTTTAGGTAAAGAAAAAAAAGAAAAATCTAGTATGCGACAAAAATTCTTTCAGCTCTATTAACTGGTGAATTCCCTATTTCCGTGAAACTAAACTTGTGAAGTTTTTTTTTTCAACATTTCAAGCACCAAAAGATTTATGCATTCGTTCGTGTAAACTTTGTCGACAGCTGCAGTCGATTCAGTATGCAATTTGGCAGTCTCATTCCAAACAAAACAGTTTTGGGTAGACTTTAAACTAAGAGGCAAATCATTTTATATTCTGAAGAGTCATGTCTGCTTTCATACCATAGCTTGTTTGCTAATTGCATGAGACTTAGACTTTTTTTTTAATTTCCGGTCTCATGTCCTGGTTTGTCTCTGTCATGTACAGCTTTTCAAAATGATAAGATACCCTGAGGCAAGTTCAGACATCATGCTTTTGCCATGCCGAACTTAATTGAAATTAGGTTCGATTATAGCATGGCAAAAGCGGGACTCTGAATCAGACGTTGGGTTAATGTCTTGCGAAATTCAGCATTTACTGAAGCACCCTCAGCCCATACTCTGTAAAGGAGAATTACTCTCGTGACTCTCCTGCAGATACGCAGTCCTGCCAAAATACATTGATATAGTTTGGGAATTTTGTTTCGCATTACAGGGGTACAATATCTGAGTCACTGTTGTGCTAGAGTCATTTGGCATGGCAGAACTTGTTTAACTTAATTGCTTTGCCAAACTTGATTAAAAACTTTTGATTCAGATGCCTTGCTTCTGCCATGCTTTTGTCACAGTTAAGGCTGAATTAAGTTCGGCGTGAGAGAAGCATAATGTCTGAACTGGGCCTTAATACTCTCATTGGCCAATAGTAATGAATGGTTAACGAACTGTCCTTGAAGCATTCAAACAGTTTGCCTAACTGTTCGAATGTATGAATAAATGGTTTGAAAGGTTTGGTCAGCCATTCAAACGGATGAGTAAAAATTTCAAACAGATGCGCAAACTGTTCAAACAGGTGAATAAATAATTTGAACGGTTTGATTAGCCATTCAAATGGTTTGCTTAGCCATTCGAACAGATGAGTAAAAATTTCAAATGGATGGGCAAGCTGTTGTAACTCTCAGAAGTGATTGACATGTTACCTCTCCCTGTAATATTCATACATTATCTATCAAACAGATAATAAGAGTGCTCAAACCAATCGCTTAGGAGTTGTCATCTGGATCTAACACCGTATTATCATAACTAATTTACAAGGAAATGTGTAGCAACTAGGGGGGAGAATTAACAATCAGATCATGGGAGTTAAATGATTTAACATGGAGTAAGTTTTGCATTGTTTAATTGCTTAACACCTTTTTAATGGTTCTCTTGATTGAAAATGTAAAACTGTCTTTTCAACTATTTTACTTGCAGGCCAGATGGAAAAGACTACTCAGTACATAGAATCATTCTTGGAACTCATACGTATGTCAAGCTTATTTTTTGTCCTACACATTTTTCCAGGCAAACAAACGAACAGTTTATATCAATACTAACTTGATAATCTATAGATCTCATACAGCCTAATTTACTTCCCATGACTTACTATAAGTCCAATTTTTAGGTCTGATGAACAGAATCACTTAGTCATAGCAAGTGTACAAGTCCCTAGTGATGATTCTCAGCTAGACACCAGCCATTATGACAGTGAAAAAGGAGGTGAAGTACCCTCTTTACTACATTCATTTATAAGTATCTTATCATACAGAAGTTTTAATAAATTAGAGATATTCTGAGTATAACCCTTTGAGGGTTTTGTGTGTATGTATTACTTTCCAGTATATTTCTGGAAAATTTATATTGTTCAATTACTGTAAGCAAATATATTTTCAACATTTAGGATAGTTATCCATTTCTTGTTTTGCTGTGTTGTTTTTGATTGAGATGCACCATCCATGCTAGCCTGTTTTCATTGAATTTTACCAATGAAAGCATAAAACAAGCAAGGAGAGTGATAAACAATTTTTTATCCATATACATGATCTCCATACAGTTCTTTATACATTTCCTAAGGTGCTGACAAGGAGAATTTGTTCAACAATCAGGAGCTTCTATTGTTGGTGATCATTTCCTTCTTTCTTGTAACCTTAAGCATTAAGGTCATGGAAATAAAAGATATGATCACAAACTCAATAAGCTCTTGATTGTTAGATAAATTATCCTTATAAGTACCATAGGAACAGTAAAGAGAACTTGCATACTGATGTAAGGGCATATAGGGTTGAGCAAAGGAGTTTTCAGGACCTAACCATTGTCTGAAAGTTTGGCTTTCTCTTTCCTGGTGCTTACCACATATCATTTGTCTATGCCATTTTGCTTAAGAGCAGAAACAAGAGCTTAGAAGTTTAAGGGCTTAGAGAGATGTTGAATTATATTTCCTGTCTGTGCTTAAGTTCCCTTCTTGTTTTGCTTCACAGAGTTTGGAGGATTTGGTTCTGTTACTGGTAAAATAGACATTGAAATCAAAATCAACCATGAAGGTGAAGTGAACAGGTAAATAATAAAATGCAGTCACATCTTTTTTGTTTTTTTGTTTAGGGATCCAAATTCAATTTTTTTAAAGTCACCCTTCAATTGTAAAATGCTCACCTTCCCCCCCTTCCCTCTCTGCACAAAAATATTTAAAGAAAATTACTGGTTCTAAATGAAACATGCATTTTACTGAGTTGTTTTCTAACTGCTTTCCATAATTTTTTCTTAGAGCACGGTATATGCCACAAAATCCTTGTATTATAGCAACAAAGACTCCAACAGCAGATGTGCTTGTGTTTGACTACACTAAGCATCCCTCTAAACCAGGTATGAATTCTATTCAAGTTAGGCAAACTTAAGCTGTTTGCTAGTTTTATCAAGAATAATGAGAATTCATGGGAAATTTAGTTAATAGGTTGTAATTGAAGGTTGGAGACCAGACTTTAAAATGAAAGAAACATGGCTGCCTTGCATAAATATGCTGTACTTCTGGTTCATTGATAAATGGATAATGATTTATTGCTGTCAGGCCTAAGACTAAGTGTGAATTTGAATTTTGTAGCAATAGTAAGACATGTAACCAATTTTTTTTTTTCGACACTGAGAAAGGTACCCACTTAGTATCAGGGGATAGGAATGATGCAAAAGTGAGATTAAGAGCCTTTTTTCCACTGTGACACTGGCTTCACTTGTATGTTGAGTGTGTTATTGGTTCTCATTCTTGTGACAGGATTTTTTGAGGGACATTTCTAGTTCTCTTCCCTTCATGAGGTTCAGCATTCCATGTTCCTACTTAAGCCTTACACCCCAACATCAGTATACATATTCTCCATACTGTATTCTTTACATTTCCTAAGGTGCTGATAATGAGAATCTGTTTCAAAATCAAGAGCTTTTTTAGCTGGTGATCATCTTTATTCCTGTGGCATTAATGTTTGATTTAAGGGTGATATTTTGAGAAGAAATTAGTTGCTAGTCAACCGAAGGGGTTAAATAGTTCAATTTGAGTTGCACATTTCCCTTACAGATCCAAATGGAGAGTGCCGTCCAGATATTAGACTCAAAGGTCATACAAAAGAGGGTTATGGCTTGTCTTGGAATCCCAACCTTAACGGCAATCTTTTGAGTGCATCAGATGATTATGTAAGTCTTTGAAAAAGAGTTGTAGTAAGCAAAGTCATGTGGTGTGAAAAAAGTTTTTTTTCATTAGAACTCTTTTTGTTGTTTTGTCTATTTATGTCAGTTTTTTTATCTGGTCAACAGACTGTTTGTCTCTGGGATATCAGCAATATAGCAAAGGTGATTAAAATCGAAATTACCGGTAATATACAGGTTTAATTTTTCTTTTTGTTTGTAATGTGGAGATACAGGTAGCTCACTGAATGACTGGCTGCTTCTCTTACAGCCAGACTTAGTTGTTTTGGGTTATGTCGGAAAATATTCTTAGCTTTTTCAGTTATAAAACAATGGCATTTATTTTCCAGAAATTCAAGGGGACCCCAACCTCCTACTCTTTAAAGGTTTAACTAAGATTTATGGTGTTTCATGAATTTTGAACAATGTCTGTTGGGTTAGCTATGGATAGTTTGGAATGCAGAACTCTCTTTAGATTTATTTCTAACCAGCTGGATCTCTGTCTACCCAGGAAGCAAAACAAATGGAAGCCCAGCGTATATTTACTGGCCACACAGCAGTTGTGGAGGTACAGTGCAATGACATTACTTAAAAGCAGTAATCTATATGACTAGCAACAACAGACCCTTGCTAATTTTTAGATCTAAGATGGAGCCCTGTCTGTTAAATTTTTGGTGGAGAAACTCCTTTCATCGCAAAGAACAAGCAATGTAACTTTAAATGTCATGAGGAATAAAAAGATAAAAGCCAACTTGACATTGATTGTCAATATGAGTATACATGTATACATTCATGTTTTGAGCATAACACTATATTTTATTTTAGATCAGTGTGCAGCTATCATTCCATCAATGGGAATGATGCAAAGCGCTGTTCCTAGATAAAATATTCTTCTATGTCCAGAGTTCTAAGTTTAATGTTTGTTTGTGCAGGATGTGTCTTGGCATCTTTTACATGAGAGTTTGTTTGGATCAGTGGCTGATGATCACAAACTTATGATGTGAGTACCGAAGAAAGAGAATTCAGAACAGACAAGATCACTTATTTGATGATACTTTTTCATCCACGTAATGTTAGGTCTGAAACCAGGAAAGAGGTTGCATGTTTAGTATAATATTGGCAGTCATCTGTTGTGATAAGATTTTTACTCATAACACAAAGAGAGCCATCTTTAAGTAAAAAAAAAAAGGATTTTTTTTGGTGAGAGGCTGTGAAGGAAATTGCAGAAATGAAACCTGAAAAGATTTATGCTTTGATGGGATTCAAATTTGTACCTCCATTGTACAGTTTACTTCCTTGATACCAGTAGGGTGCTACAACCAACAGAGCTTTAAAGCCACAAGTTAGGAGGGAGGCAAATTTTTAAGGGTTCTTTGTTCTTGTTAATGAATCTCATCGCAATAAAATTGAATGAAAAATATTGTGACTTTTGGATAAGATTCAAGAAATGATCTTGGCAGATGAGCTGCAGCTGAAGAAGATGCTGGAAAAAAGTGTGACAAAATTCAGGCACTGATGGGATTAAAACACATGCTTCCCTGATACAACCTTTCTTTACTTGAAAATTATCTGCAGGTCGTGATATTCTATTCTTCTTTTTTATTATGACTAGAGCCATTTTTGAGGTGAAACCCCATATGCTTGCAAAACTCATCTTATTTATGAATAATTCACATTTGTGACTTGCTATTAAATGCCATGTCTTTCTGCAGCTGGGATACTCGCTCAAATAACAGCTCCAAAGCAACACACACAGTGGATGCCCACACGGCCGAAGTGAGTGAAGTGATTGTTGTCCTTCTACACAAAGTCATTAAAAAAATTAAATTTCATTGTCTATTTTTCCCATTTACCCTCTTCTAAAAGTGATTTTGTATTGCTTTTTTTTTAATTTTTTTTTATCTCTTTTGTAGGTAAATTGTCTGTCATTTAATCCATACAGTGAGTTTATTCTAGCAACAGGATCAGCAGATAAGGTGAAAACATTGTATGTTTTAATTAAAGAAAAAAGAGGTTTATCGCAAATTAACTTAGGATTTGCGGCTGCTTTAAGTTGTCTCTGAAAGGGAAAGAAAAGTGATTTTCTTGGTGCACCCAGAACATCAAAACAGGTGATTCAAAATTGTACAAGTCAAGAGAGGTTGTGAGCCTAATTTTATTGTGAATGGTGCACAACTTACAATCCAGTTGATTTAATCTTCCAATGTGTATGTTTTGCTATCACTGATCTCCTGCCAAGATCTTGTGTAATTCTCTCAAAGCCTATGAGGAATTTTTAATCGTTTAAAGCAGTGAAGGCTAAATAATGTCTCCTCTACTTATTTAAATTATGTTGTTCTTTTTTATATATCAGACTGTGGCATTATGGGACTTAAGAAATCTCAAACTAAAACTACATTCCTTCGAGTCACACAAGGATGAAATATTCCAGGTCCAATGGTCACCGCATAATGAAACAATCTTAGCTTCAAGTGGCACGGACAGAAGATTGCATGTCTGGGATCTGAGGTACAATGATCACTGTTATACAGTGTGTGTCACTGTTTCACTGTTATAAGATAATCTTCAGTTGAAAGGGCTTTACTTGGAGGAATGTTACTGAAGCAGACTGTCAGGTTGCTTGAGATTGAAGATGTCTTGAAAAGGACTCTTTTTGGTGACAGTGAGTAACATTTTTACAACTGCAGTTGAAGTTTTCAATTGAGTCAAGTGCTCAGCTTTGATGGTGACAGTAGGAATGGTGTTGAAATTTTAGTAACTGTTTGGTTTGAAGTTCATTTTGATTTCCCTGTTGTTAACCCTTCAGACAATAACATCAGTATTCTTCATACTGTGCTCTATACATTTCTCAAGGTGCTGACAAGGAGAATTTGTTTGGCAATCAAGAGTTTCTCCAGTTGGCAATCATTTCCTTTATTCTCATGACCTGAATGTGTGATTCAGGGGTGTTATTGTGAGGGGAAATTAGATGCTGATCACTCTAAGAGGTCAAAGGGTTAATTAGATATACAAGTTACTGTTCAGTCGTCAATAGCAGTCCTTTTCAGAACTACATGAAAATTATACACCTTTTGTGGATTATTGTAACATGAGACTGACTACTCTTGGATTCAAACTATTGATTGTAACCTCAAAAGCTAAGGTTGGCTCGAACTTTGGCTAAAACAAAGACCTTTTTCAACCCTTTGGAGTTGAAATTTTTTTTGACTACAGTGATTAAAAGTTCTTAACATATTTCTCTCTCATAGCAAAATTGGTGAGGAACAGTCATCAGAAGATGCTGAAGATGGCCCCCCTGAGCTCCTGGTATGAAGTACTTTTCATTATTATTTGTTGTTGTTGTTTTTATAATCATTGTCGGTTCCACAGCTATACCAAAGTTCTGGCAAATGCATGACTAAACAGAACAATGAATTCTCATTGTTTTGGGAAGGTACACTTTGTTATGCTAGTGTTTCCAAGAGTTTATTTCAGTTTTCACCCTCACTGAGATGATTGTGCACACTTCCTCACTTATCTTCTTTTGAAATGTTTTAGTTCATTCATGGTGGTCACACAGCCAAAATTTCAGACTTCTCTTGGAATGCAAATGAACCTTGGGTTCTCTGCAGTGTCTCCGAGGACAACATTATGCAAGTGTGGCAGATGGTAGGTGAAACACAAAGCTGCTTACACATTTTCACATTAACCCTTTAACTCTCAAGATCTCATTAGTAATTCTCCTTATTGTCTGCCAAATGATTCTCATAATGTTAATTTTGAGAATTTGGTATCGGATCAATTAGTAAGCCCATAATTGATATTTGTCTTTATTCTCATCACTTGTCTGCATGATATTGTATAAGTATAGTAAGGAGAAATTCTGTCTTGGTCACTCATAGGAGTTAAAGGGTTAATATCAATAATTAAGTACATTTGGTGGAAATGGCATTCAACTGAGCAAATAAGGTACATTTAATAAACTGATAAAATGTGAGAAGGTTACCTGAGACCACCCCTGGTACCAGTTCTCCGAAGGGTGGATATTGCTATCCAGCAGGTAAATGGTTATCCAGCGTTTGAGTTTTAGCAAAATTTACTGTGCTATCCACAGGTCACAGATTTTTCTAGTGGAAAGCATTATTCACTCTTTGAACAACCAGACCTCAATGACTACACTAGGTTCTGCGTAAACTGTTGATGGTCCTCTTGATGGGTGGGTGTGGTCTTGGTGGCTGATTTTTTTTAACAAACTTATTTAGCATTCCATGTGTACAGTTGACTTTTGAACCCTGTCAAGTCATCTGAGTGGGCGGAATGCAAAATAGAAATGGCAAGATCTCATAATTACCTTAAAACTGACTGGTTACATATGTTGTTTTAAGACCATTTCTTGTCAGATATTGATATCACTGTACATGAGAACTCACTTTTACACACAAAAAGAAAGTTTTTCTAAGACAACTGTCAAACTTTGACAGTTGTCTTAGGTTGAATGTTTCACGTGAAGATAGTGACTTTCCTGTATTTACAGTTTTCACCCAGCCTGTTAAGTTTAATCCTGTGACCCATGAGAGTGAGAAGACAGATTGCATGAAAATTTGCTCAGTTTACGAAATACCAGTTTCTCATCGGCCATATACCTGAAATAAGTTGACATCTTTTTTTTTTTTTTTAATTGATCTCGATGTTTTTTTTCCTTTGTTTCAGGCTGAAAACATTTATAATGATGAGGATCCTGACACTCCAGCCTCTGAGCTTGAGTCAGGGGCATCATGAAAGTTCTTGAGAAAATAGCCTATCAGTTAAAATATCATCTGTGAAAATCCTTTTAGCCTTGTACTGTTAAACTATCCTTATCAGAAGCAAAGTTTCTCAAAGTAGTCTTGTAGAGGAGGCCTTTACTACCCTAATTAGCGAACCCAGTTCTTTCTTCATTTAGGAAACACTTAGGCGGTGAGATCTAGTAAGGTTGTTTACACTGTAAATTTCTCCTCCTTCAACAACCTCCACATCAACGGCGAGAATAATCTGAGTCATGTTAGTAAAATTACAATCACTTTTATGGAAAACGGCGTCTTATGGACTGAAGCTACATGGTTTTTTGACAGGGGAAGCTCAACGGCAAAGGAGTCGCTAATACCACACGCAGGCTGTTTACAGTTGGTGTTATAGCTATCGGAAAAATTCGGAGTTTAGATCAGAATCTTTCTCTGATGTTAGCGCGCTCTGCTGCTAGGTTGTTCCTAGTCAATTCATACTGTACAAACGACATTTCCTGATGTTAAGCGAAAGGCTGCACACCTTCCTTGTGGTAAAACTTGGATTTTTCTGTTAAAGAAACCCTAGATGAGCTGTCACTGTTCTTACCAATGAGTAAGAGTGTTAAACTGTTCTATTGAAGAAACTAAAGAGGTTTTGTTCGTTTATCTCTGAAACAGAAGCGTGGGTGTACTTTTCAAATGCTCGCAAGTTGACTTTTACTTTATAGGATGCATTTACAACTGCAATTAAAAGTTTACCATCACAAACTACATGTGACATCTTCAGTGATAAACAAACTAGCTTATTACTACTTATAATCGATACAAGTTCAACTGAAAATTGAGATAAGAAGTATTCTTACGTTTGTGAAACAAACGTTCATATAACCAGTTATCTGGGCTCAGTTGAACACGTTTAGAGCGCTTCTCCATTGAGTGTCATAAAAACAAAACCAAAGTACTGTATTTAAGTATTTACAAAGGGCGAACAGAGAGAACGAAGATATCCTGAAGAGTTCACGAGAACTCAAGGTAAAAACAAGCAATCCAAGTCATGATTGGTGTTAAGTAGAGAATGGCAGGAGCCTCCTGTATAATGACTGTTGTTGTTGTTGTTATTATTATTATTATTATTATTATTATTATTTATTATTGTTATTGTTATTACTATAGTAATTTTCTGGGCCAATCACAGAGCAAAGTAAAGCAGAAGCAAGGCAATCTCGGATTACTTTCGACACTCAGTTGAAAATTGCCCTAAAAACTGATGATGTTATGGCACCAATTAGCAGAGGGAAACGCAATCCGAACGTGTTCACCCCATTCACACACAGCTTGTCGTCATTGTCGTTCATAAAAGTTATCCTGCCCTCTACGCCTGTCATAATGGGCGATTTTGCCTTGAAATAGTTTGCAATCACTCTGTCGACGGTAATGTCACCAACTTGATGAGAAAGTTTCTTCTCGTCAATGGCAGTCAGACCCGCTCCACCTCGGACAATGTAGGACGAGAGGATCACTTTGTAAACAGTGGACAGGACTATTGGTTGATAGGAAGGGAATCTACAGGAAGCACAGCGGACCTGGATTTCTACGACTCGGCTACCTTCAGGCTTTTTCATGTCGTACTTTACTTTGAGTCCTAGAAAGCAGTGAGAAAAAGTTTATTGAACCCCTTTCTGGAGCATGCATCACCGTAGGCAACGTTATTTAGCAGTCAAAATTTATTGCCTTCATTTAACTACGTTCTACTCGCCCATCGACGAGTTCTTGCAAACCAAAACCTGATCAAACACAATGCCCAATCAGAATAGAAGAGCCAAATAATATCAAACAATTAGAAGCGCGGGAAAACGCGGGTGTCCAAGTTGCGGCTGCTTTAAGTTTTGCATCTGATTGGTTGAAAGGGCGGCACGAGTTTTCTGGACCAATCGGAGGGCGAAGCAAAGCATACTCGATGCGATTCCTGGCTTTCGATTGAAATTAACCCAAATGATGTTTAAACTTGAAAAAAAAAGCACACAATTACCTGAGACTTGGAGAAATGAATTGCTGGGGTCGTTTTTATCGTACAATGTAGCTACTTGTTCGAAGACCAGCGTAAGATCCTTGCCCGTGAGTTCCACAATATCGACAGTATTTCTATACGGGAAGCTGTTCACAACGTAACCGTAAGTGACAGCTTCTGGGTGGGAGAAATATAAGCGGGAAAAAAAATTAGTTGAAAGATCTCTATGCATGAAATTAACCGAACTCGTGTCAGTTTGTGAATACTGAAAGTATCTGGCTGTAAATAATATGATTTTATTTTTAATTTCCTTTCCTTACATTCCTCGTAGTTTTCTTCTCTCGAAATTATTCCCCTTCGAAATATTCAAGAAAAGTACCTTGTACAGTACCTTAGAGGTACTTAAGTACCTTAATACTTGTTAGACATATATTTTGAGAAAGGTAACTTTGATTAGATCCTAAACCGGTTCTGCGAAGAAAACGTTTCTTCAACTTAAAATCTGCTCCGTCGGGTAGATACTCTCTTATTTTGTGACGCAATTACGAGCATGGAATGACAACCACCTCTCCCCCTTTCTCTTAATAAACATACTCTTACTCAGCCTCGTTCCAAGGGTCCTCTCTCGAGAAAGTATTTTCTCGCCAAAAGAAGAGAGAGGACCCTGGGAACGAGGTCAGGTTGACTTTTACCTTGAGCACTGACGAACATTGATGCTGTAATGCTGCCACTATTCTGAAGTGCAATACTCGCTTCAGTCCACTGAGTTTCACTGGCAGTCAGGTTAGCGTAGTGGAAAACAAAGGCATCCGTAAAAAGGTTACCCAAATTGCATTCTTTCAACAGACAGTCTGGTTTTTCAGCGTTGAGGAAGACGAAACTCGTGCCCACTTGAAACTAAATTGTAAAAACGTTTTTTTCTTTTTTTTTTTGCGTTATCTCGTATTTATGTAAAATGAAGAGCTTACGTGGCCTGTTCAAAAAAGTCCTCATGAAGTGATTTTTTTAGTCCAAGCAGGCTGCAAGAAACGTGTCACACATGAACCTGGTAATGGCCTAACTCACTGAAAATTTCCCTGTAGCTCATTAATGGAGGACCGTAGGCGAGCGGAATCCAGAGGTTTAAGTATCGACTCCTAATAGGGTTTCAAAAAGTTTTTCTTTGTCTCGCGTTCGTGATAAGATGAGAAATCATCTCACCTCATTTTGAGTCGTTACGTTTTTCGGAGTTTAATTTTTTTAGTATTTTTTTATCCGTCTTTATTTCTTTTTCTTTTTTTTAAATCCAGACAGATTCCAGGTTTGCACAGCGAATTGAAATCCAAGCTTTAAACCTGGCAGCTCCCTCTGATACTGACTTATGAAGCTCATAAACAAGAATTGATACTCACGTCAACAAGTTCGGTCACTTTAGCCTTCATCTGTTGAACTTCTCGCTCTATTGTTGGATCCTTCCCTACCGAGTTGTTTAGTATTATGGGATTCCCATTCCAGGAGGTAAGTTTACCATCACCATCAAACTCGACGTTTAAACGTCCTAGATATTTACCGTACTTATAATCTTGAACAACCAGCACTTTACCATCAGGGTCACTGTCTGGCGTAATCACTAGAGGATACGGGCCGTAGGGCTTTTGCGTGGAGGGTGGGGTACCTAAAATGTTGCATAGTAGGAAGAAATCGAACAGATTCATGCGAGAAGTTCAGGAATCAGTCTTTATTTAACGCCTCAGAGGGGGAGGGGTGGAGGATTTTGAGGGAGAACATAGTTTTCAGGGCATCAGTCGTCGCCGACAGAGTATATAAAGCCGAGGGGACTATAGAAAATTGAGTGCCACTGAATTGACTGTCAGTGAGGGTATCAGAAGAATATTACAGAGCCTTACAAGAGGTATGAAAAATTTCATACCTCCTCCCCCCCTCATCTCCATCTGGAATGGAATTGAGCCATTGGATGTAGCGGAAATATATGAAGCTGGAAATTAGTTATACCACGATGCTTGCTGCCCTTTCGCGGCAGCGTCGAAATTCGATGTCTACCAAAATGGAAGATACAATTGAATAGAATTCCTAGAGCGATAACACTTATTTCTTGGCGAGATCTTAGTAATAAATATCACATAATTTACAGAACAAAGGAAATCTATAATTCTAAATGTTTGGTTCTAATACGACTATTACCTGTGTAAAGGAAGGTGTTAGTATGTCCACCCACCACTATGTCGACTCCATCCACTTCTTTAGCAATTTTCTTATCCATATCAATACCAGAGTGGCCCACAGCAATGATCTTATTGATGTTCTGCTTTTTTAGCTCCTGCACAGCACTCTTGAGTGATTCTACCTCGGGTAGAAATTTCACGTTTGGTCCTGGGCCAGGTTTGGAAACCCTTTCATAGACAGATGTAAAAAATGTATCTTAGGAAAAATGTCAATGAAGGTGTTTCCTTAGTTCGTGTGTTTTTTCTTAATATGATGGATAGTGTATAAAACATGAACAAATTTGAGAATGCATAAAACAACATTCTTCTTCCCTGAAGCAACTAGTCTTCTGCTTCTTATCGTTAGCGTAGCAACCTTAATTAGCCACTGCGTTACGCTACATGCCAACTAAGATATTCCAACGAATGACAGGAGAGTGTTGTGTTCTTTTTCCTAATTTCACGTGCAGTTAACTTCTCAGTCAATAATAAGTCAAAGCTGTGACATTACCATTCTGCAAGAAGACCACGTTCGCAACAAAAGGGCTCTAAATCTTTGCTCTGCTTAATTATATTATTTATTTACTCATTTGCGTTTTCATTTATTTGCCTGGTTTACTACTTCCTGGCTTTGGTCTTGCTCATTTCGTACATTAAACGATACCAGTCCTGTAGGTTGACTGAAAACCATCTCTTGGCTACAAATGTTGTGTATGAGATAGCCTGTGTGCAATCATTATTATCGTTGAAAGACGCGCGTTTTTCCGACCCCGGGAAGATTTTAGACGAGTCGGGCAGACGTTTGCTAAGGGTCTGGCACTAATAATGAATGCTAGTACCTTACCAGACCTCTCGCCGACTCGTGTTACTCTTAGCCTCGTACTTTCCCGCGGGCGAAGAAACACTCTTGCCGAAGCGACAATTATAAGGGCCTTCTCGCAGTCACTTGATGAATCATCATCTCTTGACTCTGAGCGTACTGAGCCCTTCAGGAATTCTCTACTTGTTTTAATATAAAGCACTTGCGCGCATAATTCCGCCAGCTATGCAAGTTATTAGAACATTTGCTCACTTTGGCGTTTTTTGCAGTACATATCCCACAATTCCAATTTTTTCGCCTCCAACGTCAAAGACCTTTGACCTAACAAAGAGTGGAGGCGACTTAGGCCAGCTCGGCTCCAAGGAGACATTCAAGTTTGAAACCACAACGGAGAAATTCACAGCTTTTAGGAAGGCAACGAGATTGTCAACACCGTCGTCAAATTCGTGATTTCCGAGGGCCTAACAGAAAGGGAAAAGGAGATTAGTTTACGAGCAGCCCTTTTTCTTCTCAGCTTAGTTCGACAAGCGAGCAGGAAATAAAAATTAAGAAATAGCGTCTTGTTCTTGTTCTGGGTTCGGGACAGGAGTGTTCAAGATCTTGTGCAATCACCAAGAGATTTTAAGTAATACTGGAAGTATCTATAGAATGCTTAGTTCTTTACATGGACTGGAGCAGGTCGACGGTGTATTTTCTTCCATGCTCTTACCAGGACTTCTTCGATTTCCGGTGGTCTGCTCTGTGCAAAAATTTAGAGATTTGGAACGAGAACGAGAACGAGACGCGAGGGAGACAGGGTGTGTTTTGGGAGTCTCTTGGAGTCTCTTATCCTAGCTCCTTTTCTCAATAGGAAACTTTGCATCGCCTGCCCATCGTCAAAAGACTGGCAGTCCGGATTACTAGCAACCGTTGGTAAAGAGTTTCTGAGGGACTGGGGTGGGCTTAAAACTCGAGTTCACTCAGTCCAGTTTTGTTTAAGAAACTCTGTGATTAGCGACCGCGTAATTCATAACCTACAAATTCTGCCTTTTTGGAAAGTATTTGTGAACAAACGTCCCCGCTAAAATTCTAGCACAGGTGCAAAGGGCACTCACGACAACTTGCGTGAATCGATGTCCTCGATCGATGACAGGCCTCGGCTCACTAATCATGTTATTTAAACCGGTATGAATTAAAGTGGAAAAAAAACTGTATACCATGGCGTCGTATCCAAGTTCATTCATGAATTTCCTTGAAGCATTTCCACGATAGGCTAGATACCACAGCGTTCCCGTAAACACGTCTCCGCCAGAGAGAAGCAGCACGTTTTTCTCCTCCGCTCGAATCTTTTTTATCATAGTGGCTCTCCTCGCCACTCCACCAAAACACTCTCCTGCTTTTGCCAATCTCGGGAAGCAAAGGCCACCGCTGGTGTCTGTTTCTTCGAATCGGCCATGATGGTCGTTCGTGTGCAATACAGTCAACGAATATCCATGAACCATGGAAAATCCAAATGACATCAGCAGTACAGCGGTGAATGCTTTGAATAGCAAGACAGCCATGCCGAACAGAGCCCGATTTAGAGCCAGTCGTACCTAAAAAATTAAGATATTATTTTGAGAAATTGGAGACGCGTATATACTTTTTAGGTAACGCCAGTGCGCGCTTAAAATGGCCCTGTATTTTTGTTACGGTACAAAGGCCTGACGATGATCTCTGAGGAGATAATAAGATTTTGTAATGCGCAGCTTTAAAATAGTAAATTTCCATTTGCGAAATATTGAATCAATAAATATCATTATTATTAAGATTCTGTGTCTAAAATGGAATAAAAAAAAATGAAGGTCTTTTGTTTTCTGTCACAATACCTTCTCGTTACCAAAATACACAACACTTTCCCGTTTCCTCATGGTTTTTTTCCCTCTATTCATCTTCATGCGGCGGGAAAGTACGGAGAGTAACTGGCCATTATTGTCTAGCTATCACCTAAAAAGATGTGTCTGCGATATTTATCGTGTTATTTATTTATGTTGTGCATTGTTACTTGTGTCGTACAGACGTTATGTAATGCTGTTTATATGTTTTTATATGAGAGATCAGGTCATGAGAGATCAGGTCATGTAAACAAACCTCAAAACCAAAATTAGTGCGTTCAGCTAAAAATTTCTCACGCTTCGTTGGCTTTTTTTCTTAATTCACTCACATTTCTAAAAGATGTCCGGTGTTAACAGTTTTAGGAGCTTCACAGTAACGCCTTTGACTTCCAGGGTTGTTCAGTATGTAAACTCTCCCTAGCGTTTTAATTCATCGTTAAGTGGATAGGTTTCAAGAACTGCACGAATAACAACATCCAGTCCAGTCCAGTCTAATTTTTGAAAAATAGCAGAATGTTGCACTTTTTCCAAGAACGGTATGAACGGACTTGACATGGAAAAGACTTCGAAGCGCCTGTTTTTTCCTATTTTTTTAAGTGAATCAAAATTGAAGGCTTAGAGAAGAGTTGGCTCATGTACGGTGGTAATTTACAATACTGAAGTACTGTTATTAAAAAGGTGATCTTGTTATTCCTTTTTTTTTTTTCGAAGCGAAAACAAACTTAAAAAACACAATAGTCACTGATAATCACCCGTTGCAGTTATACTAAACACTTTTCTCATCGAGCTTATCGATTATAATTGTCAATCAAATTCAGCGACAAGGTAACAAAATGACTTAATGGTTACACAACAAATAAACGCTTTCAAGCCCCAAAGTCCCGCCTCCACTATGCGCCAATTCTAAGGCTTATACCATATTTAGTTATTAGCAGGTGGTTTTATGCCATTGAAAATCATTTGACACCGCAGCTGGGGGAAACTTTGGAAGACTTGTTACACAATCTGTTTAATATAAGAAGTGGTTTAATTATGCCCGCATGAAAATATTATGCACGAAGTTTGAAGAGTCGAGGACTTCCAACAGTGCATTCGAAGTGGCATCTTGATAACGCATCTTGGAGAAGCAAAGTAAGACTTTTATTTTTATTCATTAAACTAAAAGAAATGCGATCCGATACAACCCATCATCGGTGCGATACTAGTCGATATGATGCTACACTAATTGTAAGTTACCGAGAACTCTCGCAATGAATAACAAAACGAAGAAGGAAAGATATGTTGGTTTAAGTTAGCAGTGTGTGATAAGCTTCTTAAAGATGATTTTCGTCGATGCTTAAATTCATTTTTCATAAATTGATCCTTGAATCAGTATAAGATACATGTTACCACGAAAATTTATTACAATCATAACATTAAAAACTTTAAATTAGTCAACAACGTACACTGAATGCGCTTAGCTTATTTGCTGTCTTCGTTACAGAAACGCTGCAAGTCCCCAGAAACATCGCACTGTCTCAAAGATAAAATCAAATATATATATATATTTTTTTTTTCTTAATCTAACTTTTTCAAGGTAGACTGATTCACATTCAGACTGAAACGAATTCTTGATGATCAAAGAAATGTGATATCAGTTATCCTATTTTTGATCTGTATGTTTTTAATTCTCAGTCTAATTTCGTTGATAGCCTTGAAATTAAATTTAAAGCCAAATTAAGCAAATGACTCGCCTTCACAAAGCGCATTTGTTTTTTTCTTTACAAATGTGGCCGTACCCATAAAGTTCTTCGTCATTTCAATTCATAAAATGAATTTTAGATTATTATTTTTGGGGCTTGCACTCCAGACTTAGTTCGATGGATTGCAATTCGAGCCCTGGCCATTCATATTTTTGTGCTCTTGAACTAGCAACAGAATCTTTCTGTCCTCTAACCACCCAGGAATACATGATTGAGTACCGGCGTGTTGCCAGGGAAACCTGACAAAACCGGGGGGGGGGCGAGAGGTCACCCTTTGACTGCCTACCATCCCATCTTGGGAGAGTAGCATTAGTGCTATCTCTTGAAGCTAAATGTACCGGACTAAGCCCTAATCTACTTGGATCCTTATTAGATTTGATTTAATCAATATTTTTCTGAAAATCTATCACAGAGCTCTTCTGCTGTCGTTTAAGCCAGCATGGATGCCCGATTTACACCGACCAGTCCCCGCTCGTCAGCCGTATCACCAAGATCGGGCTCCGCGATAAGCAACCTACATTCAGAAGTGCTGAGAACAAAGGTGCTCAAAAGTCGACTGTCGCAATGGAAGCTTAAGACTAGTGGCGACTCTCCGTCGCCGACTAAGAAGACACCGTAAGTAGTCATTAGGGGACATGAGAAACACTCCTCGGTGGGTGTTTCATTTCATTGGTTTTCACATGATGTGTCTTACGATTATTTTACATGATGAAAAACGTGATTTAAATGGTAACTGACGCCAAATTTTTCTCCTTTTTTGTAAATATTAATTACAAGAAGCGGAAGCCTCCGCCTTGAACCATGTGTAGCTACTAGGAGCCCCTGTAGCTACTCAGCTACTGGGAATCTGAAAAAACCGAAAAAATAACATTTCATTTTTTTCCAGTTTTCATTTCCATTATGCTTTTCAAAGTTTCCTCGAAATTCAAGGAATAAGAAGAAATAAGAAGAAGGCTACACTGGTGATTTTGCTTCTACCTATCCGACCCCAACCCCTATTGCGGAACACAATCCAGCGCGTTTAACTTGGCCGAGTGGTACTGAGGAGAGTATCATCGGTTGACGTGACAACAAAGCTTTGCTTTGTCGAAGATCAACTTTTGTTCAAAATCCAAAATACTTGAAAATTTGGATAAATATGGCCTCTAAGGCAATGAAGAAGAAAGAATCCAAAGAGAGAGTTGCCTCTGCTGCCAGAACCATTCCAGAGTAAGGAAATTTATTTCTGTTTTGACTCGATGCCCCGGCAAACTTTGCGTTGAAAATGACATAACCTACAAACTTGATCCATGCGGACATCTTGGACAATTCTCGACCTAGATTGTTAATATGTATTTAACATAGAAGTCTAAGTTATATAGAAGTATAACTATGGATAAGTTTTTCATTACATCAAGAGTTTAGGTAGCTTGGAGCATTTGTAGATAGTTGAAACAGGTTTGGTGTAAGTTAGTCAGAGACTGTAATATTTTCGGTCCATCTCATCAAGACACACACAACCTGATTATTTCAAAGAGTTTTCGGTCGAATGTTGTTATTTATTTTCAGCCTTTACTTTCACTGCAATTTGAAATAATATTTTACCAAAGGTATATCGCCTTTTCCCTTTGAAAACAAAGAAATCAAGTCAATTTGTGAGAGTCTCACCGGGATTTCACGCATAAATAATGAGCTCCTACACAGCTTTACTTTGAGCTTACAATCGTTGGTCCATGACAAAAAACAACGTTAGAAATGCGAGTATGTTCTTAACTGCATTTCATCTTGTTTCCTGAATGCAATATTGAGGCAGATAACGTTTTGTGACGTTCAGCACTAATTATAGGTTGTGCCTTGGAGGTATTAGGTTCCTTGTGGTAAAACTCTCCGGGATGGTTTCCATGAGAACAATAGTGAAATGAAATAAGACAAAAAGACCATCGTATTGCGCGCGATCGTAACACAATTTGGCACGTTAACAAATAAGTGCTGTCAACCAAAGGCAACGATATATTAAGCTTGCAAACAAGCTCGTCTGTTGTTGTGATAGCAATAAGTTGAATGTGAGGTCACTGGTTCCCCTTCTAAATTTCGCGAAAGATGAGTTCACGAGGATCTCAGTGGAAGGATTTGAGACTCGCCACGGTATCCTCCGCCAAATTTAGGCAAGTTGAAGAAATTTTCTCTTTTCTACCATTTTAATCCACCCAGGAACAGATGCAACACCTGCTTGAGTTAGCTGGATTCATCTCTTCGCGCAGTTTATCATAAATATTCACATGAGGTGTTGAATCTGTTACGGCTATCCAAGAATGGGATCTGGTCTTTGGAGTCGATCAACCGATTGTCTTTCTCAATACTTAATCTTTTACGATAGATAGAATGAGCTGCACGAATCAATTAAATTGTGAATTCGACTGGCGGTTTTTACTTCGTGAATACAAAGGACCACATTACCTTCAATCATTTTTAACTTACCGGGGATAGCGATGTTTAACTTTTAGAACTCTGCGAATCTCAGGGACAAAAGCAATAATTGTACGTTTCTTTTGATCCAGTTGTTTTTTTATACCTCTGTATGTATTTCAGAGCCTTTACAGCTTGTCTCTTTTAATATGTGTGTTCATTTTCGACATTAACTCGTTTATTGCCACATGGCTGTAATAATATTTGGTTTGACATAATTTCAATTTGCTGTCAAAATTGGCATATTTATTTTTGCTACCAGTAACAAAGGCTGGATATCTCATGCAAAAGCCCTTTTAGAATATCATTGTTTACTTTTGAAGCCTTGGCACAATACAAACAAACACACTTCATTTACATACATAGGTGATTAGAGTGAATTATTAAAAGCAGATCTGCATAATTTTTCCTAATGTCAAAATTTTCTAATCATTCATTCAGAATGACTTAGGGAAAAATGATTAACTTTTTAACATAAAGAGCCTTTAAAGCTGTACACATCTCTCTCTAATTTTCCATTGTTTAGTTTGTAAAAACCTTACACCATGTTGCAGTTTCTCTGGATGTAGTTACTGTTGATGTTTGAGAAGCCTTGCAAACATAATCCTGAGCATTAATTCAGTATTATTTCAAGTTATTTCAATTCCCACATGATTTTGCATTGTTTTCTAAGCCTATAATTTCCTTTTTCAAATTATTTCATAATTGAGTTAGACCAACAGAGAGTTATTGTACTTTTATACACAGAGAAATTAATAATCCTTTTCAGTGATGTTGTTAATTAATTTAAGGTGAAGTGAACTTCTTGTACATTGAAATTTGGGTTAGTTTATCAGCACAATCGCCATGTATGGCTTGAACATGTATACCTGCATGCATGCCTTGTTATGTACAATGTGTTAGGAGATTTTTTTTCATAATGTAACTGATGCTCAGTATTGATACCATAAAAATTTATGTATACATTATTGCCATAATTGAACAGAGAGATGGAATTTCTGTACAGAGCAATGGATTTTCTGTACTCTACAGTTCTTGTTAGATGCTCTAAGAATTAAGAACTTCTTATCTGGCCTCTGGTATAATTACTCAGATAATTATAAATTCATATGCTCTGATTGGTTGAGGATTGCATCATACCTTGCCATAATTACTTTGTGTGAAGTGACTATAACAGGGGCACTGAATTTCACAACGGCTGCCTCCTATTTAACTTGTCAATGTTTCAGAGGAAGTGATAAATGCAATAGCAGAAAATTCAATTTTGAAGAGCACAAAAAATACCATTAAGTTTGGGGTAACACAATTTTTTTGCTGCTGTATTTAGTTATAATAAATGAACTTACCTAATTCTAGAAACAGGCATGATACAAGTAATCAAAACAGTTATAGCAAAATATGTGCAAAGCTTTCTTTATTTACAGAATGGTTTCAGTCCCGAAATGAATTTAAACAGAATTTGAAAGCACCTGAGCAATTATACTGTACATTTAATTATTTGCCAAAGGCAAAGATAATGGTGTGGAATAATCTCTTTGACTTCATCTAGGGGATTACTCACTTTGCCTTTGGTGAATAATTGTTACACAAGGCTGGTTAATCTTGACATTATCTGATTACAAGGTTTCTCAATTAGTTTCATCATGCAGTGAATTATAAGATGTTGGAATCCCTCTTCAGCTTGTTTTTGAAATGCAATTTGTGAATCTCAACATACTAACCTTACCAAAAGCCAAAAAGTGGTAGATCTTGAGAGTAGATCCTCAATTGTTCTTCATAGTAACTAATCTGTTTTACATCAAGTTTTGAAGCCATCATATGTAAATTTGCCTTTTGTCAACAATTTTTCATTTGATTTTGGAATAGTTGGGTTGCTAAGACACCTTATTGAGAGGTCTATAGTCAGACAATATTTTTATTTGCAATTTGTTGAGTCTGACTGTCCCTAAGTTCTACTGTAACAAACAAGAACTGTTGTTTGATACAGTGAAAGAAGTTTTTGTGGGCAAGATGAGTCATTTGCTTAATCCTGGGAGCACTAAATTACGAAGGTGTAACAGCATTGCTTCTTTGGTATCGTAGGGTTAAAATATATTTATTTTTATATGTACATGTATGTACAATCATGTAGTTGTATGTATTGGCAAGACAAGATTTGGTACTTACCATCCATGTAATTCTTTCTAACAACTTACTGGATTACTATACATTGTAGCTTGTTGGATACTTTTATCTAAGACATGCACATAATTCAAACAACTTGAACAATGGGAATTTAAGAAATGAGAGTCTTGAATAATACTGTCACAAATTACATTGTCCTCCACAGTGCTAGAATTGGTTATTAACAAAACTGTATGAGGCACGGTTACTTTGTCCTTTCATGTTTGATTAATTTTTATAATAGCAGATTTTCTTACAATGTGATGTGTATTATTTTTTCTATAGGCAATCAGTGGCACCTAGTGTGGTAGGATCACTGAATGAAAAAGATGAAAAAAGCAAAAAGACCAAAGCGCCCATTGTCATCTGGCCTGAGTGGACAGAACAAGATATTGGTCAGGAAAAATGGGTACTTGAAAAATGACCGTACTTACAAGACATCTGAATAACATCTGTGCTAAATCTACAGTCTAATGTGCTTTACAAATGAAGAAAAAATTGCAAAGACAGTGTAGCGTAATGTTGTAAACTTGTAGGACTTTAAGGGTGATCTGTGGCAATTCAGTTATGATATTAACTTTAGAGTACTTTTGCATTATTATTTTGAAGTCTTTTACCTTATTCATTTAGATATCAATTCTGTAGATTGAAAAACCAACCAGATTTTATCGAACATAATTCAATCATCACTTACTGCCCACACAATCCATTAGAACTGACTACAATCTCACCCTGTATAATATTGAAATGTAAGGCTGATACTACCAGTAGAGCTACTGGGTTAATGTAAATCAAATCACCCTTATTTTTTTTGCTTTATTATTTTTCAGGATACATCACACAAACCAAAAGAAAAAGAAAAGGGAAAAAGTCCAAATCTAGTAAGGAAATTATTTTAGTTTTAACACAAAACATTTCACCTGTCTTTAAGATAAGTATATATTAACTAGAGAATTATACATCACTTTAGTGCATTCAAAGGTTTATATTCCACTAACAACTACTACCTAAATGCCTTTCACAGCATCCTTACGAGGATCCTGAAGGAAGGATAGATTTACCATCTTCAATCAAGTCTTATGTGGATCACTGGAAGAAACCTGTTGAGTTTATGTTGGAAAAGGTACACATGAGTCATTCAGTTTATTTCTAATGATTCTGTCAATAAGCCACTTAAGCTATTCCTTATATATTCCTTAGAAAAAAAGGGTGTGGCTGGTACTTGATGAAATGTTTCTTATCTCTTAATTTTTGGAGCTTGAGTTGAACCAATGCTATGTGTTGACTTCTCCACAATTGATATACAGGGTGTACTTTATAGATTTTTGTGCAAAAACAGTCAAGCCATGTTGTGTTGGCCTAAATGTAGTCTAGTATGGTGTCTTTCTATGATTTCTTGGTCTTGGCATGTATCTTTTGAAGTCATTTCAATTGCTGAAAATTCTCATGCAGATTATGCTTTTGAATTATAATATTTTAACACCTTCAAGAACTGAAGTAAAACACTGTCAATAAAATGTTTCCTTTATTTACCACTTCAGTCACCAGTTGTTGTTGATCCAAAAAGTCTGGCAGAGGAGATAGATTTGCTTTCAGTGAATGATCATTTGACCAACAGTGAGGTATGATACCAATCCTTGTTTACTTTTCAGTGGAACTGTGACTGATGCACCTACATGTAACTAATGGTACATACTTATTACACTGTACTTGCCAGAAAAATAAATACAGTAGTTGGGCCCTGGTGATTCATACCCCTTATTCAATAAGAAATGTTTGTTTCTTGGTGTTAAAAAATTTCCTCCACCCTCTTGACCCTCCTTGAAATAAACCTTGGATTTATTAGAGTTCCTTTACTTGTTTTGGTTCATGGGCTTCTTGAACCTTGGCCCTTTTCAATTTCTGTGGCTCGTCATATTCTTGGCGTGGATATTCTCCCAGTCTATGATTATCATACAGGTATTTACAGGTAAATGTATCAAATAAATGTAATATACACTCTAGAAGAGTGAGATCATTTATTGTCAGTAGTAGATGATTCTGACACAGACTGTGTTTTTGCAGCTGCTTCGATGTATCATAGGTCAGGTGATGTGCTTATGGAAACTTCACTTTAAAGTAGACCCAATAGAGACTGTCAAAGGTGCTAAAGATACCAAGGAGAGCAACAAAGCTGATAAAGAGAGGGACAAGGAGAAGGATAAAGACAGAGGAGAGAAAGACAAAGATGCTCTGTTAGAAGACAACACATGGAAACCATGGAATCACATTTGGCCAAAAGAGAAAACTAAAGGCAGTCCTCTTCCTGTTTATAACCCTGGAGGGAAGTACTGTGTTAGAATATTCTGGATGGTGAGTTAACACTTCTGTCATATTGAATTTTATTTCATGAAGGTGGCTCTTCACTTATCCAAAGCAAGATAAAGCATTTATGGTTGTGTGTTCTGATAGGATACTGCACTTGAGTAACTCTGGAAGATATTCCTCTCACACAGGTGTATGTAAGCGCAATTGCTTGCTTTGTTCCTGCCATTGCAAAATTCTTTGTTGTGAGGATTTGTTCATTTGATATTTAAATGTTTTATTGACCAAATTTATCCTGTGAGGATACATTTAGCTTAAGTTGGCTACACTCTTTTTTTTTTTTTTTGCCCCTGTATGATTTAAACTGAGATAAAGTTGCAGTCCATAAACAAACAGTAAAAAAATGGGAATGCATGTTGTGAAGCATTAATCATGTAGACCTTGCAAGAGCTGTTATAATTCTTTTTTCTCATTGGTCACTATCTTCTTGCCCTTTTGATTGTGTAATTATATTTCATTTTCTTTTAAAAGAACATTTAAGTGACTATTGGAATGTGATGGGTTTTTTAGGGTACTTGGCGGAAAGTAACAGTTGATGACTGGATGCCCTTTGATGAGGATGGCAAACTTATGTTACCTGCTTCACCTAATGAGCATGAATTATGGCCCATGTTACTGTCAAAAGCTCTCATTAAAGTGGCTTCATTAGAGTAAGCATGATTTCTCTTTTAATAGTTTGGTGCTCCTACAATGTAACTCAAGTTTTTCCAAAGTCACTTTTAGGTGACTTGAAATGATGAAATAGGGTTGTTACTGTAGGAGGAAGATTGTAGTCATCAAAAAAACACTTTGTGCCATAAAACATTACCTTAATTGAATCCCTCGTGACACTATACCAATTTTTGAATATAGGCAGTATGGCCAGCAATCCTTTTTTAAGATTTTTGAGACACTCTTAAGCACAGTATTTGCACAACTAAGGAGGAAGCAATATTCTACAAAAGACAATGACAAGACATAATAAGTGTTCTTGGCAAAAGCCTATCCAACTGTAACCATATACTGTAAACATTGTGAAGGAAAACATTATCTCTTGTTACATGTCTGACCACCCAACACAGGTTGCCAAAGTGGCAAATTTTGCTGCAAATTTAATAACCAAAATATATCTTTTTCCATGGTGACCTAAACGGTTGCAGCTTGCATGAAGCATGGAAGTTACATGAATTGTGTACAATTAAGAAGCAATTGAAAATCAAGAAATTTAAACAATTTAAACCACTCTCTAAGCAATGCTTTTAAATGAAGTTCAAATTCCTAAGTATGTCTTTTTTTTTGTTTTCTCTTTAGTTATGCTGGTGGTTATAATGCGTGTGAGTTTGGTGACTTCACTGTGGTTCATGCCCTCACAGGGTGGATGCCAGAGATTATTCCACTGAGGTAACAAGCTTTTCCGCTCTTGCTACATGTGTGTGCTGTGAGCAAATGCATTTTCATGCTCTATCAATTCAGAGCTGTGAGCCTAGACTTAATGCAGCTTTGGGTATGCTTGTTAATAGGGGACGCCTTGAAGTGAGAGATTAAAAGATAAGTTCTGTTAATCTCATCAATATTGTTTCAGCAAGAAAGAAAACTGAGATACTAAGCATGGATGTAGGCTGGTGTGCATGAGCAACATTGCAAAATGTCTTTGGTTTTTGTGTCCCCAAGGTGTGGTCATACTGGTGAAATCTGGAAACTGCTACTCCAAACATTGCCTCGCTGGAAACTTGAGAACACTCCACCACCAGAGGAAAAGAAACAACATGCCACAGAATGCAGAAAAAAGGACGACAGAGACAAGGAAAGAAAATCCACAAAGTCTGAGAAAAGTCAAGTCCCTGAGAAAGTTGAGAGAGAAAAAGAAAAGAAAGAGAAAGAGAAGGACAAAGGTTTGCTGACTTTTAGTAACTTTGATAGATATACTCTGTACATGCTAATAAATATTTGGCATCTCAAAAGTCTATTGAAAAGACTAAATTATGTCACTGAGAAAATTTCACATCACCATTAACCCTTTAACTCCCAGATCAAATTTGAAATTCTCCTTTCTGTCAGCCATATTATTCTTAGCATGTTAGTTCAGAGAATTTAGTATTGAATCAACTAATTATCTCCAAATTGATATTTTTCTTAATTCTCATCACTTACCTGGTTGATATTGTATTGATATTGTAAGGAGAAATTCTGTCTTGGTCACTCATGGGAGTTAAAGGGTTAAAGGAGCATGAGTTTTTACAGTTTCTTTTGTGATTGGATGAAACTGATGTTATGCTGTGGTACCCAATTGATTGTATAGTTGGCAATATTCATTTTTTCATCAATTGAAAGGAAAATGAAAATAGTTTGTATAAATGTCATGAATTTGGGAGAGAGAGTGGACTTCTTCTTCACAGCATGCTAGGGAGTCATTCTCCATTTTTTGATTTTGTGTTACACCTTTCTTCACAGACATGAAAACTTTTTTTTATTAAAATCGACAAATTCAATTAATTCAACTCAACAGTGAAATTTTTTGTTGAATCCACATGTAAATTAATCACTTCCAAGGCGGCCACCAGCAAGCTAATATTCTGCCATTGAATTGATGGATCACTATATTATCTTGTTCCAGCCACTCCAGCTGCAAATCTTGTTGACGTACCAAAGGAGCCAGAGTTTGTGATTTTTGCCAGTTATTCCCATCCACCCAATATGCCAATGAGACATTCTGTTCTTAAAGAAATGGTAAGTACGTGGCGGTCTGCTGCATAGGAACATACCATTCATTTTTGTCAGTAACTTTATTTAAACACTAAACTTACTTATATTGGCAACGCAAGTCGTATTTCTGTTACTCGCTTCCAAATATTCAATAATTTTCTGTGACATGCTTATTATGATCACTCACAGCACACCATATGTACTTGTTAGGTTTGTTTGTTTGCAGCTTAATCAATCACTCCAGTAAGGGTGGTAGAGAACTTTTTGAGGTGCATCGGTACATGTACCCCACAACAAAATGTTACCAACCCTGAGATGAAATCAGAAACGTTCATTAGTCAAGAATGGTAATTTATGACCCATCTTGAGAGGACTTTTAGATTATTTCTCCTCTCTGTTTCCAGCGGATCTTTTGGTCTTTTTGCTGGTAGTAATCAAATTTAGAGATTGTTTGCTCTTATGTACACCACACTTAAAATTTGTACGTTGAAAAAAAATTCCTTGAGAGCAAGGTTGAGTGTTTGCCTTTATTAACAGAAAATTTTGTTGTCCTCTCTTAAGGCTGATGCATCTGAGAAACTGCGACAGTCTGGTTTGTCACATAACCACCCACACCCTGTCTTGTTGACGACAGTGAGGGACTGCCCCTTGGTTCCTCCTCCGCCTCCAGTTCAGATCCCTCGATGGAAGCTTATTCGGCAGAAGAAGAAGAAGCAGCCCGTGGAGCCAGCGCTGACTCCACCAGAACCTCCCAAGGATCCACAGTTCTTAGAAGTTGTATCTCCCTTTCTTAATCACAAAGTCAGCCCCATACCTGTCAGCAGAGCAAAGTATGTAGGAATCAGATTTATCTTGTTCAGCTCTCTTTGTACTTTTTAAGTGAATGGGAAGACTGAACGGGAAAATGTTTGGCTCCAGGTCATGACGTACGGGCTGAGCGCGGCGAGATTCTTGCGCTATGACCGACCGAGGGCCAATCATTGTCCTGTTCGGCATGACTTGATTCATTCAATAAGCACTGTATCATGTTACCGTCGCTCTTTCTCATTTTTCTTTCTTTTTTCAACTCGCATCTAGCGAGTCTATTCGCATTTTTCCGTCCCTGTCTAACGTTTTTGAATGAAAGCGTACAGGTCATTTGATACAAATGATTATAGTAGACTGAAAGAAATATTACACCGTACATAAAACATTGAGCGGTCACTTAGAGGTGAAAATTTAACCATGAAACACTCATATCTTCTCGTCATTTTGTATTATTTTATTACACAAACAAGAAAGCAAGTCGCTTTTAAAACTGCAAAACTTCTTGTTGCTTTTCAGGACCCCTGTGAGGTGGTTAAAATATCGTCCTGAGAAGCCAATGGGTGAGATACTTGAAGAAGGCGATAAAGACAATGGAGAAAAGACAGAGGGTGGGGAGGGTGAGGATATCGCTGAGAAGACTTCAGGTGAAAAGAGAGAAGGGCTTAGTGATGATGGTGCCGCTGTTAAAGAGGTACTACAGAATTCATGTCCTATAATAACCATAGTCCTTGATCTGTGAAGATTAGGTCCTATAGAAAAAGGTAAACGCAAAATGAAATGCCACCAGAATTCTTATGGCATTTTTTTGGTAGGTTATTTTTTCCTACAGCCGTGACTGAAAAGCTCTGCATGCAGGTCACCACATGTGTGTGTATCTTCTAACATCGATCTACTCTGTAGCTCCCCTCTCTTTGATTTTATAAATTAGATAAGTTGATGTTAAAGTGACATTAAAATGACCACTGAAAAATGTGTGATGAGAGAATTGTATTTAGCAGTTAAAGTGCTTCAATAACAGTGTTTGACAAAGATAAGTAAAAGTACTGTAACTCCTAGAAAGTAGAGCAAATATTTTACGTATTCACCATTACATGTACAGGCATCTCAATAACTTTTTCCCTAAACGGCTGCCAACGGTGTACAGCAATAGGTCGCTATGCTTGTACAGGAGCCGAAGGTGAAACCCAAACGCGAGAGCCAGTTTGCAGGCTAAACAGACGGCGGTAGGAGGTTTTATAGGCAGCGTTAGACCGGCTTATGATGAAACTATTGCATTTATCTTTGTGTGCATGATCACAGATTCGTATTTTTTTTCCGATCTATTCATCAAGGACGAAAAGTCTAAGACTTCAACGCCAAGACTAGAAAACGATGAACTCAAGCCAGATCAAGAAAGCAAAGAGAGCCGTGAAAGCCTTCGAGACCGTCCAAGTACCAAGGATTCTTCTAAATCAAAAGAGAGAGAAAAATCAGCAAAGAGTGACAAAGGAGAGAAAGATAAGTTGCTTAAAAGTCCTGACAAGAGTGATAAAAGTAGAAGTGGTAGCAAACTGAGTGTTGTGGACAAACCAGAGAGAACCAAGTCGGGTGGTCTGTCACCCAAGGCAAGTCGAAGAATGTCAAGGATGGAAAAACCCGGAGATTTGATCAAAAGTAAGTGCTTTTTGTTACTTTGTTTGTTTGGTTTTGTTTTTGGTTGTTATTTTCGTCTTTTTCTCCCACAACACAGTTTATTTTTCAAGTTACTTACATATGAAAATTAAAAACTGAAGATAAGTACACTTGTACTTTCTCATCTAGTTACGACTAATTTTTGCTTTTAATTAATAATAATATGTATCAATACAACATAACACCAACACATTCATAATTACTCAGTCTACGTTACTTACTGACTGACCTATTTACTTTCAGTTGTATATTCCGTTTTAATCTATTTGTACTTCTGATCCAGAGTTCAGCATGCTGAAATGATCACTTTTAAACGTATTTTAACGTTTGTTTATACAGTCATATAATGTCAATGGCTTACCTTTTAGCGCCGCCTGAGACGAGACGAATGTCACGAGTGGAAAAAGGAGTGAAGATCGAACTAGAAAGAGACTCGTCGCACAAAGTAGAGGCCATTCGCGTAGATGAACTGCCCGTGCTTGATTTGCCTGGTTCTGTTGCTGAGGGAGACAAAGTGCCTGCTGATGGCACTGATGGAGAAACAACTGATGACAAAACTGAAGGAGATAAGACAGAGGATGGCGACAAGGTTAAAGAGAACAACAACAAAGACAGGAAAATCTGGATGGAGTACGCCGATTTTTGCAAATGTTTTAGGTAGGTAAATCTTACAAGGCATGGCATGTGTTGATGGCACTCTTTCAATCCACTGGTAATAACTAATTACGGCAATTTTCAATAGAGTGTCGAAGGTAATCTGTGATTGCTTTGATTTTACTTCGTTTGCTCTGTGATTGGTCCAAAAAACTCATGGTATATTTTCAACCAATCAGATGCAAAACTAAAAACCAACCACGACTCGGTCATTCGCGTTTTCCCGCGCCTCAAGTAGTTTGCTTTTTTTTCACTTTGACTTCTAATTGGCCAATGATGATGTATGCCTTAATTCTGATTGGTCACCAGGATGACTTTGGTTTTGGTTTTTCGACGCTGAATTGAAAAAGCACTCTATCGCCTTAGTTCATGTGACTTGAAGACGAAGAAATATGCCCTTTCCTGTATATTTATCAATTGTGTTTTTTTTTTAATTATTTTTTACTTTTTGCAGGCATTTGTACATATTTCACAAACCTAACACGTACAATTATTGCAAAGGAAATTCTGAATTAAAGGTGAGGAATAGTTCTTAGCGTGGTTTGTAGTATTTCCTACTGATACAATGATATATACACAGTTGCGACCGTCAGGCCTTTTTTTTTTCCTTTCTTCTCTCCTTCCTTCCTTTTTCTCTGTCTGTTTTCTTTACAATGAATTTCCATGGATCAGTATGTCAACGGATGTCTACAACTGCAATTTTTATCAATATATGTGATTACTCAGTGATTCCTTCGTTCCTAATCTACTCTCCTCCTGATTCAATCATGTTAAAGGACTGAGTTTACTCCTCGGTTCTAATCCGTACACTATTTAACTATTTCCGCCCCAACAGCAGTATGCATATTCTCCATACTGTTCTCTGTACATTTCCTGAGGTGTTGACAAGGAGAATTTGTTCAATAATCAAAAGCTTCTTTAGTTGGTGATCATTTTATTTATTCTCATGACCCTAATGTTCGATTCATGGGTGATATTATGAGGAGAAATTAGATGCCACTCACTCTTGAATGTCAGTGAGTTAAAAGAGTCCCCCACTGTGATAAAAAGAAAGCCTTTACCTTCAGGACTTACCTTGCTGCAGTACCATTTGATCTTTCCATTTTCTTTCTACTTCTTTCAACGTAACTTTAGGATAGGTTATTTGATTATCAGGGCGAAGTCAAAATTTAAAAAAAAATAGCTGTCATTTAAATCAGGATTACTCAGCGTCTGACTAACAATATCCCAAAGATAACCTTTAACTTTTTTAACATATGAAACATTTAAAGTCTCTAACAATATGCTTGTTTCTTTCTCTCACAATGATAAGTGTTCATCTCTAAACCAATCTTTAATCTCAGAAGTGGAAATAACTTACTCAAGCCCTTTAGAGGTACATGTATCTTCTATTGCTTTGCTCATGTCTTTTCTGCTTGTCGCCGTTTTCAACTGGGATTTCTTACTGATCTTTTAAAAGCAAAATGATCTTTTTCACCTCTATATCTCTTTTATCGTTCTCTATATCGTTCTTTTTCAACATGGTGATTCCCCTCTGCTTGTCACCAAACTGGCTTTCACTGTGTCATTGTACTTTACATTTCTGGTGCTATGTTTGTCTGAAGCTGCACCTGAAAACTTTCAAACCGAATCCTTTTAAATTGACATTACATTTGAACTCCTTATTCTGCTGTAGCTGTGGTCTTTAAATACAAATCCATCTTTTGATTGCCTTTGATTATGGCAGCTGCCTACTTCTCCCTTGTTGCCAAATGTTTGTTCAGTTTGGCTGTTGGTGACCGAGTAATTTTGAAATGCTTCCCTAAAACTAATACAACATATGCACTTATCTTCAGTTCTGTTTTTGTTGTTGTTATGACGGTGTTTCTTATTTCAAACGTGGTGTATCGGTTATTAAAGTGAGGTTATCGTGCTTAGTGTTGATACCGTAACTGTTTTACCCTCATTTAGTGTCCTGTTTGTCTCTATAACCCATCAGCATGTTGAGCTACTCTTTCCCCGACGATCATCACACGCCTAGCATTGTAGATAGTGTCAAAGAGTTAAACTAAAGAAAATAGATACAAGTAAAACATACTAATTGATACATACTAATGCATGAATTATTGTCAGAGCTGGGTTTTCATTCCTATTAATGTTCATCATCATCACCAACATCATCACAATTCCGGGACATCTGAAAGGAAGATGTCCTCTGTTATGGGACGTAGGCTTAAAAGACAAGAAAGTGAAATGTCGTTGCTATCTGTGAGTTTTTCATCAACAAGAAAATTATCACAAATTCACCTCAATCCTTCTCGTCCACCTAATTTCATTTAATTTTTCCACCAAGCACTGTTAGATTGCTTCGTTCTGCACGTGTAACCACGCTCATTATAATATTTCTAACTCCGTCTTAACATTTTGGACAAAGAGGATCATTAAAGGTTTCACAATTACTCCACTTTTCTAATATGAGCAAGACGTGTTGTCTCAATGGCCACCTAACACGCAAGATTCTGGTTCAAAAGAGCTGAGGGTTCAAGCCCTGGCTGCAATTAGGTCGTGGGCGAGGCATTTTGCGTTTTCTTGAACCGGGAAGTTTGACGTCTTTGCAAAATTTGACTATTGCCCTTACGCTTTCCATGTTTCCCTCAAACCTTCGCACTGGGAACCAACAAAATCCTGTACACACCTCCTTGTGAAGCTTATCTCTGTAAACTATTTTCATTTCTGGCCTAAATCTTGTTAACTTCCAGAATGTTGCAATGACCAGTCATGTTAGTAAAAAGTCAGGCCTGATACCAGCCTCGTCAGTCACAGCAACTACGCCTGCACCTGGGAAGGCCACAGGGCTCAGTCCGTCACCATATCACGGTTCGTTTGGGGGACTAAGTCAAAATCAAGACCCACCCCCACCGTTCCTGTTTGTTGACAGTCTGAAACCCATCGAAATTGTGGTAAACTTCACTGCGTTCTCTAGGTGGCTTGATCCACCACAGCCTGTTATCAGAGAAAGAGATAAGGAAAAGGAAAAGGAAAAGGATTCTAATAGCGTAGTAACAGGTGAGAACTGAACAGTAGAGCTTTGTGTTTCATTGTCATCCAATCTACACTTATATGTAAATGTAGTTAGCAAGTTGTCGCCTATTTACGTCAACCAAGTATTTTACAGTAAGCTGACGTAGGTTCTTTGGATTCAGGGCTTCTATTGTGTTACAGCAACATTTAAACTAATATCATCGTGTAGAAGTTATTTCGACGTGTAGATGCGCCATTCAGTAACGTAAAGGAGGGTGAAAGCCAAACCTTCTGTGAATCATAGTAATGGTCATTTAACAGCAGAAACATACAAAATGGAACGAAAGCCGCTTATCACAAACATCTGAACGTGACTCTTTTAAACTTGCCTGAAACAACCCAAATGTTCCCCGAAAAATCCATTATTGGCAGCAGCGTAAAACCTATTTGTGATGATTCTTCGTTCATATGTTACTGAAAAGTACTCCAATTTTTTGGTGAACAGTTTTTTTTCCGAGGTATGACAAAGGTTCTTAATCCAAATATTGTGAAATAGGATTGATAGTCATTTTAAGCTGTGAGCGTGGGAACTTACCTGCGTGGTGTAAACCAATGTTTCTGTGTTACCAAGTCGATTGTTTCTGTTCTCTGTTTTTAGCAGATCCAAGGGAAGCAGCTCAGGTTGAGGAGAAACCTGTACCACCCACCCCAGGCTTACTCGTTGCGGAACCGTACTCTTGGAAGAGCCTGGTGACGGGTCAGCCAATTCTACGCATTCGCACTTCAGGCACCAAGGCAGCCGTCCTTGTTCTACCGCCAGGGTAGGTTGGAATGAAATTGGCGGAGCTTGCGTATATTGAATCAAAGAAGATTTCAACCTTTTCGGTCTCTCTCGCTAGCTCAGCTTTCCCCTGTGATGCAATAGGTCTGGAATCTTCAGCAAAAGGTTTTTATGATTACAATCTATTGTACAGAGATCCTTGCTGGGTTTTCCTTTTTTTTTTCAGGGGGGAGGGGGAAAGGGGGGAATTTGCACGTGGAATTCAAAACCGATTAACCAAACACAGGGACTCTGTACAGATATCTTATAATCTCATAGGAGCGGGATTTTAGTTATTAGTTTCGCTCTTCTCTAGGAATTTATGGAAAATTAGAGCAAGAGGAAAAGGTTTCGAAGCCGCAAATGAAATAACAAGAAACACAACTTCTTATTACGTTTCTCTCACGTTCTATCTTTGTAGGCGTCACGTGTTAAGATTTCTTGTCCAAGCCCCTCACGGTTATCACGTGGAAATGGCTTCACAGACTCCATTTGTTTATGGCGACGAAGACACAGTAATGACTTGTCTCACAAAGGTACGTGTACAGAACTAATCAATGTCTTACACGTGTCCATCAGACCTACGTTTGTAGCACATCCAGAGCAAGATATTATGAACGATATTATACTCTCTTGTCTAGAGTTAAATCTCGACTTGGAAATTAAGTGTGGAACTAGGAGTGAGAAGATGTTTATACCTTAAGGTTGACAACCTCGTTAATGATGTTCTTATTTTGTTATTAAAGGAAGAAGAAAAATTCGTTTCTTTAAACGTTATTAGATACGCTTTATAGTATGACTGTTTTTGCAATTAGCCGGGGAAACGTGGCTGACAAGTGGTGACACACCTCATGTTTTTTTTCTGCTAGGAAAGTTGTCGTTTCCTGGAGCACGCCATGAATGTGTTTCACTCAGTTAGCAGCCTTGTTGGATCATTCGCTGATCCTCCTGCTGACAGGAAGTTTGACTTGGATCTTGGACTTAAGGATCAGACGAAAGACATTCAAGATAGGCATTACAAGGTACGGTGAGGTTATTGATTGCACATTTAATACTTCATTTTGGAATACGTCCGTGCGGGATACGCTGGGATACAATGTTTCTGTCAAAAGCTTTATGATGCGTTACGATAGAAACGAAATGACGGGATGTGGAATGAACTTGCGAGGTGCTTCCTAGTCTCCGTTGAGCCACACACCTAGTAATTGCATGTCTTTCTCAGCCATTGAGTTTTTGGTTTCAAAACACGCATTATTCACCCGCCGGAGAGTGGAGAATGTTCATCAGAACGAGATAGCGAACCAATCACATTGCTTGAATCTTTAAGATCGTGGAGTGTGCATACACTAAATTTACTGATTTATTCATTTTGTATTCACCGACATGTACATGTTTTCATCAGGTTTTTATGAGGTGTCTTCTGAAGAGTGTCAGATTCCATCTCGCCGATTCTTACGATTTACCGATGCACTTTGCCTGGAAAGCTTTTCAGTTCCAAGCCTCTCTCTGCTTGCATCAGCGAGTCGGCCACAGGCCCTTGTCAGCAGCGGAGATCACGAGGATCGGTTCAATGACAAAGAAGCGGGCCGTTAAGAGTGCTGGTGCAGTACCTCCCACTTGGGTAGATCGCACATCAAACAGTGAAGAGGAAGGCGCTGCTACTAAGATCCAGGCCGCTTTCAGGGGTTATTTCCTTCGAAAACTGGCACGAGCATACGTAAAAGGTTGGTGTGGTGCGCTTAAGTTTTAAACAATGTACCAGAGAAAAACAGCGATGAAGTGATTGAGCCTTTGTAGTGTAATGTGTGGCCACTAGTAAAGGTTAGGATGAGAGATTATCAGTAAGGACGAGGACGAATATGAAACAGGCGAACGAGAAAATTTTAGCCGAGTGCCTGTGCTGGAAAGCTACAAAGACAAGGTAAAATCTGACGATCCATTCGCGGCGGGAAAAAACAAGTTCTGTGTGAGTATGGGCAAGAAAGCAACTGAGTCCATCTTCAATAGTTCTACTTGGCAACTTGAACTTTTTGAAGCCCACTCCGACAGTTGGTAAACCTGGTAAAGGTTCATGCACTCAGAGTCAATTGACGAATAAGCAATCTTTCGGATAACGGAGAAAGCTACCCACACTATTTCCTATTCTCCTCAATTGTTTAAATTGTTTTGTATGGTTACTCACACATCTTAATCGTTGCTAATGGATCATGACTGATGGTCGAACTCCCCAAAAAATTATTTCTGTAGAGATGTTTCGTAACAATTCTTACCTTTGAGCTAGGATGCATCACTTCGTCATCTCTCGAGATTACTAATTTTCCAAATTTTTCTCACAGGTACCGACGAGCACCAGAAAGTATGGGAGCTTCTGTCCAAAGCATGGGGTGTTATCGAACCTAACTTGGAGAGCTTTGCCATTCAGATCTTCAGGTTCATGTTCAAACGGGATTCAGAACTGTTCCCTTTGTTTCCTTTCTTCAAAGATGAGTGGAGTCGCGTGGCGTACTCTGACTACAACGGGGGGTATCCTGAGCAGCCTCCCCAGTCTTGGTTTGTGGTTTTTAGGTAAGAAAAAAGGCCTTGCTTTTTATTTCGGTTTTTTTTGTGACTTTATATCAGGGTAGAGAATCTCCAAAATTATAAGAAACCAAAATTATGCGAGGATGGCTGAGGATTGAGAAGATTGGAATGGACCGGAAACGTTGCGGGAATTTCTTTCGGAAAGGGCACTTAGTGCAAAAGGACGTTACTCGAAGGAAAATTTCCAAATTTCTCCGAGTGAAATTGCTTCTTAATTTTATTATCAGTGCCGTAGTTGCCTTTTGTACGTGTGACAACCTAAATTTCGTCAGTCAAGATCGCATCTAGACACATCTGCCACAATCGCATAAATTTTCCAAATAATACAATTGGAAAATTCATTGAGATAAGATAGGCGAATATTTTGTGGGAATATTTGGACGTAATTAGTATTTTTTTTGTGGAATTTTTTTTTAGGGAAGTGTTCTTCGTTGATGAACCAGTGCTCATGGTCCCTAAACTGTACGTTACCTTACCGACATGTTTGTTGCGGGTTGTAGACAATGACTCGGGGGAAGAACTGACCAGGGTCTTTCAGAAAGTTGCACCCAATAACCTAAAGAAGAATAAGGTAACTTAATCTGTCAACTATTTTATACAGAGAGAGAGAGAGAGTAGCCTAGCTCCCCAAAGAGAGTTTTTAGCTCAGTGGAAGAGCGTCCGAGATCGGAATCTGAAGCTCTCGGGTTCGACTCTTCATGGGGGCTCAAAATTTTCTCTTTGTCCCACGCTCTCGAGAAGACGGAAAAAACATCTCTCTGTAACGTGGTGATTGTTTGTGATGCCTGTAGAGACAAGAGGCGCTCCCGGTGTTACTGATCGACCCGACATCGCTGCTTACTTGATGCTTATTTAGTGTTTTCAATGGTGGTCAATGTTACCTTTTGATGTCATTGATTTTCCTTTGTTTCATCAGCGTGGTTACACGTTTGTGGCTGAAGCAAGAACGCCAAACGCTATTCTCCCGGCGGGAAAGTTTCGTTTGCGCGTGATCGGTTCCACAGAACCCTTACCCTACCCTGGACGAGAGGGAGTGAACAGTCACTTTGTCACCAAGGAGATTAGAGATTATTATATTCCAAACAAATACAACATCATTTTCAGGTTAGATGGTAGATGAAATTCTTCAGTCAGTACCTGACTTACTTTGAAGATAAACTGTGTTTTGACTCTTAACCCTGTACTACATCCTAACACCAGTATGCACATTCTCCACACTGTTCTTTATACATTTCCTAACATGCTTTCCATTTCCTAAGGTGCTAAGTAATTTTCTGTACACTGCGCTAGGTACACAATCAAGGTACAGGAGGATCACATGGCCAGCTTGCAGCTAGGGACGTCTAAACCAGACGTGTACATCAAGCTACAGGTAAAATGACGAGGAATCATTCCCCTTCCCTGGAAAAGACAGCAGAACGCTGGGCCCTATGCCAGTATCTGAGCAACTGCGCACCTACCCCTCCCTTAACCACACAACAGTTAACTTATAACAAATTAGGGTCAATGGTGGGTTAGGGGAGGGGTAGGTGCGTTGTTGTTCAGAAACTAGCGTTGATCCGAATGTTCCATGACTTATTTTTTTCATTTGTCCACCAGGCGGGTTACAAACGCTTTCATTTACTTTTTTTTTTTTTTTTTTTTTGTAAAGATTTTGGATCATGAACAGGAGGTATGTAGCACGACCGGAAAGAGTCACGCAGTCATCCCTGCTTTTACTTTTTACCGCGACCGTACAGGCGATGAAGATGAAAAACAAAAACGAGGTAAGAAAGTAAATATTGTTGTTTATTACACCGCTGGCAGCGCCCGTGGGCAATATGAAGCGAATCCTAAGTGTTGATTGGCTAAGCGAGCGGGTAAGATGGGCTTACCTGCCAGTACGGGATTGCCCCCTTTGATCCCGGACATGAAAATATTGAATTAATACTAAGTTGGCTATTCTTGGACAATGTCAGCGATGGAGACGCAAAAAGCGGCAGAAGACAGTCCAAAAAAAAGAAAACAAAAACGACTCGTGTGAATTTATTGTGGTACAAAGATAGTTGGCTTTCTTTTCCGGCTCTAGAAATAAACAAGTCATTTTTAATTCTTAATAAAGCGAAATCCTTTTGAAATAATAATACCTTTACTGACCAAGCGTGAGGTCCAGATGTCAGGATATTAGCCTTTTTTTCCGGTCAATATCTAGCCATCTTACCTTCACGCTTGGTCAATAACACGTAAATATTGCTTAAAATTGTTTCTTCTTAAACCAGTCGTTCTTTTGCAATCTACACCTAGATGTACTTTTTCCCAGATAGCGGCCACTCCGACTGGAATGTTCGCATCTTAGATCTGAACCAGTTAGAACGAGACCACGATGTTAATAAGCTTATTTGTTGGTTTTTCCAGGTTCGCGCCCTCCTACCTCGTCCCACCCCCGCTCGGCCAAGAGACCTCCATCAGGAAGCCGCAAAGCAGCGGCTTCTCCCATGCAAGGGAAGGGGGGTAAGAAGAGCGGAAAGGAGTCCAGTAACTCCTCACGGCCTGGATCATCGGTGAGTGACCTGGCGCCCAAATTCGTGCAGATATTTCAGCTGATATGTGACGTTCTATAGAATCTTTTTAATGTTGAATTCTCGAACATACCGTGAGTACTGGCAGTTCTTGTTGTTGCATCGAATAAGATAAACAAAAAGCAAAACCAGATTCTTACAACAACATCTCTACACAACTTCTAACAACAATTCTGTGACGACGACGAACGCCTCGGAGTCAGGGACAGATGATGCTGTCGTAAGTTTATTTCCAGCGGCTGTGAACGTGAACTTAATTTGAACACTTTTCTTTTCCTTTCAGCAGAAAGGCTCTCGTCCTCTCCTTTGCGACGACTCCGAAGACAAAGAAGACGAAGACACCGAAGATACGGAGCCTGAAATCAAGGTTCGTGGTTTAAGTACATTTATCAAAGGTCGCCAGTTACCTCCATCTTCAAGATACAAACTATCCTTACCACGCGATGACTTGCGTTTGTCTTGTAATCTGTGTTGTCCACAGAACATTAAACCACTCCAACGATGGCTTTATCAAAGATAAAATATCACTTTAGGTCACTAAACAAATTCGACTCCCATTTTTTGGTCTGAAGCTATGGTGCCAATTCACTTTTTCTCCCCATATGCGTATCACAAACAGTTAGCTGCGTTGCCGCAAAGCAAAAGCACATAGGGCTTATTCCTTTTACTTTTGTTTCAGATACACAAGTATATAATTCAAGCCCAGGTCTTACGCGACAGTTGGCCTTTGTCCAAGAGTGCTTGGGATTTTGTTGCCTTGATCAAGAGCCTTGACAGACTAGACGTAGAAGGTATTTCTGCGTTTTTGGGTTTTAAACCGTTTTGCCTTCGGGTATAGTTATTTCGTCGTACTTGATATCTAGTTCAGGCAACCCAAGCAATGAGGAGTAGTAAAGCTTTTTTTCAATGCATTTTATTACTATATTTAGTACCTGCGGAAAGCGCCCCTCGCGGAGATAAACTGTCTGCAAGTGTGTCCAAAGGCAAGAAAAACAAGGAAGGAAAAGAAAGTCGGTCAAGTAAGGGACAAGCTGGATCAAGACCATCATCACAGGTAAATTGGAAAGGTGTATTAGGAAAAGCTCACATTTTACGATTTAGAGACACCCATCCCTGAATAAAGAACGTTTGTGAAGATAAATAGATGTGGTCAATAGATCGTAACTTTGAGCGTTTGTTTGTTTGTTTATTAATTTCTCAGAGTAATTCATTAACTTCTATTTTTTTTTTACAGCAACAATTCGATTCTAGCAAACCAAACTGGACACTCAGAATCGTTTCTGATGCGAGTGCTGTAAGTTTTACGTGGTTTTGTCTCCGTTTGTTTATTTGCATCAGTGTTTATAATCAAAAGTATGGTGCACTGATTAAGGTTATTGTTATATTATAAACTGGAATTGATGTGTTTGCTGCTTTGTTGTGTACAGGAAGAGATTGAGGTCAAGAAGGACACAGAAAGGCAAGATGAAATAAAGGCCATGAAGCTAGCTTGGGAAGCCGCTGAACCGGGCAGAGCGGCGAAGGTAGTGCACGCATCACTCAAGAAAAAGTTCGAAATATCAGTTACAACACTCAGAATGTTTTCAAGGTCTATGATGATTTTTTAAGAATATTTTCTGTTACTTCCTAAGGCCCAACAAAGCCGTCAAAAGTTTTTGAACGAACACATGGTTAAGGTGGAAAAAGACGCAATCGAGGAAGAAAATGGCGACGAGGAACAACAAGAAGAGAAAGATGTTACTGCTTCTAGTGAAATACGTGAGTTCACTGTGTATATTTGAGCAATAGACCGCGCTATCTTTCGGTTTACTGGCGCTATACTCAACGCAGGATCGGTTGGGAAAAGACGAGAAACGTTTGTAAATCAGGCGAGTGATTTACAAAGTTTCCTCTTGCTCTACCAACGTTCCAACGTGGGTTATTACACTGGGAAACCAATAGAATGTGCTGTCTATTGCTTTTATGAAATGAACTTCTATGAGTTTACTGGTGCAATAAATTATAGACTTTTGACCAATCAGGGAGTTCGTAGTATGTCAGTTATTTTCTAACGAGACTTTTAACCAATCAGGGCGCTAGTTGTGTGTCAGTTATTTTACAACGAGATTTAATGGCTCAAAGAGTACTACCACCCATGACAGCTCCTCAGTTTCCCGTTTCTCGTCTCATTTCAGTGACAGTGACGTCACCAGTGCAGTCTGAGTCTGATCAAGGAGAATTGACCTTAGTACCACCCCCTAAGGAGCCGGATCATATTCTCCAACCGCTTTCTGAACCTAAGACCATCAGGTAAGATCTGTAGTGTTTTGTTTCCTCGAGTTTATTCTATTATTATGAAATAGTGGATGTTACTTTGTTTTGTTTCATTTTTCTCCACTCTACATCGGGCCAGAAGAAAACACCACAAGTCATATTGTAGCTTAACCCGCTCGTTTTCTTTTCCAGGTCACGAGGCGGGGTTCCCGTGTTGTTAGACGAGGAAGAAATAGAAAGAAGGCTGCTGGAAAGAAAAGAAACACTGCAAGCTTTTAAAACTCAGCGTAAAGAAGTTGAAAACAGGAGAGAACAGGATAGACTGGACAGGAACACTACTAAAGAGAGACAGTTACAGGAAGCTGAAGAACTACAGGTACAATCTGAATTCTTTTAAAATTATTTTTTCATTTTACGTGCTTTATACTTGTTCGCTGCCTCAACCATTTCCTTTTTCCATTCAGCCTCTTTATTCTCTTTCTTTGTGTCAGGTAACCTGTAATTCTTCCCATCTTTTCCTTTTACCCAGTGTCCTTCCTTATTCATCATTTATTCCCCTTCCCACTAACTCCCTCTCTCCTGCCTCTATATCTGTCCTCTCTTCCTTTCCCATCTTATTCCTTTCTATCTGTTTTTCATCTCTCTCGCTCCTTTCGTTCGCTCCTTCGCCCCAGCCTCCCTCCATCTCACCTCCGTCTCTTTCTCCGGCCCTACCGTTTTTATTTATTTTGTTTTCATTGTCTCCCTTTCTCCCCTTCCCGTCAATCCCTCATCCGTTTGCTCCTTTATTTCACTAGGCCGCTACTGACAAATGGCGGGGCGAGGTGAACCAGAGACGGGAAGCGTACAGACAGAAATTCCTAGAGGCAGAGAAACAAAAAGAGGAAGCACAGGCGGCTGAAGCTGCGAAAGAAAGAGAACGATCTCCGTCACCGAGCAAGAGTCGAAAGAGTGCTTCTACTGCTAAAGGTGGAAGGAAAACTCCCGCCAAAGGAAAGAAAAAATAAGCATTGCTGCTTGGTAGGGAAATTAAATATCTCTACGTCACAATATTTATTTCCTGTTCCAAGACCGTTGAAAACGTTTTCATCAAACCGCTCGTCTTAGCGCCTTTTGAAACGTGCTGTGTTGAATTCCCAAATTATTACTTGTCCTATTTCTTTTCTCCCATTCGTGCGTTTCCATTTTGAAATGTTATATTTATTGGAATTGTAGAGTACAGTGTGAAAAATATTTTTGTACATAAGCAAGTTTTGTGTACAGGTGCTTTCTCGTGTAAATAATAAAAATATTAAGAACTAGTAACGAAATAAAATAGCCATTCTCTATTTTTTTTACCTTTAAGTTTTAATCCTACTTATGCAATCTGATATTTTCTGTCTTTTTTTTCGTATATTTTTGCGCCGCACAGGGTTAAGTATCGTTTGCTTGTAAAGATGGTGAGCAGAAGTTTGTTTTTATTCCGGAAACTGATATTTTGAAGGGTCTCTGACTTTAATATTTCGGTACCGTTTTAGAACATGATACTAGAAGAAGGAAGGTATTTTGAATTTCATTATAATTATTTGTAGTGTCGCAAGTGTCATACAAACGAGAAAATAACAACGAAGTGTGAGTCTCGTGTGGAATCTAATCACTGCCTCTCTGTCAGACAACCAAGCTCAAGTGACAACTGCGCGTTGCATACCGGAAAGATCAGTATTGTATACAGCAGCCTGCGGAGCTATTCGAGGAAAAAGGTCATTAATTAAAGTTCAATTGTCTAAGAAAACTGTGGACGTAATCAGTTATGAATCTTACACGAAAGGATTTGAGTGATTGCATTTCTAGTCCTCCTTTTTCTCTTATTGCCCGGGCTTGATAATTTTCATAGGACACCGTACAGCGTAAGATTCTCTAACATCATCTCGTATTCTTCATTGGCAACAGCTGCATCTTTCTCCATTTTCTTGACATGCACTTTGTTCATTTTCCATTTAAGAGCTGCTACCCGTCTCCACGGACTAATTGATGAACCCCGTGGCGATTTCTCTTCAACCCTGTTTGACTGAGCCGCAGCCCCATTAGTCTTAACTTTGGTCAAGCTGGAAGTTTGGTTCTCGTCGCTCGAGGAATTCTCAATGATTGTCATAGTCGGGATTTCAGGTTCACCGACGAGCTTCCCTTGGCTCTGAAACGAATCTACAGAGCCTACAACTCGTTGTCGTGTGAGGTTTGGTCTGATGCAAGCAGGCTTTCCTTGCATTCTGCCTCCTCCACTTTGCTCACTCATGTCAGGTTCATGCAGTTGTAACGACGTTTCTGCAATTTGGAAATCACCTTGTGATTGTTGTGTGACGTCCAATTTCTCCTTGCAATTTCCTTTGCCGTGGTCACTACTCCAACATATTCTCTCGATCCCGTCTTGATTCCGCGATCTTTGGTCGTTACGATCAAACGCCCTTTGATTAAATCTCTCAAATCGATCTTGGTCTTGTAATTCGGTACTTTTCAGTTCCTCTTTCACTTCCAGGAATGGTCGCTCTAAATCTGTTTCATGTTTGTCTTCGCTGCGATTTTCACTCACTGCAATGACGTTTTTCCCTTCTTGGGTACGAGTATTGTTATTCTTCACATTGTCTGCCACCGAAACCATATCGCAATTCCCACAAATGAGGAGAAATCTCAATCTTCTGCTTCGCGATGGTAGAGACAATTGAGTCATTGGTTTGCTCTTGTCGTCTTGATCTGCCATTTTGAATTTGCCTGACTTTACAAAAACAAAATTCGCCTACGCTTGTTAGTATGCGTGCCCAAGCTGTAATCCAACAGATTATGACCAAAAAATTCTAAATCTAGGGATGTTTTAATCAAAACTTCTGATGACTAATTGAAGCAGAGATCGTCAGATCTTTTTCATTGTGGAATAAGACATTTAACTGCCGGTATTACCAAATTTTCGATTCCCCTGATTGGTTCAGCGACTTCTTATCAGATGGGAGGATGTCCACCTTATTTAAATGTCAGGACAGGAACAAAGTAATGATAAATTTTATCACGGGGATGAATAACCGGCGATGACAGGCGACGTGCCTCCTATGACAAGCGACAGTTGAGTTAGAACAGTTTTGAAACAGTAATTAATTGTATGTTTTTCGTTTGGATCTCCTTGTTGGTATAACTAATTTGCTAGAAATCGTGTTCTTCAAATTTCATTTAATTTAGACCAATGGAAGAGGGCAGAAGTTGAGTACGACGTTCATGATGAACTGTAAACGGGGTTAAAGAAACTTCTTATCATCGGCTTTTAGCTTTTCCTACACTTTCTTTCAAATATTTGCCTTAACTGGGAAAGAGAAGTTTTTTGGCAATTTTCCTGAAGGGTTGATCATTTTTAGGCGGATTACAGGAAAAGCGAAATAGAAATCAGAGTTCACTTTATGCCGTTTGCCGCCGCCATATACGTCATACGTGAAACTCGTGCTTCAACTCGGCAGTTGTAAAACTATTACGGCTTAACAGGTTTACAAGTAATGGATGTTATGCGCGAATCGAATACTTTATTTTTATCGGAGTTCCCGTTGATTGCGTAAATGTTTATGTAAAGTAGCTGAGCAGGATGTGCTACAACTGATTTAATCATTTATCTTTCTTGTTTACAACGTCCGTTTTAAAAAATGTCAAAGGATCTTGTGCGCAGGGTATGTTGTCAATTTTTTCCTCTTCTTCGAGGAAATGAAGACAAATCGTCGCTCTCTGCGCTTTGGGTGTATTAAACTTTGTTTTTGGCCGGAGTTAGTGTGTTCCTCGACAGGATTGAATTGAATGAAACCAAACATATTTCAGCACTCTGGCGAAGGGTTGACACTCGAAACTTCAGCTTTAGAATTTCTTTACGTTGGCCAATTTATTTTATCAGCTCAGTTGATAAAATCAAATTATCTTGCAACACCCCCTAACGACGCAGCACCGCATTTTGTTTAGAAACTTAACCCCTTTATTCATATTGCAGTTTGGCTCGAGAAGGCTCTTTTGGCTTAATTTCGCCCTCATTAATTGGGCAGGGGTATACAAACTTCCACTTGGCTACACTCGACGCCGTACTGAATTTCGAGACACTAATCCTTTGATTTGTGATAAGTAAGTACCAATTTTTTTTCAATCATTGTTTTAAGTGGTCACAGAGAATAAAACTGATCTTGACCAAGCCTCAGAACGTATGCCGACAATTCCCTATAAAGTAATAAATGACGATCCTTTTGAAAAGTTCCTGTACAATACTCGGTTACCGATAACTCTTTATTCTTCCCACGAAGCTTACTCCTTATCAAAAGCTAAAACCAACACATCTTGAATAATGCGGCTTTATTTGTTTTCAAAAGGTGCTTCTGAAACAATTAATAGCTCTTACTTGCATCAATCCTATAATCATATAAATTCAATCCTCTAATCGGAAACTGCAATTTAACTCTGTTGCTTCTTAAAGTAAATTGATCCCAGTATTAAAACGCTTCTGAAATTAACTTTAAACGGCTTTCGTAAGAATAACATTGGCAGAGCATTACAATTTTCGCGGCAACTTTTTCCATATCTATCATTAGATATGATCATTACATAATCCGATCTTCTAGAATTGCAGCCATAAAATGACTTAAAAGGCTGCAAAAATTGCACGTTTTTTTGGCTCCATATCGCGAGACCAGTTTTTTTGCAAAGCGGTTTGCGTAGTGAAGAGACAAGCGTAACTATGCTGCATTATGGCGCTGACCTTCGACTGATCCTTCCTCTGATAAAATAAAGAAATGTCGATCGAAAATTTTTCAGGCTGGTTCACTACTTTACACGATTCAAGTTGCCACAGAAGTTGAATATGTAAGTCATTTCATTCGTCCTGCAAAATTTTCCTCGTCACATAAAGAACCACAAAATACTAGCATGATAAGAAAGAAAATACCGCATTGAATGGTAAGAATAAATCTGAAAAGAACTGACAATGATGGTGACGGATGAAAAAGATTGGAAATGATGATCTCAGAAAGTTTAGGGTCAGTATCTCAAGGTCTAAGTACCTCAACTTAATCCCTGCAAAGTTTTAAAAGGCATTGCAATAAATTTCATTAAAGATTAACTCCAGTTCTTTAGAGATACCAGGCATAAACTTCAGCGCATGTTTTGCCATCATTGTCATTTACACTGACCCCTTTCAGCACTTCGCCGTACCACAGTTGAAGCTCTTGGCCGTGTTGGAAATATTCTGGATTGGAGAAGTCTTGGAAAACGAGGAATGGGGAATCTGGCCCGAATCCCGGAAGTGCGTACCAGGTAGACATCGCCTTGTCCCGGATAAACTTTTCACGTGGGAATAAGATTTCTCTGGACGCCGTGGTGATGAAGGTCCCCAAGGGAGTGGTTCCGATGGAAGGATGATTTATTGAGCAACCCCACTTGCTGTAAAACGAACCATGTGCGTGTTTAGAATGAAAGTCGTCTTTCTCACACGTGACTTTCCCACTGATATGGGCAACTTTGAGAGCGACGACAAATCCCTCCTGTGGGATAATGAAGATTCCAGGTTTACTTTGATTTGCACTGAAGCAGGCGTTGGTCACATTTAATTTTCGCCATTTGCCTGAAAACGAAATGAAAAAGTTATGTCATCTTTGTTATTTTCATGAAAGCTTAACAGGATGTTAGATAGAGCTGCAACATAATAATAATAACCATTCAGTCGATCTTGGCATGGTCAAGTTAAAGTCTCCCCGAGAACAACCTGGGAAGGTCTCCTCAATCTGGTTAAAAGCGTTTGCAATTCTCTTCAATGATTGTCACTGCCTATTTCAAGGCCATTCCTTCGTTGTGAGCTCGTATATTTCAATTGTTGGTAATTATTCGAGAGGCGAACAAAGAATCGGAGGTTTATTGAATTTTTGCAAATAGACGATAGACAAATGACAAGTGCCAATCACAGTCTGAATAGCCCATGCCCACATAAACATTTTACAAGCGTTTGCACGTTTTGAAAGAAGCCAATTCTTGACGTTGCTGATCCTAGAAGTAAACAAGACGCTTGTCCCAATACGAACCTGGTAAAGAACTTTGCTCACAATCGAGGACTCTGGAGCTCAGAGTTGGAGGATCTAGCTCTAATTCTCGTGGGAAATTTAGGTTTTTATTTGTCTCACGCTCGTGATTAAAAAATATCATTTCTCTTTATCGGACGAAAAGCTACAAAGTAACCATCTTTCTCTCCCTAAGTCAATTTTACACGGCATCTATAAAGTATACTGTTATTTTTTAATCTTCTTGTAGATCTTATCTAGTGTTTATTCCCCATGATCACAGCTCAAGTCGGCTCGATTTACAAGACTAAATTTGACTTCAAATGGAGCTACCGCTTGACTAAAATGAACCTTGACCAAATGATCAACTGAGGTGCAAGGAAAGATAGTAATTAAGATTGGAAAGGATTATAATGGATTACAAACTAACCGTTTGAAACGTTCCCGATATAAAAGCTAAAAAACAAATACAATATGATTTTGGCAGCCTTGCAATAATTATATTTCGACTCTGAACTCTGAATTTGGCCCGCATGTCTCTATGAACCTAAGAAAAAGTTTTCTTGTTATCCTCAGTTGGATGTGTAAAACAAATTTGAGAGTAAAATAGTCAAGAAATGTCAGCATATCAGAAATTCTTTAAGCTCAACTGGTCCTAAACGCCTTTCTTTCTAGACGTGCCTCGTTAAAGAAATCCCTCGAGAATGGAATAAGTTCAAACTGTAGTTTGCTCGTAATCAGATGTCTTTTTAACCAAGAATATTCGCCTTGATTGAAAGCACTTTTATTTTTTGACAAACGGTCTGATAAGCAAGGCAAACTGAAAGACAAGTTCTTGTTTATAGCTTACCTGGACTTCTAGGACACATCATTTGCATGCCCTGTCTCAACGACCCTGCCTCTTGTTTCAGTAGATTCCTCAGTTGTTCTTCTTGCTGCGCGGAAAATCCACCGCAACAACGTAATTTGGCTATTACACCTTGACAAAAGATTGAAGTAATCGCGCTCAATAGCAACAGAAATCTGGCCATGTCGAATGCAAGGACTGTTTGGTTTTTTTTTTTTTCACGCGTGGCCCTCAACTAGACCAGTTCCTGATATCACAGGTATCAGCGTTCAATGAGAAGGGGGCCTCATTAGAATGCTTTAAAAGCAGGATTGACGCCTGCAACTGTTAAAAGGTTTTCATCGGCTCAACACAAATTGCGCAGATCCGTCTGTTACCACGTATCCTTTGAAATTGGATGAGAGCGGATTTGTCTGGCGGAAGGATTATTGCACGGGAGGTAAATCAAAAGCGGTGTTAAATTGATTTTGGAGTACGCGTTATAATACCAAGAATATAATTTTAAAATACGTAAAGTTTCAGCGAGTAGGTCAAGAAAAAATAAAAGCGTTTCACCTCCTTAGAGAGAGGTAAATCACAGTGGCAAAGCTAGAAATCTTTTAAGAATCCATGTTTATTCTGAACGTTAATATTTCATAAAATATGTCTCAGTAGTTTCTGCGCAACAAGCGACAGCAACCGTTACGAAATTATTTTGCAAACTATTTTTACTGTCGATGTTATTGAAAAATGCAAAAGCCAATTTAAACTTCAGGAAAGGAAATTGAGGGCTCCAAGCGAAACAACTGTTTATTAACAGTATATCAAGTATTCACAGCACGTTATTTTAGTAGGTTAACAGATTACGTCAGAGTTTTTTTTACAATGTCATCGGCGGGAAGACATGTTTTGGATGTCAATTGCATACCAGGAGAAAATAATTTTAGATTGTTTGGCAATAAAAATGGAAAAAGCATACAAATAGACAAACTAAAAAAATTTCACAAAAATTTATAGTCATACTTTCTTCTCGTTTCTTTTTTCAGTGAGTGATACAATACTGATTGCAAAGTCTAAATTCTTACAAGAGAATTCTGGGAGGTTCTAACAATTCCAGAATTATCTGCTCAAATCTCGTTACAAGGGCCCCGGCCTCAGCTCGGGAAAAATTTTTACCACTAAAAATGCCCGGAAAAAGGAGTTTTTTTCGATGTTTACATATGATGTGGTCTATTTCAAATTTCGGGTTTTGTTCAACAATTCCTGATAAACATCGAAGGTCCACATCCTAATATATCGTGTAAAAGCTGCTTTGTGTCTAACAGCGGATGCTTGTCGGTAAGCGCAACCACTATTTGTACCTTAATTATAACTTGTTAAACAAAATCGGGTTAATATTGCTTTTTGATGTTTAGCGCCTTAGGGAAAACTTGTATCGTGAGCTACGTGGAAGTTTGGGGAAATATGCAAATGTAAGAAAAGGAAGGCCCAAGGGGACTCGCAGGTGGGCGGATTAGAAGTTATCGCTTCAAGTCTGGTTTGAACTTATACAAAAAAAAACTTAAAAATTTTTCAGCTTCTTTTACATTGAGAAACGGTCTTAAGGCATGAATTGTGGGCATCTTTTTCAAGCTCAAAGATTAGATAATGATAAAAATGTCAGTTGAAGAAGTACCTCCTTCTTCGTGTGTTCGAGGGGGGTTGGATTTTCCAGTCTGCCAGAAATGACGCATAAGCTATTGTTTTTTCGCTCAGTTGGAGAGACCTGAGCGGGAGACAAAAGTCTACCGGCAGAGCAGAAAAAAATGAGCTTGATGTGCACGCAATCTTGATTGCCTCTCAGTCGAAATAGTTTTGGAATGATATGACAGAATAAATCTTTATATCATTCTGCATGGCGGAGGACCGTCCGCAATGGGTTAAGGGCGTTTGCACTTTGAACTTGGATCAGCTTAAGTGGAGAGAGACAGAGTTTCGAAGAGGAAGAGTTTGGGAAAATGGCCAAGAACTGGTCAGTAGGAGCTGATGATGTAAGTTACTAAAGCATCTGTTCGCTTTAAAAGCAGAGAAAAAAGAAAAGACTCTTCTTGAAAAATGAAAATAGATACAGTCCTATTACAATGGCATAGAACGAGAAATGTATCTGTTCAAAATAACGAAATGCAGCAATTCGTGATTTGTATTGACATTGTGTAATCATCTTTGTACGCCCCTGGAGGCTGGGAAATGGTCGAAAACTTCATCCGTTTCCGTAACCTAGCTAAATTTTAATTTTATTTACCGTTATTTTACTTTTTCCTTAAACTAAATTTAATTAAATTTTAGCTTCAATTCAAGGCTTACATCATGAACTGGCATGATATTATCGCGCTATGCGTGTCAAGATCCTAGGTCAGTTACCCACACTAGGTCGAGATGGGCGGAAAGACGGAAAGACTCAAAGAATCTTGGCAAACAAAATAATGAAGCGAAAAATTTGATTGTTTAAGAACAAAATACTATCTTTTCACGACGGAAAGCTAATTTCCGGAATTTTCAGAACGCCGCACGTCTCCAAGCCCCGTCTAAATCGACTGCACGACGGCAATCAACTTCTTTTACATTTTTTACTTACTTTCCTAGCAAAAAAAACATGCTGTGAACTCTGACGTTATTCGACTTAATTTTCCACGTAACAATCATACTGCTACAGTCATAATTTAAGCTTATCGAAAATGTTGCTAAGGCGTTAACGTAGAATTGGATGGACATCAATACTGATTTTATACAGCAAGACCTTTGCATTTTCTTAGAGGCTTTTCGCTCACGAATCTTTTCAGTACATCTCATTCTTTTATTTTATGTAGTAGGAATTGATGTCTTTTAATATCTGTTTGCACGGTCACAAAGACTCCATGTAACAAGTTTTTTGAAAGGAAATATTTGATATTAGGCTGGATAAAACTACTGCTGAAAAAGCGCGAATTCCGTTTTGGAATCCGTCAAGAAGACCGCACACGTACCAACTGATTTCCTAAAATAATAAAATAACTTGATCCCACAGGAAGTTTTACCTGCATATGTCGACATAGAAATGCACAGCGTAACTTTACCTTCATCTTAATTTTTCCCTAAGAAATCTAGCGGCGAAAACTTATTTCAAAATAAAATTTATCTTTGGCCGCGCTAACAATTCGTTAGAATTTCAAGCCGTTCCTATGGTGTGTATTGTCATGACCGACAATAGTTGCCGTCCTGAAAGAGGATAAAAGTAGAAATCAAGACGAGCTTTTCTTTTCTTTTTTCCGAAAGATCTCTTTGGGAAGCGTCCAAAAACGTTTGGAACTTCGTTCTGTATGCACCAGGTTATTTGATCCTAAATTTCTGCCGAAATATTCCCAACACTCAAAAGACCAAAGGCTCAAGCAGTTTCTATTTCTAAGAAGCTTACAATTTTAATACGCTAACAATTATAATCGAACAAGTATAATCTTTCGAAATTATAACCAAGAGAACATTTCGTAAAAGGCTCAGAAAGATTTCATCAACTACTTTATCTTCACGTGAACCTCTTCGATTTTAGTTCCTTCACAGAGCAGATTCGTTTGATGTATTCTTTACGTATATACTCTCATTCAAACAAAACCGTGTTCCTCACAAAAAGTAAGAAGCTTAGCATGATTTCGCGAACGGAAAAAGTTAGACTTTGTTCTGGCTGTTCTAATGGTCGAGTACTTTGAATTCTAAGCTCCATTAATTTGAAAGGGTGACCTTGCGATCAGCCAAGATTATATGGAACCAAGCAAACTCACATACTTTTTTTTATCAGCTGTTCTTTCTCCGCGGAATTTCAACGCTGACCTCTGGTAGTGCTGAACTTGGCGGTACATTACAAGCTGCGGCGATAAGCTGCTTACGCCGAACATAATGGAACGTGAATTGGTTGATGGTTACATTCTTTAATCTTACGAGGTTTGCCATTCATTCGAGCTGAAAACTTTCACATGTCGACGTGATTGCATTGTAGGAAAAGCGGTTATGAGGAAAAAAAGGTCCGAACGTGATGGAAACGTTCTTCACCGAATTCAAAGTTCAGGAATGTAAGTAATCCTAAACTGTCGTGCAACTTTGTGAATTTGATTAAATTCAGTAACATGGCCGGCATTGTTTCAGTCTTTGCAGACGACTTTTAAAGATGCCGCCTCAAATTTTCTTCCATTTAGTGTGGACTAAAACGAACCCAATCACCAATGAAGATTATCCTTCAATGGAAGACCGCCCACGCACATTTAATTTGCCTTTTTTTACGTTATAGTTTTAGTAAAAATATCTGAGACCTCTGCCCCCTTAAAATTCTTGGTCCGATTATAAGTTTGTGAAACTTTAACTTTACGGTTTTATCACTAATCGCCGCGTTCACCTTTCGGGTTGATCCAGTGAAGACATCGTCAATTTTTTTCGCCCAAAAGATTGAAGAACTTGCATTGTCCCAGCAACTCGGCCCCGACGTTCAAAAATGACGACTTCCCGATTGTTGGTAATGCTAATCGCAGCTGGTTGTTGTGCGATTTTGTGCAACGGATATCAGTCTTGTGGTTTACTACATCAGAATGTTACAAAGGGAATCGACAGAGTGTTAGTCAGTGAACGTCATTCGTTTGGAGCAGACTTTAGGAACTTTTGTCTTTCCTATGAAAAAGGTATGTTTGCTAGAATTACGCCACAAACAACACAGTAGAGTGCCAGCTGCCTCCATTACCATAAGAGGGATTTTATATAACGCAAACAGTTTTCATTCACATAATGCAAGCGTGAAAGAAAATTGCTTTACTCGGAAATATATTTCAGTCACAACTTGACCAATTTCCTCTTTATTGGTAATCGAGCCAAGACGCTTAAATACTAAAGCAAATTCAGGAAACACTATGCACCTTATTCCGCGAAACCTACACATCTGAAATTAAATCTTCGCAAACACCAAAGAGACATACTTATTTGCTGGTCTTAAAAAAGCTTTACCACCTTTAGCTGTTGTTGACCTTTCTCTAAACCCAATTGCAAAAGAGATAGAAAATAGAAGTGAATCATTTATAGACCTAAAATCAGTCACTATTCTATGTTGAATCTACTTAACAGCAGTTCAAACTGTTTTCATCCCGCAAAGCTCTACCCGCTTTCCTCTACGCCTTCCCAGACCTAAGACGTATTCGGCGCAACTAGAGATGCATGCCCTATCGTACCGGTTTCTTGATAAACGGTAGTGATAGGCACGCGGGAAAATGCAATACTCTGCCGATTTTCAATTTGAAATTGGTGAATGTTGTGAGCTAAAGGCTTTGGGCATCAATGCAAGAGGAAAGTTTAAGTCTTTGTTCACCGTAGATCACACAAAGCTTATAAAATTATAATCCAATGAAGAAATTTAAGTTTACTTTCAGTTCTAAAATAAACATACAAAAACAGAACCCTCCAAAGCCCACAACTGAACCAAAAATAGGTCTGAAATTTAAAAGATTGATATCTGAATAAGGTTAGTTCTGCTTTCAACCTGGGAATACAGATAAGCCAAATTTCCTAAGCAAATTGAGGTCAATTACAAATGAAAAATTATCGGATCTATTTCCACTAAGTCACCGACGCCATTTACATCAAATTGATTTAACTTGTTTAATCTTTTCACAGAGAAGTGGCTGAGCTTAACAAAAGGAGCTGTCTGCTTTGGAGGGAGTGGCAACGAATATGCCACCCTTGTGGTACCAATAGAGGGCTTCCTAATGTCAGTCAAATTGACCCACGTCAGTGGACTCAGCTCATGCAAAAGAAATTCTCCCCAATACAACAGTAACTGGGGTTGCTCTCGCAATCATCCTGAACACGGCAGATCGCCCTTTAACGTTGTCGTAACGACGGCACCCAGAAATGACATTCTCTTTCCGGCACATTTTTTTCTCCAACACAACAAGGGATCCTATTGGTACGACAAACCAGAAGTGGACCCTCACTCACCGGAAATAATCCTTACAGATGCATCAAATCCCATTTATGTTGCTATGGGCCAAGAGCTCCGTGTGTGGTTTGGAGAAGACCTGTTGAAGTCTGGTGTGAAGAAAAAAGGGGGTAAAGTCTGTATAACCGCGCAAGCCTGGTACAAGCATTGAGCTGTCTACATGTCACGTGACCAATTAATGCATATGTTGCCCAAATAAATTTCAGAACGACCTCAAGGGAAAAAACTGACTTTTGACGCTACTTTGCTCAGTTGAGTTGTAATTTACGAAAGACTATCTCTTAGAGTATTTTAAAGTTTTATTTAAAAAGTTAGACAAGTCGGAAATAAGACAAGATGACTAAGGCTTACGTTGACAGTTCAGACTTTGAATCACAATTCTACCACTCAGTGTAAAAGAAAATTTAAAGGAACTTCAGCATTTATCTCCCCCTATAACCAATTAATTTTCAGTTTACTCAAGAGTAAATACCGAACCCCTTTCTCATAGCCTAAGAAAATAAAGAGAAAGCAGTCAGTTTCAGGCTTCAGTTATTGGTGACCTCGCGAGAAGAAAAGATTTTAACTGACCTGAAACAAACCAGCTCGCTATTTCAAGCAGGATTCATAGGTGTCACAGGGGAGAGGCAATAGGTTTTTGACCCCCCCCCTCCGAAAAAAAAGTGAGAAACAGCCCCTTCCCCCCCAAACCCCTCTCCTCCTCCCTGCCACTTTTTGTTGCGCAAATTATCGCAAGCGCAGCAGAGACTAGCATGGTAGACTATTCAAGCTCGGTGTTTAATTTCTAATCATTTCATCACGCTTGCTGGTATTTTTTAATAACTTCCTGCTTATACATTGCCTCAAATCAATTACGCTTACATTGGACAATGATTGCAAAGAGTTTGCAAGCACCAAATGACCATGTACAGTGCAGTGCAAGATGGAAAATTTAAGTCGGGGTGTGCGTTAGCCTTGGTGACGAAGAGCTCTTCTACATCTCGAAACGCTCTCGCAGCTTTTGCGACCGAAGAGTTGATGTAAGGACTGTGAAAAGCGGCCTCTTTATAGCAAAGTGAAATTTTAATGTAAGTATAAGAGAAAGAAACAAAATATTCAGGATAGCCGATGGTACTGAGGTATAATACTGGTTTTTTATAGGTGCAGCTCGGATAACAAATAGCTTACGTGGTTGATGAGATTGTTCATAGCTCAGACTCATCTTAAGTCGTGCTGGCTCGATCGCGTTTATTTTCTTCTAAACTCATGAATGTTACCCAAACTGGAACGGCGTTCCACAGCTCGATGCTTTTGCACATGTCCAAGCAACGCGATGACGTCACTGTGGCGTCTGCGCATTAAAGCAGGTTTTGAGCTGAAAGCGGTAGAACCTGGTGTAGAATTTTTAATCCCGGGAAGCGCGGTGACTTTTGAGCTTGAACAGTCTTGCGTTCGTCCCTTATTGAACGCGACTGATAAAAACTTGAAGTCGTTCTCGATCTCAAACAAAACATCTTTGCTTGCCTCTCTGTCATTAACTTCATCGTTTAGTTTTTCATGCGATGAACACTGAGTTAAAGAGCGCCATTTTCTCGAATTTACCATTCCCGCGTTGAGCTTAGTCGATTCTATGGCTGGCAAACTATTCCTTCGCGACATCAGCTTAGACTTTTCTGGTCCAGTGGGGCCCTTCTTCAAATCTCTACCAATTTTCTTAATTTTGTGGTCAAGTTCTTGCAGGAGATAGTTTTTTTCTCGATTAAGTTGATCCAACTTCTTTTGCAGAATACTTTCTTCTCTTCTATTAATCGCCATGACTTGTTCGACGCGTTGTTCGTTACACCATTTTGAAGCCTTCCGCATGCGGTGTTTATCCATAAGAAATAACGAGAACAGATACCTGAGGAGAAAATAAATGTTGGGTACTGAATATGTAAACATGTTACGTAATATATGAAAGTATAGTCTTTCCTCACGAAACTTAATGCTTAAATATTGCAAGACTGAGCTGCCCGTAAGACACTAGGAAAATTCCAAAAGTTACCTTGCGAGTATAATCACAAGCTGCGATTGCAGCTCATTCAAGCTGACAATCGCTTTTATGCTTTATTGCTGAATACTTTCGAAAGGCAATTCCGCTTGAGCTTAGCGCGTTTGGTCCAAACTTTTTCGAGCCAGATTTTCCGAGAGAAAACTCTTTTTTCTTAAAATTGTTTCTAGACTTCAAAGGAAAAACGATGGCGCAGTTTGCAGTAAGACTATTTGTTTTGATGATAAACAAACAATCGTAAGAGTATGAACGTACAATTTACCCTTGTTGGTAGTTTAGTTATTCATTTTTACCTGGGACACACAAGTGCACTCGATTTTCAGGAATTAAATCCTCGATGCAAACTCATTAAGCTCAAAAGCCTCGGAAGAGAGTCAATGACTGCTTTACGAGTCTTTCTAGTGCATTGAATTGTTGAATCAAAAAGATCTACCGCCAAGAAAATAAAGGGACATGTACAGTGTTTGGAATGATATTTATTACGATGCTTACAGTTCAAGAAACACACCTCACTTTTGTAATATCACAATGCGTAATATTATAATGAGTGGCGCTATAACCTCTTCCTTTCACCTACCATCGCCAAGGGAACATCAAGTCTCTCATTGAAAACAGCTTTCTGAGTACATCATGAATTGATGGACGGTCTCAGTATATCACATTTTTTTATTTACCCAAAGCATTTCTGTGAATTTATTTAAGTAAAAAAGTTAACGGTTTCATCGATTTACTCTACGCGCGAAGTTTGCAAAAGCGTGCGGTTCTCGTCTATTCAAATATGCTAATTTTAAGCTTCTTTAAGCGACCATTGGAAAGGTAAAAAAGTGCCTTACAAATTCGAGACTTTGTTCAAATGATACTTCATTCTTTTTCTTTGAAAGTATCCAATAAGCGTTTGAAACTTTTTCTGTAAACTTTTTCATATCGTTCGACTTAAGCTGTCACTATTGCGGTTCCCTAGAGAACGATTCAAAAACAGGCAACTATGATTCCTTTTAAAGAACCCTAGTAGTATCATTCAATTAAACAACTTACACGTGTAAAATCTTTTATTGATATTCTTTTCACCCTTAAAGTTTCCGCAACGGAATTAAGATATTCTCTGCCGGTAAATACAGTGTTTGTAACAAGTTCAAGTCGTGCGAAGGAGTATAAATTATGCACATTTCTGCGCTATTTTTGGAATTTAATTTCAATTGATGAAAGGAAAAGGTTGAAGTGAGGTGATTGTTAACAACAGTTGTGGTTCAGTTATCTTGTCGGCCATGAAGATTGTATCCGCTCATATCAGTAAACAACGTGTTGTAAACAAAGATGTAAGGTTAAAACTTCTTCTGAGTGATCCTTCAAAAGTAAGGCGCAAAGATGAAGAGATATCGATCAATATACGAAAAAACAATAACCTTTATTTGTGGGTCTTAATGACATTTACCAAGGATTTACAAAGCATTACGTAACCTGTGCGCAAATGTTACCTTTACGCCGATTGCAATCGAGAATTTAGCGTGAGTGTAAAGGTACTAAACAATAACGGAACTCTACTCTGATACGGGTGAAAAACAGTTTATTCTTAAAAAATTGCATCATTTTCCCAAAATATTTTACCGATTCAATTGCACCGTGTATTGTATCGCGCACAGGCATCCCAAGCTCTCGATGAACCAGTGAATCTGGGCCCAGTTGTTCACAGGGCGGAGAACGCTATCTAACAGACAAATCGCTTTCCAGTTGACAGGTGTTAAAAAAACGTATTGTGCTATCTACCGGAGAGAGATTTTCCCGGTGAACTGCGTTATGCACCCTTCGAACAACCAGAGCCTGCATTGTTATGACGCAACCAGAATTGTATCAGCATAATGGTTGCGCTTAAACCAAAAAGCTGTCCGCCATTTAACCCCTAAAATGCTTTCTTCGACTCAGTCCTGTGGATTTTGGGTCGATTTTCAGCGATCTAGGAAGTTTTCGTTCCTCCCATTTTTCCCGGCAAAGGCTTTGTCAATCCTTTCCTGGGAGAAGATACAAGAAGGAATGAGCAGTGTTTCTCAATTCAACCTTTTTCTTTGCAGAAACCTCTATATTTCTACTGTTATATAATATCCATGGATGACAGAAAAAATTCTTACACCGAGCTTGGTTACCTACGTTTACATTGTACATTGTGACTTCAGTGAGGGCATCATAGGGACTGTGGGGTAGGGGGCGGGGAGATTTTGGTTCGGCAACGATAAAATTTACCTGATCCGATCACTGGGCTCTGTAATATTCTTCTGAACTTATGATCCCCCCCATTGGCAATGATTGTGACGGCTGTTCCCCCCTCAGTTTCCCTTGAAAACCTTGTGATCTACCTAAAATCCTCCATCCCTTCCCTTTCCCCCCCTCCCCCCCCCAAGGCGATAGATAACGACCAGCCCCTCAGTTCATCCTAGCGGCTTAGAAAGTAAAGAAGAGCATGCGCGGTTGGCAGGATCGTTAGACGATTGCAGTACTCAGTTTTCGATTTATTCACACAAAAACATCTTTGTCATATTCACATAGGAAATCTTTGGATTTCTAGCTTCTAGATCCAAACGTATGAATATCAGCCAAACTAGAACGACGTTTCTCACTTCGATATCTTTGCATATGATCACGTAATGTCGTAACGTCACTGTGGCGTCTGCGCATTAGAGCAGCTTTTGAGTACGAGCCGTTGGAGCCTGGTGTAGAATTCCTAATTCTGGGAAACTTGGTGGCACTAGAGCTTGTTGGGCTTTGGTCTTTTTCGGTACCAAAAGCGACTGATAAAAACTTGAAGTCGTTGTCTATCTCAAACAAAACATCTTCGCTTGCCGGTTTTTCATCATGTTCATCTTTCGGCTTTTCACGTGGAGAACATTGCGTCAAAGAGTGCCATCTTGCATTCATCATTCCCGCCCTGGGCTTATCCGGTTCTATGGCTGGTAAACTATTTCTTCGTAACATCAAGTTGGACCCTCCTGATCCATTGGAGAGCTTTTTGACACGCGCGTCAAAAGCTTTCTCAGTTTTCCAAATGTCGTACTCATACTCTCGCAGGAGATGGTTTTCTTCACGATGAAGTTGATCCAACGTTTGTTGCAGCATGATATCTTCTTTTCTGTTAAGCGCCATCATCTTTTTGACGCATTGTTCGCTGCACCATTTTGAGGGCTTCCGTATGCGGGGTTTATCCATATGAAGTGCTGGGAACCACCTCTGAGAAGATAATAAATCTTAGAGTATTTTACTTTTGAAAACATAAATAAAGAACAAATGGTAAGTAAAATCTAGAGGCTGGCATCATCGAACTTAGCTGCGCGATTCACGGTGTTGTGCGACTCCGATTAGCGGCAAGGGATGAACATAAAGCGCAAGAGATCATTTGAAGAAAAGAGTAAGACTGCTCTTGAACTCTCTTCATCATTTTTATCTCCTTTGTTCCGTGCACGCCTGTTGTTGTTGTTGTTTCCGTTTGTTTTCTTCTTTTCAGCGGATAGATGACTGCTTCCCCGGCCAACACACGCCCAAAAGAGATCTCGGGTTTGCTTATAAGCGGGTAAGTGATCCCTTTTTCTTCAACACAACACGCTTTAATAAGAACGAGGAATATACGTCCGTAATTAGCTTCTTGAGACCGATTGACCAGCTATATGGAGAGTAGAAAGTAGACGGGGCTTAGAGCTGTTAAGCAGAGCTTTTGTTAGCCAGTTAGGATGGTGCTTCGATACCCAGAACCTCAGATGATGCGACGAGCAAGGAGACACTTGTCTTCTCCTTTGCACGTGCTGACCGAAATCATTTAAGCGTTATACGAATGCCAACCAGCGCCTACTACACAGGTCAATATTTTTACAGCAATTTTAAACTTTCCAAGCAATCACGGAATGTTTTGCCTTTGCTGTTTACTGAATAAAGCGTTTAGTCCTAATGAGAAAAGGCCGTGATTATTTGAGAGTTTTTAGGGAAACTTCGGGGTCACAATTTCGTGTAATCTTTCTATTCAGCCAAAAAAAAGACATAAACTTATTGTTATCAGTATTTTATCCTGCAGTTTTTTTAATACGATCTCGACTAGCCACGCGCCTCTTCTGATTCTACGTTAAAATTGATTTTGTGGGTTTTTTTTTACCTGATGTGGTGTGATCAAGTTATGCAATAACAGAAAGTTTAACCTAAACTCAAGAGCACTGAGCGCTCAAACAATTTTAGGTTAAGTTCACGGTGCCGTGTACTAATACATTGTGCGCATTCACTGCTCGGTAAAATTAAAGTGAAAAAGTGGTTCATTCAATTGCTTTTATGTTTCAGTGCGGAATGTTGTTAAAAGCAATTTCTGTTTGCGCTTAGCGAGTTCAGTCCAAACCATTAAAGCCCAGAAAAATATTATAGTTTTGCTTTGGCTCAATCATTTTTACATTTTAAGGTGAGCAGAGATAGCGCCCATCGCAATGAGACTTTTTATTCTGTTAGTGCATTAAACAAACGCTTTTAAAGATCACTGTTATCATAAATTTATCCCGTCGAATTGGTAGCAACAGAAATTAATTCTCACCTTTATTCTTCACCAGTGGACTTGATTTTCAAGAAACAAACCCTCGATGCAAACCCGCTCAGCTCAAAAGCCTCAGAGAGAGTTAATTATTGTTTTTTTATTTTGCTCTGTTGGTGATTAAAAAAAGAAGTAAGTTTGTGAAATTTGAATGGGTCTTTGTTCTACATGCCTTTATGTTTCAGGGAAAGGTTTAATTTGTTATTAGTTAGAAGATTAAGAAAATGAGTTACCATTATTAGGAAAATACGATATCAGAAATGAATTGCTTTGTCGGGGTGATATTGCTTAGTGTTAGACAATAGAAAGCGGTCCAAATGTGAGATTATGCAGTCATTACATTTAGTTCTGCTGCCTTCATAGAGTTCGAAAATCTAGATTACCCCTTTGATGCGACTGAATCACAAAAATTGACCTGGACAATAAGCGACTTGTTCATTGTTCAAAATTAAACTTAATCCGGCCCTTGAGTTCTAAAAATACACCTCACCCTGACCTCACTCACTGAAATACAAAACAATCAATATGTGTGTTTATTTACGCAGAATCGCCAAGGGAACGGTAATCGATGGTTGAAAAAACTGTTTGGACAACCTTTCCCTAGCCAGCTGAGTAACCTTAATATTGGTTTCGCAGCCCTCCGTCCGAGGAAAGATTTGGGATCAGTAGAGGAAAGGTTTAGCTGGGATCAGTGCCCAGACCCCTACAAGCTGAGCGGCCTTGCTTACCTCTCATTCCTGCATTCTTTCCTATTTTAAGCCATCTCCTTTTATCTGAACATTTATTTTAGTGAACGGTGTCAAGAGGGCCTAAAGCTAACAGCGGAAGGACATTTATTTAATTAAAACAACCCTCTTAGCTCCTAGAGAAAGACTGAGGCCCGTTGATTGTGTAAAATTAGACCTCGTGTGAATAACTGGCGCTTTGTTTTCAGAGCTAAAGATAATAGTGACCACACGCAGATTTCAGTTATTTATATGTAGGGGAAAAACAATAAGGATTCATGTCGAAAAAAAAAATGGAATGGATGTTTTTTCTTTTGCACAGAGTGTTTTTTTCTCAAGTGAAAATTAGGATTCTACAGTCTACGACCGGAAGAATTAACTTGGCCGATGAAAAGTGGTAGGGCGGTACGGCCAATACAAGGATACCTCTTATAGTTTTCCAAATTTCGGTGGAAAAGTATTTTCCATCATTCATAACACCAATCATCGATAAAACCCCCCCGAGATCTGCTGCTACCCTCGGGGAGACAATTTTTTCCCTATGAGCCAACCATATTTCACAGTTATTAGCTATTTCTTAATTGTGGGAATTGTTGTACTTCCCTCGTGTACCCGTTTCTACATAAATATTTAAAAAAGGATCAAAGTAAACGTGCTTCTCAATTTCTCCAGTTTTTCTTCCGATGACAAGAAAACTATAAAAGATCGAATTCGAAAACCGGAACTCACGTATTTCGCTTCTAAGTAGCCAGAATTTTAAAACAACAACTAAATATCTGACACCTGACTCCTTTATAAACAAACATGACGTAGGTATTTTAGTTAATTTGAATCGTATTTCACAGCAAAATTTTTCTGAATCCAACAATTAAGTCAAAAATTTATTCGATTGCGGTGTCAAACGATTTCCCTTTAGTCATCCTTGTTTTTTTATTAGAACACAATAAGCCGCTAGAAATACGTAGAGAAACCTAATTTAGACTTCCTTGTTGCTATTTTGATCCCGGAAGTTATTCCAGTTTGCATATTAGATCGCCTTTGTGACAGACGTCAATTCGTGCGTAAGCGCGTTAATTAAAGAAGAGAAGAGACGTAAAAAGATGCAAATATTGAGCGTTATTTTCAGGTTCGATGAATTTGTGTATTTTTACTCCGACTTAGTGGTAGTTGTTTTTTTCCCTTTTTATGTTTTTTATTTCTGTGACGCAGAGTCCTAAAATTTCCCACGTTGAAATACCTAAAGAGATAAATTTCCCAAGTTTCAGTTGAAAATTGACGCTATTTATAATAAAGCGCACAGAAAACTTATACCTGTTAGCAATTTATATTTCGTAATCTTATAGAATTTTCTGAATATTTAATTTAAGCCTAACAAATGTCGTCTAAAGCTATATGCTGCATTGACCTTAAATGGTCATGCAAACCTCTGCCGCAGATAAGACTGGATTTTAGCTCGAGAGATGTAAATGAGATGTTTGGACTTGAAATTTTCATAACTTATGTGTAAAACTCAGAAGTCACCTTTTGTGAAAGGTCTGGAGCCGATTCAGTACAAAGTGGTCTCTATCTGAAACAAACTTGGAAAGAGTACGATTGCCGCAGCAAAGGAAACCTACCGATCTTCTAGCTTCCGCCTCGCTTTCAACCCGCTGGCCATAAACATTCTGATCACAAATGATCGATTCACGTTACCTATCAGCATGAACATTTTGCTGGATTTTCAATTCTGGATATTGCATAGGGTTTTTATTTATTATTTCTTCTTATTATTATTATTTTAATTGGACTCAGGGTTATATTTGCGGTATGCTGCACGACGAATAAATCTTAACTCATTCCGTTTCATAACGGAGAAAATAGTGTATAATTTATGCTCTTGGAAGAAGCATGGACACATATAGATTACTACATAGGGCGGCCGACATGTTGACGGAAATTGCAGGCTTCCTATGTTACTGGGAAATCACGCCTTTGTGAACGTCTTTAATTTATTCACAAGGAAACAAAACTGCCAAGTGTAACATAATCCTTTAGTCTCGCCGACCCCTAAACTGTTTTCGTGTTTGAAATAAAACAATACTTTCCTCTCCTTCCACCCCCTCCCAAAAAAAAAAGACCCTCAAAAAGTTCCGCAAATGCACCAAGTTCCTCAACCCATTCCCTCTACAAGTAGAGGGGTTTGATCTAAACGTTCATAGCGTCTAAAGAGTTTCCCCTTCCAACTAACTTTTGATCAATCTTTAAACGCCTTGTAAACGGCTTAAATATTAAATAGAGTACATGAATTGTTATAAATTAGGAAATAAACATCTATCTTGCTTGAAGCAATGACAGAATGGCAAACCTGAATACGGATTAACATATATTTTTTAACAAATGCAATTGCTCATGAATACTCGTGATAAACGTGATTCCCTTATTTCGTGTAAGGGCGGCTTTCACTGATTCGATTTCAAAAATTCCGTTTGCTTTAAAATATGCTTTTCAGTAATTATCATATACTGAGCTTTGGAAGATCGCTGACTATGCTGTTAGAACGCTTTCATCACGTAAAAGACAGCTGCATGTGTTCTTGCGTTGATGAAAATAGCCGACCAGCGAATTTCACGAAATGAGCATTGTGCTGAGTATCCCTTTCGGAATAATGTAATTTCTTGACCTATAAAAGCAATACTTTACTACAAAAATTTTAAGAGGGTTTAACTCATTTAAAATAATTTAATTGCATACATTTTATTGTGAATCGTTAAATAATTACTTCCTTTTGTCAAGTATTTGCAGACAGTCAGTCTTATACGGAACTAGCGACCGGGAAACAGCTCGTTCCAAAAGATCTACTCTAAGGAATTGCAGTTTAA